ACCACGTTGGAACTGTATGTAGAATATGGAAGGAAAATCTGATCCAGAAAGTGAAAAACCGAACGCTTATAATGGAAATGTCCGATGCTCTGGAAGGAATGATGTACGCTGACATTGAACTTTTGATCTGGGAACGTTGGATGCAATTCCAAACCAAATTTTGTTCAAAAATTCAGTTTCTAAATTGATTCAAACAAGAATGGATCGGAAAAATAGATACCATATTTTTATGGTAATTCTATTGTATTCTTCTTGGAGTTGTTCTAGCATGTAATGTAATTAAACACCCGTCCATTAGAGTTGGTAGGTACATGAAAAGACTTGGTTTAGCTCATTGCATTCAATACAATTGCTAAAATTATATTATTGAAGAAGTGTTGAACTGGAATCAGAACCATATATACATATACATATATTTGATGGGTCACGTGAAGTAAAAGTCTACTGATATTTCTGGATGATGATTCTGAACATGTAGTTCACTTACCTGGATGATTTTCATAGCAATGGTGATATGGTTTGTGTATGATGTTTGTGTTGAGAAGTCAAGAGAAGCTTAGATGCAAATAGAACAAATGGCTTCACTGAGTGATAGCATAGCACACAACATACTAGGTGTGATGAATAGATTTTTTGCATGATTTGAGAGTTTAGTAATAATGTCAACTAGATACAAGAAAGGACAGAATCACAACAACCGACATGTTTATCAGACTAAGTGGCTTGACATTGAAAGGAAGTCTAGGGATTGTTGACAAGTATCATGATGCAAAGAGAAGCAATTCAATTTTGAAAAACTATGTAAAGAAAAAACGTTGTCTGATACATACAAGAAATTCTTTGGTAAGTGACTTTAATATGCATTGAATTGAAATTCTTGTAGTATAATGAGATGCATGTATTAATTATGTCTTGTTTTCACTCTTATTTTATTGCGACTGATATGTAATCACTTGTGAAACCTTACAGGATTTGAACTTGACTCTTCAAGATGTTAACGGTGATAGCAGTAGCTATCCAAATATTACCAATGATAGTTCAGCTCTGTCCGATGTTACATCAGAGTACAGTGATGTCATTAGTTATAACAAATTTCTTCGTGATGTTATTCCAAAAGTTCAAGGAAGAAAAAGAGAGACAATTAGAGAAGAATTGTTCACGCGTAGCACTCAACTGAGTGAAAAACGCAAAAGTATGAAACCATAAACTGATATGAATCAGATCTCTTTGCCTGCAACTAGATTTTTTCTGCCAAAACGTTTAGATAGAGAGCTTTCAGCTAGCAAGAATACAAATTAATCTAAACGATGATTTGGTACAATGAATTGATTTAGAATTAAAAGATAAGTTTTATTTTTTTTGGTTACTGTTTTCCTGGTTGTGCGACGGATACTTGGCAAAGACTACCCGGTAAATACCTGATAAGCAAGAAAGCTAAGTTCTAAGTCGGAAAGTTCAAAATTTTATTTCGCTATTTTTTCTATGTCTAGAAGTTTAAAATTTTGAATTTTATAAAAGAATTTCTCCATCTTGGCACATGAAAGTTTATTAATACATGCATATTTGTCTACAGTTACCTGCACTTGCCATATTGAGCTCTAAGTTTTAACTTTTGCTGATCTGAAGATGGACAGATCTCCTTTTGGAACCTCGTTGATCCAGCTCTGGTTTTGTCCTTCAATTCAGTTGCGCGTATGTAGCGAGTTACTTTGTATGATATGCTTGAAGCACTGATTTTAGCCCTTCAAATTCATTCACTCTACTTCTAAGCTACCAAATGTGATTTGCAGATTACAGTAATCTCTTACCATGCATGATCTCTAGATGCATGTTGACTTCATCAGTTGATGACATTATCCGTGTTTGGAAGTCTTGAGATGAATTATCCAAAGATTAGGTTGGATGATTTCGTTCTTTTTAGTTAATGTTGTAGGTTATATGTTTTAGCTTTTCCAGTATTTTCACTGTACCAATATCTACCAAAGAAAAGTTGAAGAAGTGTGAAAGTCCGAATAATAGCTTCTATTGTGGTGTGCAGCAGTCAAATATCCTGTCCAATTTAGTGACCCTGAAACCAATCAGCAAGGAACTGCAGAAAAAGCTGAAGAATCCAAGATTATTCTTTCTTCCAGACCAGAGGTACGTGAGAACTTGGCTTGATGTGTATTGGACAAAGGTGAGTAAAAACTTGATTTAAATTTCCTTCTTTCTATCTCTTTGTACTAAATAACTATCATTACGTTTAACTAACGTCTGGACAACTGATTTACAAATTTATGTTTTTGTCATTGAATTCAAATTTTAAAAGGTAAAATCACATTGACAAAGTTGGAGAACTACCATCATACTGGGAAGTGCATTATGATGTTATTAATCTTTTCATCATGTAACCAACAAAATTAACTTAGTAAGTTTGATAACACATGGTATATGATTGACAGCGTGAACTTAGTTTGTAACTTAATATGTCTGGATTGCTATGCAACGAAATATATTCAGGCTCATATTTATCACATCCTTATGATTAACTATACTACAATTATAACGCAAATAACGCAAATCATCATATTTTTTACACAGAGAATTATACAGACTTTTTATTTCATTTGATTGCAAAATCTATAATATAATGTTTTATTTTTGTTTTTTTATGAGTAAAATTCTGGAAAAAAAACGCAAGAATAAAGTATACGCGTAATTTTCTGCGATTTACTTCTATAGTATTAGACGATGTAAAATGTATTGAGGAAGAAAATATCTGTTGTACATAGTCATGAGAGTTGACACCGAAGATTACATACTTAGTTTACTATGAACATGTGGAAATTACCATTTTTTTCCAAACATTAGATAATGACATTTTATGTACCACATAAAAATATCCTCTACATTTTATACCATCTTGTAAGAACCAATATCAATCCAAATTTTAAGATTTTTACAACCTACCATAATGTTTTGTATTTTAACAAAGTGTAGTTGTTATCCTTTCTAGTAATTTGTAACGTAATATCTAGAAATGTATCCGTTGAAGTTTTCTTTGAAGAATAAATTTTGAAATTTATTTAATTTTTAATTATATCAAAAGATGCGACATGAGATAGATAACGAAGTTTTGATTTGTTATTTGAAATTAATATTTCAAACAATAGAAAGTTTTGACTTTAAAAACATGAATTTGTAGTTACCAAGATAAAGAAAAGGTTATATATTTCAAAGTTAAATGTCAAGGTAGAAGAAATTATAATCTATTTGCAAGGATCATTATCTTCATCTATAATAACATCATTACTATTCCTTTCAATTCTCATTCAAAATTCAGTTTGAGCTCATAGGTTAAATATTGAGAAAATGGTTGCATGGAAAGATAATAACTACAACATAAATCCCATTTTGATATCGAAGAAATAACGATTTGATCTACAGCGTAAATTATATATTATCTTTAAGAAGTACTTGGTACCATTGAACTCACCAATTACGTTTTGAACGTATACTTGAAAACCTCATCACAAAAACTGGCGAACTCAAGAATGTAACATTATTCGGCAATATGGTCTATTTATTGACTTGCAATTGACTAGTGTAATATATATCAACTCACATATTAGATATTATAAATTAAACCTATGATTTTGACCAGTGTCTGAATTAACAAGGTATACGTAGGTTTGACAATACTGCATGTAACCTCAACTCCTTAGAGAATATTTCTTGCCAATTCCAGCCTCCCCTCACTAAAACTCACCAAATTATTAGATTAGGCCTTACATCATTACCTTGTGGCCCACAAGGTAAGGACCATATGGTTCCATAACGTTCCATAACCATAACGCCCCACAAGTTGTGGGGCGTTATGGAACCATATGGACGCCAGGGGATAGAGCAGAACCTTGAAACAACATGGTGACCTCGAAACCATATAACATTGTGTCAGGTCACCTCCTCCAAGAGATGACCGATGGCTTGCGTCATGGTTCTTTTAGCAGCCCCGTTATCGTCCAAATGACAACAGTACATCTGATTATCAGAGAGTTCACATTGACCTTTCTAGCTGCACATCCGAAATGTCGCGGTGTGCAGACCTCACACGGGACCAGAGACTTTTCCTAGAATCAAAACGCATCCACAGCGAGTTCAATGAAGGTCATCTCGCAGTACTCAAAACCAGGCAGCCCACGGACAAAACAAAAGGTGAGCTTAAAAAATCTCCTGATGCAAATGAAGAGTCTGGGAAAATCCCACAATACTGGACTTGACAGAGGCCCAAAGTCCCTTAATACCTTTGTCCAATGATCATGTTAATTATCTTCATGTGCTGTGAATCCATCCGAAGTAAGCCAGGGACCTCCGCGTCTGATGCGAAACCTTTGGATGGTATATTTTCCAATCTATGCCCGTATAACTACCTTTACTTCCGCTAAGGGTTTGCCCCAGTTTTCAAAGATGAAGAGTTTTCATTTTCTAAGTTTCCAGCCCAAGATAATGGATGACCGGTAAAGAAAGTCGAGACTCCGTTGAAAGATGATAATAGAACAAATTGAAGCACTTGTTTTGCTAGTTTTAAATTTTGTGTTTTATTACATTTAGTCAAACCTAAACTGGGTCTTGGGCTCCAAGACAACTACACAACACTTCAGGAAATAAAGATAAGGGTTTTACCGAACAGGTTGGTGGGGCTCATATTCAACTCCCTGAAAGTTGTGGTATTGGTATTTTTCATAAGTGCCCATGGTTAGGAAAGTCTAGTGAATCACAACGCTGGTAACATAAATCGTTGATCAACTTATAGACTGTGAACCCTTGCTGTCTCTCTTCCGTAACTTCCAAACTTTAACACCATTGTATCACCCCCTTAACCGTAAATCAACGTGTCCTCAACTGGATCCAGAAACCTCAATGTAACGTACCCGAGGATCCACGTGACACCCAAAACGCATAACTTTTCATTTGCGAGAATTGAAATAAAAATCCACCAGTCTGGGTGGAGTGAAACGATTCTTTCATTTCATCAAAGTGCAAAACGTATCTCATACATGTTATACACGTGTAACAATTCAATTCACTTCAGATCCTAAACACTCGGAGGGGTAGGGGTACGGTCCTCTCTACTCGCAAAGATTGTAGATGAGAATCTTCGTCAAATACGCTATTTGTTGACTTGACTTGGCAAGTGTGCAGACCTAAAGTGTGCAGAGCCCTAAATGGACTTCAACACCTACTTAATTCTGCTCGACAACGTCGTGTCGTCAAATAAACCCCATATGCCAAACTAATGTATGTGTACTATTCAGGATATGGAAATCTAATATCGTACGACAGTAATTAACTCGAGTATACTCAGTCGATCACCTGTTTGGGAAGAAGTTTTGGTAGTCATAGTATTGGATATTCCGGTAAAAGAAACACTGAATAAGGCAATCTTCATATCTTACTTGTGAACAACATCTAGATCTCTTAAAGAGGAACAATATTCCAAAACTGCAAGTGATATAATCACCTGGAGGCTAGTACCCTTGGCTCTTCAAATGTGTACTGTCATGCTGCAAATAGAACTACAATCTTCAAGGGAAGGAAAAAAAACTTTCAAATTTTGCTAAGAACTACAGAAGCCAGTGAACAGACCACATTACATGTCCTCTTGCTACATCTCACCTTTTCCTGCTGTATGATAAAATGAATTACAGCGGTTAAATCCTCACAACACCTTCCAGTCATTTTTACTCCAAAATTTCCCGTTATTTCGTGAATGTATGACAATTCCGTTGGCTGTTCAAGTTTACATTGTCCACTGATGGGTGAATATAAACTTACATTCGCTCTCTCCATCTTCTGAGAGGTCAGTGCAATGAATGCCATTTTTCACCTGCGCGTATAGTATCCATTAGGTCAAATGCACAGCTGATAACTTCACCATCTCCCTAAACTTCACATGCTATACACAAAAACTCTAACCTCCACAAACAAAAACAAACGCATCGCCAAGATTGTACTATTGTTGGAGTTTAGGTCAAATGAACCTTGTTGACTCCAAATTGAGCTCGAAGACTTGAAGGCCTGAGTTGCCGCGCAAGTGCTGGATCTGGCGGTCCACAAAATTCACGGAACGCCTTGACAGGATTGTGTTCTGGATTTGTTTTACAGCAAAGTTCCATGGCAATAGCGTCTCCTGATGACATCTCATGCGTCATGGCCTGCAAATCACACACACAGTCTGTCACTCTTACCGCACCACCGGTAAGGATAATCAGTATGAACAAGGATTTCAGATATAGGTAATAGACATGTCTTCTTAATACTCAGAAGAGTTGACGATCAAATTAGATTAGACTATGTTTTGGTGGATTAATTCCATCAGAGAAGTGAAGAAGGACATATAGACGAGCAGTTGTAAGCGTCATGTGCGAAATCAATCATGGTCAAGGTAACACACTGTTTCAGATTTACGCGTATTTAATGGTTGGTACAGGATGCCCGGACACACAGTAACCATCAAAAGAGATGAGATAAGGAGAAGCTAGCCAATGTTAAATTGTACCAATTCAAACAGCACATGATCAACCTCGAGGGCTTATCACGCGAGGAGACCGAAGAGCACAGACTCGATTTTGTGATCAACAACTGTAGAAAGATCCGAGCGTAAGATATCAAACTCACGAAAGGAGTAAAATAAAATGTGATGAAAAGACAAGGTCAAAGACATCCCGTTGTCAACAGGAGGCACTTGTTTATGAGCAGAACACAAGAGTAGCCGATTGCAAAGCAGAGAGGCACGAACGAAGTAAAACCAAGAAAAGATGTAGATGAGAGCATAGTTGAGAACGCTCCATAAGAAGGACAATGTGGACCGGGTAAGGTATATGCAGTAAGCCTATCATCACACTGATCAGTAACCAATGTGATCGTGGAGAGATTATTTTTCCATTACACGACATGTCTCATTAGTGCATACAGTGCTGACCTTTCTATGTGAGGGACCCCATCCCATATAATAACTAAAGTACTTGACCGGCAACGATACTGAATGTTGAAAGTTTACACAGAAGGGGAATATATCTCACATAGTAATCCTGAACTACTCCTCTGTACAATTCGTAGAACTCTTCTGCATTGGGACGTGTGAAATTGATCATCTCCATCGCTGTTATGTCATACTTTTCTTGTATAAGGTCGATCATAGCCCCGGCAGCCCCTGTTGCACATTCATGGTAAGAACACTGTGTTCATACTTCCGTTCTCCACAAAAGTGATATTAATAGCAACTTCACAGCATAAGCTGTCATTCTGAAGACGACCCCTAGTGATATTTCAAAGATCAACTCTACAATGCATTTTGCTAGCTACAGTTTAAAATGATGGAAATCCTATCGCAACTATTCTACTAGCATCCTTGATCGTACGTATCGTTTCCGATGTTCACCGAGATCATTCAAAATTTAGTATGAGAATAATCTTTGTGAACTCAGTTCAGCATAGCAGCCGTAGGCATCATAACGATACACTCGACTCAAGACTTATTCAAATGAAAGACACTTGTATCAAACACTTGTAGCGACGAACTTGACCCAGCTCCCATTGCATATAGTCGTAAGTATTTCCAAAAAAGTAACTTGAGAGCCACTAGCCAAGTGGACGATGCAAAGCACTCGTCAAACCATGTCGGGATGAGGAGTTTCTTCCGCCTGTACAAGACCCGAAGAACTTGACTTGAAGCACAATTATTATCCTTGCAGAGGCCTCTACGAGAAGTACCTGCTTGTACAGTATGGGGTTTTATGATGCCCAGTGTGACGTTGAAGAATTTCGCACAAGGTGCAAACATTCTATCCGCAAAGAAGAAATGTGCTTCCTGTTCGCCAAAACCATCTCCCATTTCCCAAAACCTCACCGTTACTCCTCGTAAACGCACAGAGACAATCCGTATGATAATCTTTTGAAGTGCATGTTGGTTAAAGAAACTCGAAGAGTCCCCTGAACGAGAACTTTTCCATTCTTTTAAAAAGGGGCAGATAACCATGATGAAGGTCTGCAGTTTCCAATCATGAAACGAAGATGTATATGTAGCATCAGATGAAGATGAAGTACGTGACTACCCTTCTTGCACTATCATATGAATCGGCTCCATGGACTGCGTTTCTGGTGCTATCGGTTCCGAAGTTTGCACGAATGGAGCTTGGCGCTTTCATTCTGGCCACCTCCGTACTCGTAGGGCCTGCACAAAAATTGCATCAGATACTGAAATACAATATCAGAAGTGACCGATAATAATCCATAGCCTTCTGTACTTGGTGGTAACGATCTGGTGTACTTTCCCTGATAGCTGCCTAGTTTGCATGATGTATGCCTTCCTGACTCAAACAAACAAGAATTTGACCTTATTCGAAGTCCTCGTCATTGCGTCAATTAACCTAAAAGCTCACAAGGTGTCTGGAGCTCTTAACTTCCGATAATGTAATTCTCTTTTTGTTTGCGTGTTATGATAAAAGATATGAATATTGTTAGGGCTCATAGATGTCTCTATGTATGAATGAAGCCTACCGAGGAGCAACCGCCACTTGGCAATGGCATCTTCGGCGACAAGCTCCATCGCGACACAAGGACCACTTGACATATGGTTTGCTAATTCCCTGAATCAATCCACTCCGACTTTTCATCATGGTGTCTATTTACGGAGTTGTTTTTTTGAACAGAGATTGTGGATAAAAAGGGAGAATGGACAAAGACGTTGCTCAAGTTAAAGTTCTTTAATTTACTTTTGAGCATGTTTGGAGGTGAATAAGAGAAGCGCAGTGACCTTCCACTACTGTGGATCTGTGATATGAAGTATTCATGGACGCTCAAACTTAGACAGTCGTAGAAATATAATCGCATGTGTGGAGCGCATCACAAAGCACAGTAAATTCTGCCTTGATCTCTACTCTGAACAAGATTAGACAATTGAGTTTCATATGTAACCAGGAGGGTACAATACAATATTTGTCTTGGAAACACACACTACACGTGCAGCGTTCTCAGAAGGTGTAAAAACCTCCAACTTACTCAAAAAACGGCTTGTCCATATGAGCCTTGTAGAAGTCCTTTGCCTGTCCCCGTGATAATTTACACATTCGAAGCTGCTTAATAATCAAACCGCTGCAGCATATAGCCTCTATGATTTTTCCCATGTAGGGAATTCCATCGGGTTTGATGAGGGCAAGAGTTCTGGAATTCGAAGACAAGATTGTAAAGAAGTGAAGATGATTCAGTCCACTCCTTAGTCATTTTTCTGTTGTTTTGTGTCGATAGACTCCCTGAAGAGCTGAATTCATATCTTCGAGAGAAAGAGACACACAGCACATCAAGTACAATAATTCACATGTCGCACGAGTTTAGGTCCAGCGTGAATGCTCACAGATCATCAAAAGTGCTACGATGACCACTTTTCGATAACGGTGTGTTATGGAAAACAGTAAGTGCAGTCCAGCTCAATCTAAATCTAAGTTCCGATGAAAGTCATGATCTTTAACACAGAGAACGTGATATTCTCACCTCTCTTGAAGCTGTTGCAAGTTCCTTCTGGTGAACTCATCTCCATAGTCTTCAATCAGAAGCTGGCGGGTAAAAACATTCACAACAGACCCCACAAATAGATGGTCCAAACTGATGTCTGTGTAAGCGACTCTCCTCAAAAAACTTCTTTGGTTCTTGATATCAAACTGCAACACACGCCAGTCTGGGAGTTCAAGCAAATATCTTAGCTAGATAACTGAATGGTCAAAGATGTGAGCTTCTTAACCAAAAGTAAACAAAGCTTGTCACACTAATTCACCTGGGATAAACTTTTAAGCTATCATAACGACAAAAAGTAAGAGAAGATGAAGTAGAGGGAAAAGTTTGTAGACCATCTCAATGGAATTGTCATGAGTGTAGAAAAAGAGCTGAAATTTCCAGACAACACCAGTCATGGGATCCTTCCACTGAGTATTGAAAGCGAATCGGGCTCCGTCATTTTTCGTCTCCACCTCTTGGAATTTGGAAGTCTGCACAATCACACCTCTCTTTCTAAGAAAACTTCCCCCGTGCTACTAAACATACTAACAACTTAGCACGAGTGCGAACTATACCACACTTTTGACTACAAGTCCGACCCGGCCGGAATCCTGAGACCCTTCTTTTTTCCTTCGAGAAACCGAAGAAGGTGCTTCTCAATCCTCTTACGTGTTCAGCAGCCTGAAGACGGTATACAGCCTCGTCCTTTGTAATACATACTGTCTCTACAGGTACATAAAAGAATGGGCAGAACAATCAACGAAAAGTCGTGTCATGTTCGTACAGGTCCGGCTGCTGTTTCTACAGTAACAGTTGCATGGGCTAAATCACAAATCTTTGATGCTCGTAAGGACTTTTATGAAGACGGTTGGCAGAGGAACATCTGGCCGATAAAAGTGCCTAGAGGCTTCGATTCGGCTTTTATTTGAGCGAGAAGCCAATCCTTCAAGTACTAAAATTTTGATGAAATGATGGCTTATGAACATGTTTGCTATCATCGTCTACTACCGACTCAATTTGTAGTTTCTGCTTTCAAGGCGTCGGGACATCAAAATCGTACTTGTTGGACATCAAAATCACGGAGAGCGCCCGCGCTCTCCGTGATTCTGAGTCCGAACATCCAAGTAAATTAGACTACTGGCTTTCACTGTACAACACTACCCTTCGAATTATCATCCAACAGTCATACCCACTGATGTGACATACACAGTGGTACATCCCGCAAGAGACAGTCCACTTGATACAGAGAGTGCTGCGTTCTCTACACCTCGAAAGGTCCTGTATTGCACTGTATGATGGTACTCAGCTTTTAGCCTGCTGAGAAAGAATGAAGTCTCTCTTCTTGTCGAAAATCAAGGACAGATAAACCTACTAACCCATATCACAACTATCATGACGGACTGCATCACCTTAGTTGAGATAAGATTCCCGATTGAATATAATGATGTCAGGGGATAGAGGAAGATGAAACAGTGCAGCACGCACCATGATTACTGGCGGCAGTCGGTACCAACTCCTCGTAAACGTTTACACGCTGTCCAGGAAGAATATTACGGGATCATCTGATTGAGGGGTGCTCTCTTCATCACAAATTTCCTAGGAATCAACCACACACATGTATGTAGCATGCCCTTCAACAGAATGTACAAACTCCGGGACAAGTTCGACCCGATAGGCAGCACGTCCGACAAGTCTAGCCAAATCAACAACAACCTGGGAAGAACTCTTTCAGCCTTAAGCATCTCTAGATCCAAAAAAACTGCATGCATGTCCCTGCCCAAGGTGGCGAAATGTCGCGCTTACTGGCTCAGTTGGAGATTCGGTAGCTACTGCACATTCTGACACCAATCTGCGCTCGCGCAACGCGAGCAATAGTGGATGGCGATTAGGGCTTCGCTATCAACACACAGAAGATCAGCGCACGCGGAAGCGCAAGAAAAAAGACAAAGAGGATGATGGCAGTCTGCCCGTCCAACCGGCAAGTGCAAACCGCGAACTTCTTGGCCCTCTAAACGGACTCGCTTACGATGGTTGCAAACCACATTTTAAGTTCCCCCTCGGTTAACAAACACGCGTATGAAGAGAGGCAAATGAGAAAAGGGGACCTTTACAGACACCATATTCTCTTCTCATAATCCGGCAGTTAGGTGAGAAGTATGCACATCTTCGGTAGTCCCCTCACGGAAACACTAACCCCGAGGTAGTTCGAGACTGCTATCACTGAACTGGTCTTGGGCACGATTGGAAAGTCAGGATCCTGAGAAGCTAGCCCAATGTGTGTACAGCTGTGGTGATATCACTATTCGAGATATCATACGCCAGTCAAAATCTTCCAGTCCAGAAACACCGAAGGTGATCGAAATCACAGTCTTTCACAATTCCAGAGACCTCAAACATTGTAATCACTACGACTGTACACACATTCTATCGAATTAAAGTACAGGACGAGCCGTCGTCCTGAAATTAACCGTCCTGAAGCACCACAATCCCATCGCGCTCTCTCCGAGGCTCCTCCCGCCGATCGATGCCCCAGCCCAAGATGGAATCCAGATGGAATATCCCTCTCGCGGGCGCGGAAACCGAAATCTATCGAGCTCGCCATGTTTCGGACGTCGTTGGGCGGGGAGTGGGGAGGGAGGGCGTCGGGAGCGGTTTCGAGCCTGGCAGCGAGGGACGCCGAGGGACGACCGGAGTGCTGACGAAGGACGAGCGGAGAGGCCACAGCAGCACACACCTGCTTATCTTCGGGAGCATCCAAGTAGCCAAGGCGCCACTTGGCAGGCGGGCGCAGGCCGAGCGAGGCTCCAGATCGGCTGGCAGGACCAATCAAGGGGTGGGACGGAGGTGTCGCTCTTCTCCGGCGCCGGGAGGATTCGAGGTCGCACATCCGACTGAGCATCCCCGTGCCCGCGCGGGGTTCCACGCTGGTCGACCCATGACGACGACCTCCACCACCCGAGCGACGGCTCTGCTCTTACAGCCCGGCTCCGTACGGTGCCGAACTGCTGCTCGGCAGCCATGGCCAGGATTCTAGCGACTCCCTCGCGTGGGCTCACGGGCTTGGGATGCAGGCAGCAGCGAGAGGGAGCCGGAACCGCGTGCACTGCCGCCTCAAAGACCTTGCGGATCGTCGGATCCTTCAGACCGTCGGCCGGACCCAGTTCTCCTCTCGGTGAGTGATTATCCATCAACATAGTTGCCTCTAATGAACTCCTCGTGGCATGTTTTGTCGATGTCGCTGAGTGGAAGAAACTGCACTCAGTTGTTTATGGAAGACTCGGGCCAGCACACAGTTCCGACGGTGTTCCTTTTGGTCTCGGATCTGGAATGGACCCGAGCTCTGTCTGCGTACTCGTCGCAGTCTCCTCGGGGGCTGCGAGAGCTGGAGAGCGCAATGTCGAGATGTTGCACTCGTTTTCCACCACAATTGTCAGTTCGTCAGTTGCATCAGTGTACGAGAATATACATACTCCCAAAAAGCAATTTGTCGTGTGTACCGCACCTTCTTGGCTTCGAGGCCCGTGTAGAAAAAGCAGCTGGAATTCGAGAGACTGGCGTTTTGGTTTGACGTTTCGTGGGGTGAATTTGCAGAGCCTTGTACAAGCCGAGCTGTACATGCTCCGGCTCGGACCCCGATAAGCAGGCCGAGTCGTGTCCGAGGCCACGGAGGACAGACGAGAATGAGTAACAAGGCGCAGGTGGATCAGGCGAGCGGTGGCTTGGGGACGGAGGATTCGAAGGAAGACGATGAAACGTGTGAAATCGTGAGTCGATTCAACGTGACGCTCGGCGAAAGCTCCGACCCATTCCAGGGATACATGGTTCAGGCCATCAAGAACAACAACGGGGCAGCTCTGCTCTTTCTGAGCGACGTCTATGGATTCGAAGACACTGACACTCGAGACTTCGCGTACAGGCTGGCATGCTTCGGATACAAGTACGTGAGATTAGATGGCATGAAGTGAAGGGAAGTGAAGTACTGCTGCTTTTAGACATTCCCACTGACCTGACGCATTGCATCGTGCCCTGCTGTGGTTTGTTCTTCTGCACAGCGTCCTCGTACCGGACCTCTTTCGGGGCGCACCTCGGGAGAAATCCGCGAGTCCGGACACTTACGAAGAGTGGCGAGAGCAGCACCAGCCGGAAAGGGTCGCTGCAGACGTCGATGCCGCAACGAAGTGGTTGGCGAATGAGTTCTCTGCCGGGAAGCTCGGCGTGATAGGCTTCTGCTTCGGAGGAGGTCGTCTTATCGAGGTCCTGGCAAGGGATGAGGATGATCTCTTTTCCGGTGCTGCATTCTGCTACGGGACCCGATTTGATATTGAACTCGTATCGAAGGTCAAAATACCTCTTCTCATCATTGCGGGCGATGGCGATGATTTGTGTCCTGTGAGTACCATTTCGAGAATGGAGCAGTTGGCCAAAGAAGGAACCAAGGTCAAGGTTTATCCCGGTTTCGGCCATGCTTTTGTCCATCGCCCTACGACTTCGGAAGCCGATGAAGCTGCCGAGGACGCTTTCGCAGAAATTCGTCACTGGTTTCATGATTCCCTGCTTCCCAAGACGGAGTGAAGCTTTGGGAGTACACTGCTTGTAACGGGTCGTGCAACTCCCCTTGTAGAACAGGCTGTAAAATAGTGTAATAAGATATCATTATCTCTCAGGAGGACCGCGTTCACACTTTTACTTGCATGACGCGGCCGGTTGAGATCGGAAAGTTGTATAACGAACTGCCTTCACATTGTTCTTGTGTTCATTGTAGGCTATGATAAACGTTTTCAGAGTAAAGATCGATATTGGTTGGAAATTTGTATGATTCACGCTTAGAGATATATGTCTGTCACTCATGAACTGATTCAGCAATGCATTATTCCAGACGTATGGTATCGCCCGAAGAAACAGTGAGAAACTCAAAGAAACATCATATAGCCATTCCTTGCTGCCCGAAGGATCCATAGCGATTGGAACCTGGGCCTATTTTCAAAACGTCTCACGATGCCAACTATCTATCAAAGTGACCCTCGTTATCATTCCTGACTCTGAGTTTGTTGTCATAAAGCTTTCTCTGATAAAGCTTATAAAAGAGTCCTATACCACATACGGCTCCTCATCCTCATCCTCGTCTGATCTCAATCTGTTTACAGCATACGAAGAACTATGTTACTTGCTGATGAGTTTGAAAGCTCGGTACTTTCCTTCTTGATACAGGTTCCCAACAATATTTGCTAAGATTAAATTTGATAAGCATGAATATCTGTCAGGTAATATTTGCATGCAGTTTCTTCAAGCCCCTTTGCTCCGAAGAATATGCAGCTCGTAAGATGTTCACGTTTTGGTGCAGTTAGATCAAAAGAGGTTGTGGGCTCGAGAATCTGAAGGATCTGAAGGACGCATGACGTCCAAACTAGTGATAATAACTTGAAGAAAGGTTCTAATTTCGCTCCTAAACGGAGCATTCTACGAGTAAACGACTTTGCAAAATCAAGCCAAATTTACAAATTATGTTTTGGACAAAGTCAGCAAATAGGAGATAACTGGGCAGTTCGTACCTTGGCACACCTACTTGGAGATTCTAATTGTCTTCCCCTTCTCCCTTGCTGATAGTCTTCGTGTACCTTTCGTTGAACGGTTGTATCGATTTTTGATCTCGTTCAACTTATTCTCCACAGTCTTTTCAAGCTCGGGTATGCAGGTCTCTGAAACTGTTGCAGCCGCGTGAGGTAAGAGCACTTGGGACAAGCATTTTCATGTGTCCTTATGGGACGAATTGTATAGGGTAGCAAGGTATAGATACGACATCTTACTCCAAATTTTGGGTTGTAGATCTCACACGGAAACAATATGCTTAGAATGTTGTTACTCACAGTAAGCAGCTGAATTTTGAGCTTTGCGGAGTAGTGTCTCCATGGACTCCTGTCATGTTAATGAACGAAGGATTGCATTAGATGTATCTTGAAATTTATAACTGCATCCAGGACACCCCCTCAAGTTGCATGAAGCACAAATGCAACTTGAGAACAGTCACATTTGTTTGGATCCAGTATGAAGAACAGTAGCAAGTCAATAGGACAAAGATATGATCAGCGTTAGAGCAGTGTTCTCAAAGATTTAAGCCAGTAACAAGACATAATATATATATATATATATATATATATATATATATGCCAGTGGCCACAATTTGAGCAACAACCAGTCGCTGCGAAGTTTGTGAGGAGTGCACGCATGGCCTTCACTGATGAAAGAATTGTAGGCTCCTCGGGTTTATAGCGGATGTAATAAGATCTTAACGGACGAATCACGCCTTGGAAAGGGAACTGGGAAATTGTCGAGGCCTTACATCACAAGTATTGTATTGAAACTGTTGGACGAAACGTCCAACAGTTTCAAACCTTGAGAGGAAACCGAAAATTGCCGTTTGAGACCATCAGCGCACAACAGTCTATGGATCAAATCCCGTGAACGCGAAGAACTTTTATTTACCTGGTTTTCTCTTGCGTCCTCTTCAAAATCTTCCAAGAAGTTCTTCCAGTCTGTGTCAATTATCCTACACATGTCTGATGATTCCTGAGTTTCTTGCTGCATATTGACAAGAATACAGATGTACATGTTCAGTCTTACGGATGATGACCAGTTCATTATGATACTCTCTGCTCAAAACTAGACAGCAGAATCAGCAGAAATTATATACCTAAGCAGACATGAATGGGGAATACCAGCGCAAGGCATGGTGCCAGAAGTGTTGTTAAGTCCATCCCGCAGACTCGGGCGTAAGATCTTAAAATGAGATTACTAACCAGCTTGTAACCATAAGGTAGAATACAGGTAGCACCATTGAAGTTGATCTTGGAATGCCATTAAGCACACGTGTATTTTTTCAACAGTACTTGAATTTCGAAAAATTAGCGAAAGATTCGGGAAAAATGCCAGTGTATAATAGTTTCAGGAAACACAACAGAGGCTTAGTTATCCTGCTGCTTTGAATGTGAGCTGACATTCTGTCTCTTAACGCATCAATTCGAGCAAGGTTTCGATTCCTACTCTTCAGTAACAGCTTTCCAGCCGAGTCGCACTGTCCGCACGTTTGCGCAACTATTTTCAAGAAAGAATGCAACCGATGATGACGTATATTTCATGAGGTTAAAACAAGGCTACCTTAACTCGTTTCTTCAGCTTAGCGGTGTGTGCCTGTGTTGCCTTCACCATGAAAGTATGTTCGTGGTCCATGTCCTTTTTCAGAGCCTGGAGTCTGGCCAACATCTCACTCTGGAGCTCAGCGAAGTTGCTGATTCTCTGATGCGGGAGAGTTGTCCCAAGCTTAAGCGAGTCGACAAAGGACTTTTTTGTTGGTGCGAGAGCAGGACGCTGGTTGCGGATCCTTGCGGACGGTTTTCGTCGTCGCGGAGGCATTGGCGACGAGAAGAGTGATTCAACTAAACTTCTTCGTAAACACAATCTGCTCCATGCACAATAGCAGTCCAGGAGATATCAACAAATTGAAGTGGACTAGTGAAATTCACTCTCGGATTCCTGTTCGGCACCTTAGTGAGGTGAAGCTGGAGGATCAATTGCAGCTCTACCTGATGGAATTCCGTGGGTCCCTTACCTCATCAACAACACACAATCGCGCCTGCAAGAGCTTCAAACTCTAGGCAGTTGTAGTTTCTACTAGTGAAGGCAAAATCTTCGTAGAGCATGAATTTGGGACCCAACTTCGAGGCACACAAGAATCAGGAACGGACCGTCCTGTTCAGCCAAACAACGAGCATGTATCAGATGCACCGCTCTTATTAGACACAGAAATTCGAGCTTCGGGCTTCGGGAAATGGGAGCCTGACGAATCAAGAATGACTGAGTGGCTTTAAATCTCCCGCCGCCTTTGAGCGCCTATGAGCGCGCACGAAGGACATGCACGCGCCACGCCCTCGGATGTCAATCTTCAAAGGATCGAACTTGAAATTCGGAGCTCCTCTATTTGGCACCCGTTGCATGATTTAAAATTGACTTTCAACATAGCGTATTCATGAAGCTAAGCTCAAGATGACTTGTAATCTGTGAGGGGCAACTATTCTTCGACGAGCTTGGGGGTTAATTGAAGAAACGAAGTATCCCCAAAACTTGGCATGTTTCTTTCATTTGAAAACAGTCTGACATGTGACAGTAAAATCGACAAACCATCAACGAAAGTTAGATCTTAAATACAAGGGTTTTTATAAAATTTCCACTTAGTGGAAGAAATTGAAGGAGTTTCACATAAATATCTCTATGAACGAAAATAAAACATATTTCGAATTTAGAAAAATATAACACACAAAGTGTTTCTCCATATCTTCAATTGGGATAAACAGAAAAGTGAACTTGGATATCTACAAAATACCTAGATGTACATACAAGCAATAATTCATAAAATGTATCAAACACCAACAATAAAAATATAATTAAAAATCCATAAGTATGAGAATAAACCAAGAATGTGAATTACAATTGTATACATAGTCATGATTTTTTTTCCTAAAATTTGGAATAAATATATAGAACTTCTACATATTAAAAAATAATTAAATTATGTTAGAAAAGGTAACATAATGTAATACTTTGTCTTGTACAATGTCCAATTTATTTCTTTAAAAAAAATATTCCATTTTTATCAAAACAAGCACTTGCAATCGCTATATATACTTCATTGGTTAATGTAACATCAAAAGCTATTATGTTTTCACAAATCCTTTGGTCTTGGTCATTATGATATAGTATCAGATTTCATCACAAAAATATCAAAAACTTATTCAGTCATTTTTTACATCATATCTATGTGATACTTTCTTCTTTCATTGAGGATATCAAACTCTTTTATTTTCCCGTGTGTAAAACGAAAATGCTGTAATTTTTCTACATTATGCAAAATAATCTTGTGTAATATATAGAATGAATCGCTAATGGATGTAACCTCACTCTAGTTATTACAAATGAAGACATCTGCTCCTAGTATACAGAACTCTACACTTTCGCAACTTGAAATAGAAATCTTCATGGTCAAATAATCAAGACTTTGTGACCTCACAAAATCTTTGATGATTAGAGAGAACGTCATCACGTCATTAGAGATCATTTAATTTGATATTGTGGGAGGTAGGTGTGATCGTCGAGCTTCGATTGTATTCCGATTCCACTATTCTCAAGATCTGCGACATATCTGGGGAGCTTAGGTTATGCACGTCACTTTGCCACAAACAGTCTTTCCACACGACGGAACATTCGGAAACGTTTGATAAGCATATAATGAACTCATGCTCTCTGAATATGTCCCAGATCCGTAAAACAATTCGTGATAGTGGCAGTAAGTTTTTGTTACTCCTCAACACACAACTGAAGCAATGTAAAAAGTACAGTTCCAAGTAAGGGGGTCAACTTGGGCTACAATAGACATTTCACTTCAAGGGAGAAACTTTGTTCTAATCGGGAGGAGATGAAGACTCCCACATTTGATACATACTAATCCCACTTACCATTATCAACATCTCTGTAAAATGAAAAGGTGTTCCTTATTTTATTACCTTCTCCTCAGGTCTCTTTACTTTTTGATGTTGCAGATGAGGAATTTGTCATCCAAGTTCAGCAGAAGAAATTACCTGTTGCGAGTCTACAAACAGTTATACAAGCCCTTGCACCCAGAACGAACATTCTTCGGGGGGATAAATGCAACCGCATTGATCCAAGCGGTCCACTTACTTCCCAAATGGACATCGACTCTCAACAGTGGCAGTCTAGCTTATTCCTCGGACTAAACACATTTCATTCACCATTCACAGGACAACAAATGATCATCCACTACGGACTCAAGAGCAATAAAAAGGTGTGATTGAAAAGCACAGGTGCTCTCTCCGAGTCACCTCAACCAGTCACTGACGGTGAAGATATCCAGTTCACAGTGTCTCCTGTACAATAGCCGCACAAATGACCAAATAGCCAATGCGATTCGAACTCTTCGACTAAAGTGGAACCCTACCTCAAACCAAAAATAAATGACATGCGCGTCCCAAGAATGATGATATTCTTTGACCTCTGATTCTCTTGCTGGAAACAACTTTTCCAACAGAGAACGTTAACCCGTCAGAGGAATTTTGAGATGCGCTTCCTATTGACTAACAAAAGCTCGAGAGCAGAGACATTCTCGGGATGCTGGTCTTCACTGACTGTAGCCAAAGACAAAACTGTTGAGCAGGCAAATGTCGTGCTCCATTGAAGTCCAGCGATTTGAAATAGGCATCCATAATGCTGTCACGAATCAAACTTATGGTTCTCGGTTGAGAACAGGGCCCCATCCTTCCAGAGGCCAGATCTGCAACATGTAAACACAGAGAACCGTTATATTTTCGCCGTCACATGGGTGACAAGATCTGGTAAAACGGAGTCTCTTTGCCCGTAGGAGCTCACATGTAAAACTTATGCTTGAAGACAACCTCTCTAACTATTTTCCGTCATGATAACATTCCAGGAGCTGACATCAAATCTCGACAGTGTCCAACACTCGTCAAGCTGGCGAGAGAGGTTCTCTGAAACGTGGACAAGTGAGACCAGGAGAAACACTGCAAGTACGAGATGTACTTTGGCAATCCAGGAGCAAGACTCTTTGGAAAGGACGAGTTTCCTCTAGACAACGAATTTGAATCTTTCAACACTATTCGTACAAGGCACAACACAAACCCCACCCCTCAAAACGTACTTAGCAATGATAATATCTCTAAGAGGATGATGCATGATATGTGCGTCGAGACTTTCCTGGATTCTCAAGTGCTCTTGCCTTGGACACACATAACACATGACTTCCAAAACAACCTTCAAAATACCTCGAAACAAGCAATCGAGACAACTGAGATTCTTTACTGCTTGCAGTACACATGGATAGGTCATCCAAAAGGAGGGACTGCCAGCTAGTGAACAATAAAATACGAGACTTACTCTGTAACAAACTTTGCCCTGAATGAGGGCGTAAGGAACTGGTCCATAATGCCTAGAATCTGTAGAGTTATAGATGTTATCGCCTTGCAACCAGACATGCCCCTTCGGTACCTGACGGCATCTCAAATATAGAAACGACAAACTTAGTCAAGTCTCAGAAAAAGCGGTAGGAAAATTCCTATTCGTGGTGTTAGAAATTTGACCACTAAAGCAATAATCTATCTCTTCAGATACCCTTTCGAAGCAAGGAAATTTTGTTCCTTGTTCCTCGTGAAGAGTATTCTATGACCCATGATACGCTTCTGTAAACGTACACACAAACGATACAATGTTGGACTTGGGAAAAACCCGAGCAAACTTGCCTCCCTTCACTGAAGGCTAGGAGCTGGAACCAACCTGACCTAACCTTCGCACAATCTTGATGCGAAGCCCACGATTCGCAATGAAGAACGGAGAACCACGAGTGACTGCGTTTAAGTAAACTATAGAGACAAAAGCGGAAAGCAGGAAAAACCCATGAAATAGCCGATGTCAAGTATTACCACAACATGTCGTATGTGGCCCTTGCTATTTGTCGGAAGAACAACCACACGGTCTCCTTCGAGTCCCAAGACGCGCTTGCATACCATCACCCGAGGGTTCACGGGAGATCTCGCCATCACCACATCCCCGGACCGAACCTTTTCGAACTTGACCGACAGATGCTCTAGCAGTAGGATGTCTCCAGCCACGTTGAATGTTGGCAGCATACTAGGCCCTAAACACTGAAAAGAAGCTTCAGGGTCTTAGGGTTCTACACTAATTGTAAAGCATGTAATATATCAATCAGGCTTAGTCGCTTGCATTGCCGTGTGTATACAATATTATGAGAGTTCACGAGACCGAGAAGCTTCGCAATTCTTGCTCAAATAATTCGGTAAGTTTGAGCCGTCCCAGCAGTGGTCGTGGCGAACATTTTATAGTAAAAATCGGACCAGTCTAAGCAAAATCCCAACGGACAAAGAGTGGAAATGCGAAGACACTGGCCCCAATCCATATTCAGCTGCGCTCTTACCTGGTGGACTTGGCAAACGTGATTGGAGAAAACATGAAGGAAGCAGAGAAATTGCGTAAACACTACGGACCGCTCCCACGCCTCTTGCATCAGTGCTCTCCAAGCTGCCATGGCTACGACCGATCTCTCAAGAACACAATCCTCAACCGGCGGCACACCCGATGCGGCACGGAAGCAGCCTAGAACATGATCCGCATCCTCGTCGTATTTATCTCGTCATGGCTCCCATCACGGAACGTCAAATGTCCGACGCGCGCGCCGCGCAAGAACATGCTTCTCATCACTTCTCTTCGCCCGAGTAACCAATGACGCGATGCACACTGGAAACACGAGCCCGAGCTCCAGCAAATTGGTCTTCCGTCGAAGGTGGAATCGTTCGTGCGCCTTCTCTCTCTTACTCACTCACTCACTCACTCACTCACTGCTCGGGCTGGGCCGGATTTCCAACAGATCTGACGACGAGGAGGCCCAAATTGATTTCCACTCCATCGCCAATGCTCCAGCGCAGGAAAACGCGCGAGGAATTTGACGACAATGGGTCGGACGAGAGGAATCGATGCACGAAGGAAGGCTTCGGATTGGCAAAACCCCGACGACGACGAGGAGGAAAGAGAGGCGTGCAATCGTCGTAACGCGTTCCAATTTCCGAACCACGCCCAGTGGATGGAGGACGCAGGCCAAAGTCAGTCCATTGTATTTTCCGTCGATCATTACTTTATGCTTAGTATGACCCGTTTTAACACTTTTTGTTTTCATCAGAAATTCATTATGTTTCTGTATATAAAGCACAAGCCAGATGATTCACTATATTGCAACTCATTTTAGTATGTCACAGTGTCTATAAAATTTATATATTATGTGCTGTGTAAATATTTACTTATCGTAGTCTAGCTGGTTTCTGGTTACATTTATTTATGGTCTTTGTTCCGGTTTCATATAGTCGTGTCATCACTTTAGCTATCCACTTGGCCACTTCACCTACATTGTCCATTTGGCCATGCGCTTTTCAGAGATCATTAATCTTATAAATAACAGTCCCCATTAAATTTTTGACACGAAGAAGTGTGGGAAGATCTTATTAAACCTAATGAAACCAAACCAGAATCCAAAGGATGTTACTTGGCCTATACACCATTGTGATCCTAGATCAAAATGGTGTATTTGAGCTCACCTAAGATATACTACTATTATACATCTTGGTTACAAACATCGCCATATAAAGAATGATATTATTACTTATGCAATCTTTAGAAGAGTGATTGATTAAGGATACTTAATTTATTCGAATGCTATAGTAGTATGTAGAACATTTGACCTCTAGTTGGTGCACTCTGTAATGAACCAACTGTGGTAGATGATGCTTGTTTGAATGCTAGTTGGTGCAAAGAGAAAGAGAAAGAGAAATAGAAATAGTAATCATCGTAAGTGATGCTTGTTCTAGAAAGAAGCATGCTCACTTATTTGTTCAGATGCAGATTTTAGTCGATAGGGCTTGTTGACAAGTCGAAGCCAGTTCTCCAAAAATGAACTCTCTATCTCTGAGCTCACCTAAGATATACCATCCATTCCCTGCTCTAAGAGGCAGACTTATGAGGGAGAAAGCTTCGAGGAATGCTGAAGAACTTTCTCCTGAATAGAGCATCAGAATAGGGTCTGACAGGTCCAATGTGTACTGAATTAGTATTTTCTGTAAAAATTGATTTATGGAATGAAATGAAAACAACTGCAGCATCCAAATGACTAAGTCTGGACTCAGCCCAGGTAACAGAATCACCTCAGACATGTGCCACCGTGGAGATGCGGGGTATCGATCCCCGTGCCTCTCGCATGCTAAGCGAGCGCTCTACCATCTGAGCTACATCCCCTTATACTCCCGGTGCTGAAATTTAAATAATATTAATCATAAGAAGATAAAATGGTCATTGTGTTCATTGACCGATTGAATTGTCTTTTGCATCGTATTGCTATGTATACTTACAAAGTATTAAAACGTTAGTTCTCTTCACTTGTAAAAACTGTCTTCATTTTTTCCGAATTCTAGAGAAGAAAATATTCAATGTCCCGATACTTTGAGTTAAAAGATTCGTTGAACGGAATTAAAAGAACCAAACGTTTTGTTCAGTATGTTGGTAGCCACGGAATGTTCGTTTCCAACATTTGCAATCTACTAAGTGAAGCTGGACAAAGAAAATGTAGAATTTCTGTCACACAAGTCAATTTGCAAAAACTTTACTCGAGTTCAACCAGGGCAAGGCCACGCCCACTCTTTTGTATGGATTCATGTACGAAGTTTTCACGCTTCATCATTTAAAAAATGATCTTCGCCGTCACTCGTTCGTGCTACTTTGGCGCATTGCCGCTATATTAGTGTGATTCATTCACTCCGACAGGGCGAATAATTTCGCTTTCCTTACTAAAAGGTAGGTAAAATATGTCTGTTCAGATTTCCAACCAATTAATTATATATATCACATGATGTTAAAAGGGCCTGTTCGATGATTACAAACGAGAAACAACAGCTCTGAGATACACAACTTGATTACATGAGCAAAGAAAAGTTGACGCGGAGCCTGGGCTGAAGAAAATATCCTTCCGCCCTCATTGTGGCTATTTCATTCAAAAATTGAGCTACAATTGCCTAAAAGAAGACTACCATTTTCAAATCAACTGAACATGATAGCTTTCAGTACGCGGTTTTGGACTCTTCCGTATGTAAATTGCGGCAATATACCTGCGTGATTCAAGAGTAAAGAAACCCACCAGTGATTTGCTTATTAAAAGCTGCTCCTGAGTGGCATTCACTCGTAATGCAAAAGATACCAGAACCAAAGTACCATCACCAACCGTGAGACCGCTTTCACTTTCAGTAAGTATAACAGTGCAGGTTTTAAGTGAAAAGTGATACTATTGTACATCGCTTGCAGCATAATGAACCTTAGAAGAGAGAACTACATCCAAATGTGCAGGTTTTCGAACCTACGTGACTGAAACAAATGAAGACACAGACTCTTTGCCGAAGGCGAATGTAGCTTTAATCCAAAAAGTACAACAGATAAAAGATATCTGTGATTTGTAATTACAAATATTCCTGTGTAAGTGACCTAGACGAACATCTGGAATGGGGAGTCTACGCTTCCTCAGAACTCGGCAGACCCTTTCGTCCACATCATCAAGTTCTGTAAAGAATAACGTTAGCCAGCACGTAGGAGAACGTGGACTTGACATGACGTCACGAATTTGTACAGATTTTCCGTGACTGGCAGATACCATGTAGTGAGTCTCAACCAGACGATAACTGCTGCTGCGTAGTCTTCAAAGGGTCATTGCTCCATGCAGGCGTGGTACGTGACTTGCGGGCGTGTTCAGTCACAACATTCGCATAACCACAGTAGCTAATACAAACCATCTCTCAGGTGGTCATAACACTTCCTTTACACCATCATGTCATCACCCTGACAGCCGGTGGACATGAAGTACACAAGATGAAGGTGCAACGCTAGTCGCTAATGAGCCACCTTAAATCCAACACTTCTGATCTTAAATATAAAACCAGGTGCGTCCTCAGCTACATGAAGGACATCCGATTGACAACCACAGCTGTGGAAGTTTTTGTATATAATGATCCCTGTTGTCCTCTCTTGGTGTTGATTAACCTCGTCCGCGAGATCCTGGAACAAGATACAGAACTGTAAATCGATACAGGCGAGATGAAAAAGCGAGATGCAGGGGATAAACTATGCAGTCTCTGATGAAACGTTATACAACGCATTTGGGCAACTCAAACTGAACAGAATCAAGACAGTGACATACCACCCCTACCACCACCACCTCTTCCTGAACCTCGAGTACCACCACGAGAGGCTCCCCTCCCAGCTCTATCGTTGCCTTCCTCTTGATAGCCTCGTCCACCTCGTCCACCGGCTCTCCCGGCACCTTCCTCCCCTCTTCCGCGGCCTCGGGGACGACTAGGAAACTGGGGTCTTCGATCTGGAGACAATGACGAAGGGTTCAATACGGAGTCAGAAGGCCAAGTATATAAACACAACAGAGCTTAAAACACGAGCTACTCAAAAGGGACCCTGGAATAGTCCAAGGACCGAAAGCAAAGTTGGACAGAGCACATCTGTGAGCCTATAATAAGTTGGAAAAGCTGCTAATTCTCAGATGAAAACCACAAACGAGGGCTCCAATAACACGATATACAGAGCAGGGTACATGATGTGGAACTGACCTCGTTTCCCGGTTTCCTCTTGCACCTTGTCAATAACCTGGCGTACCGGCACATGCGTTTCGTCAATACACACGTAAGTGAACCAAAGTACTCAATCAATCCTGAAACTCAAAAGAGTTAGGCCCAAGGAATTTCCAATATACCTCGTCTGGCACTCGAAGGTACTTAATTGTGTTTCCACGAATGTAGCACTCAGGCATACGCCAGAAACGGTCCCCGTCCTGCGAGTCAAGCCTTCATTTCAGGGCAGTGTATCTTACATCAGACCCGAAAGAGCAGAAAAGAAGTGATATCATGCAGAACTCACCCTCAGAACAAAGTAATACTTAGGAGGTCCTTAGAAAATAAAAGTAAGGTATTTGAGCTCTTGCAATATGTACGGGATTGACACAGTCAATTGTCTAGTTAAAACCTGGCAGATAACAATCAAAGTTGGTGTGATCAGTTTATGGCGCGGAGATGCTAAAAAGGCACCTTGTTCAGGGATGCTACAGAAATGTGTGCAAAGCACAGAATTTGACAAACAATGTCAAAAATTCGCAACTCCAAGTAACATATGTTCCGAAGATCAATTCATAAGTTCCAGTTCGTGGACGTTCTCTCCACTTAGAGGAAGATTTCTGTCAGTTGGTTCAACGCTACCTGGCATGGATACCAAAATGCACATTGTGCTGCAAACAGGACTTCACACCTTGCGTTGTGACTCTTCTTCCAAGAAAAAGAGCACTGCGATACTTTCCAGTCAGCACCTACAATGAGCTGGGAAAAAACGACCCCCAAGGACTCTCTAACCGGCCGTGCAAGAAGATATTACCTTTGAGGTGCAAATAACTTCTCGTAGATGGATGTTCATCCAGGTGTCACAATTGACCAAGTGGCCATTGTAAGTCTCGCCATTTTTCAGCTCCACCAGCTGCAGCACAAGACGGGGTCAGACCGAAGGCCCATAGAATGCTTGGAACCCAACTTGTGGAGTACATGATCTCTTCTTCCACGTTCGAATTCTCGGGGGTATGAGCAAAGTGGGACAAGTACTTAACCATGGATAGTCGACACAAAACCAGATAGCGTCTACGAAGGCCAGCTTGACCCCGCTTTGAGAGATGCAATGCATGCCTTCCCTACAAAAAGGATTACTTACCATGGGATGGCCCTGGGCGGTCTTCAGAAGTGAGAGAGGAAGCTGAAAGATCGCGGAAAAACATAAAATTAGAGATAAAATTTTTGAACTATCCTAAGTTGGACAAGACTACCAATTTCAGCGCAACAGCCTCTGTTTCCTATATTAAAATCGACCATCCAGCCTTCACTGCAAGTTCATGCCGAGGTGATGCAGATTTAGCTGACTCGAGGCACAATAAGCAGGATGCTCTTTACGCTGAATTGATCAACCCGCTCAATAGGGCCGTCAACAGACGCCACTCTCACTGAAAGGAGACGATAGCTCATGCTACGAAGCAATTATCTTTAAGAAAAAGGTGCATCCGGACTACAGATAGCATTGCAAGCGATTTGAAATAAGCGCGATAGTACTGTAGATATTATCAGTTCAGGCCTATAAAGTGTGAAGGCAGCTCACCATCTCGGCAGCCTGAGAAAGGTGGCGCCTGCGATGTCTACACTCGCAGAGCCCGATCAGAACAGGAGGTCCCTGCGAAGACCGAAGACCTAAAATATCAGCATGAGGTACATCCCAGGATCACTTGTTCGGCAGCAGATCGCAACACACCCTCACAAACCACAAACCTACTTCAATCCAAAACAAGACCAGACTAAAGAAAAATCTTCGACGACATCAGCTCATTAAGCAGATAAAATTGTGACACCGGAGTAGATCGGCGTCTCTCTCCACGAACGCATCTGCCCCATAAGCCGAGAAAGGAAATTTCAAACAACGAGACCACGAGCCGCACCTCTCCTTAGCACGAGCGACAGTCCGTCCGTCTCGACACAGCAATATCAAAAGCTCCGTCCTGCACCACCACCTCGCCTCGTGCGCTATTCCCTCCGCACGCAACCACGCAGGCCACAACCGGAGAACATCAACGGCATGCTCTCGCACCGCTCGCAGATTCCAATTCTGCTCGAGCCTCCTGAGCTTGCGAATCCACTGCCGCCCGCTAACCTGCGCATTCCACTTCGTCCGCCCCTGCCGAAGAAATCTTCGCGCCTCGCTGCTCTGGCCTACGAGCGAAATGAGGCCAAGCGACGAAGCCCCCGCGGAGTCGTGAAGCTCTTCCGACGCCAGCGACGGACGAGGAGGAGGAGGCCCAAGGGCGAGGCGCCAGCGACGACCCGACGACCCGACGACCGACGGACCGACCGTCAGACCGGCCAGGGGACGGAGGGGGGACGGAGTGCATCTCCGTTCACGTGACCTAAGGCGGAAGTGTTAGGGCCCCGTAAGTGTTAGGCGCAGGCCCGGGAAACTGCGGGGGGAGGAATAAGAAGGAGACGCGGTACCCTAGCTCGGTAACGGAGAGAGGGCGGATCGCAGCCGTAACCGAGCTAGGGTTTGGTTGTTGATACATAACACACTTCCTCGACGTCGAGGGTCTTTTCGCTCGCTCGCACTCCTGCTGCTGCAGCTGCTGCCCTTCTTCGACATCGCGAATCCTCGATCGAGCCTGAATCTGAAGCTTAAGCTATGGCGGCGACGGCCAAAACCGTGAAGGATGTTCCTTCGCACGAGTTCGTTCGTGCATACGCCGCCCATCTGAAGCGGTCTGGAAAGATTGAAGTGCCAGCCTGGTCCGATCTTGTGAAGACCGCTACCTTCAAGGAGCTTGCCCCCTATGATGGCGACTGGTACTACATCAGGGCAGCATCCATGGCAAGGAAGATCTACTTGAGGGGTGGAATTGGAGTCGGTGCTTTCCGCAAGATTTACGGAGGCCGAAAGAGCAACGGTGTGCGACCCTCTCACTTTGCGAAGAGCAGTGGCTCCATCGCTAGGAATGTGTTGAAGCAGTTGGAGTCTATCGACATCATCGAGAAGGAGCCCAAGGGAGGAAGGAGAATCACATCCGCAGGTCAGAGAGATCTCGACCAAGTTGCCGGACGCATCGCTGTTGCTGCAGCTTAAGCAGTCAATCAAATGCAGATTTTCGTACAATAGTTGAAACCATCTGTTAGGGTAGAGAAACTGTGGGATACTCGGGAAACCGTGGGCTGTGCCCACGTTGAGGCGTAGGTTGTCTTCGTCCTATTGTGGAGCGAATTATCGTGCGCGTTGTCGCCGAAGAATATGAAAGTTAAGGTGTTCTGCCCTCATTACACTCATCTGATTAATTTCTAGATAAATTTTGACTTCAGTAAAGGCGCTGCCTTGATTTCTTCGTTGATTACGGGCTTTGGAATCGTACTTAGCATAGTAGGATCTGCGCTAGCTCTTCCCTTACTCGGTACCCTCTGCGCCCCGTTCAAGTTTACGCTTCCGACTCCCTAGCCATGTTCTCCGCTGAAATTACTCAATTTCCTTTGTCATGCAATTTATGACTCTCTGTCCGGCGACTTAATCTGAATTGAAATTTCTCGTTCTAGCTTTGGACACGAACGGGTCCTGACTGCCGTTGCTTCTGGTCTTGCATTGCTTGCCCATTCTCCCAGCTTCACTCACGTTCCTTGTGCCTTCGAGTTTCATTGTGGCTTTCGTCCTAGTAATTGTGGGATTTGCAGTTTCTACCACGGCTTCAATGTAACATCATATCCCTTAGTCTTAGCCCAAGCTTTCACACAAGCCACGTTGTGAGTACTTAAACTTGGTGGCAACACTTTCCGAGGCCAAAATGCTGCTACGATGACTATGTAATGAAATAGTAAGAATTTTAGCCACCAGTAGTCGTCTTAGGTTTCTTGACGCCTTTTTACTGGCTGCATGTTTCGCTGACCCTTCCTCTCTTTGAGCCCTCGATTCTCTAGAGCTGCGCTGGATCTCTGTTAATGTCACCCTCACTGCTTCTCTGCAGACTAATTCTGAAAGCCTGGAGCTTTGTTGGATCTTGAAATTGACCGTCTAATTCTAACGGCATTGAATTATGTGGCAAAAGCAGGAGATGACTCGGAAGTAAAATGTAGTTCTCTATGTGCCTGGAACCAACCTTGGTGTCCATGATAAGTTCATTGATATTAACGTTTTGCGAGGACTCCACTATCTCCCTGTGCACCCATAGGTTAGGGTATGTTTTGACGTTCATGAGAGATTTATGACCTACATGCATGTAATATGTTGATGTCTTTTGGCGCCATCTTTTGAATGGAATTGCCGACTGCAAGCGAACTAGGTCACGGTAGTTGGCGACAATCATCGCCTGTTCATACTCTTGTGGAAATTAACATATGCAGACATACTGCCGATGAGAGATATATAGATTACAATGTCTTACGAGCCTTCATCTTTTATGAGCCGCGTCTTGAGGATCTCTGCAGAACTGTTTAGAAGCCACGCTTGACTTAGTTGGGAAGTACCTGTGGAAATACATGATGTCCATGTACCATGTTGACAGAAACACACAAAATCAAATGCCGATGTTGCTTCACATGACCATTATCCCCAGTGAATATAGTGTAGGTCATCGTCTAGAGTTGATCATCCCAAACTGTTTCATTTAAGAGGAAATCGTACGTGGTTTTGGAAGGCTGAGGTTGCGAATCAATAGAATGAGTTGAAGAAAAGTATGAAGTAACCGAAGTTGAAAGGAAAGTTCCGAGCTGACAGGTTTTATCGTCCATTACGGATTTTACCATAGCTAACCAGTGTTGTCGAAGCCCGGAACTACCTTCTTGTCATTATAAGTAAAGATTGTAAATGCAAGTATATGTTTGTCCCAGGATTCAAGGGTTGAGATAGTGAAACGTTTGTAAGCCAGACTACTAGTACGAAGCACAGATGATGTAAATGTTCGTACTCTTGAATAAGCGAGCACCATTCTGAGGATCGGCGGTAAATTGGTTTATTTTTCACTGCCAAGTGCTTCCATCGATAGTGTGGAGAATCGGAAGAAAATAATATTCAAACCATCGAGAATGCTTAAAGTGTATTTTGTACCAAGGCAACCTACACCTTAGAATCATTGTAATATAAAGTATTTACTGTGAAAATAGACGAAAAAGATGATATAGAATTATGCACGCACCTGGTGGCAACATCTCTATAAGCATGATATCATCTACAAGCAACAATGAACTTGAGTCAAGTCTTCCTCCACACAACAACAATGATTACACGAACGCCACACACATCATAGTGAAGTGTGGATTACGATGGTCGGTACTTTCATGATAATACTTGCAGCTAAATTCTAAGTTGAACTCTTCATTATAATGTAAAGAGTTAAAATAATGAATGCCACTCAAGCGTAAAAGTCATAGTGATTTTTTCTATTGCGGAACATTCTTCCTCGTGTGTTTCTTGATTTACAACTATTCTGACCGTTGTCGGCGTGAGAAGTTCCAACAATAGGCTGTGGACTTTCATGGTCCTCGTCCTCAAAACATGAATTTTGAAACGTGAATACCTCAAAGGTTACATCCCTCCCGCACGTGGGTATGTAAAAAGCGCAGGAATCTTGTGATGTCAAAGCTGTTCCCTTGAGAACAAATTTGATATATTACAGTGTATGATGATCTCTGGTTTACAAAAAATGTCACCTTTTGGATTCAATCTTTACTAAGAACATGATTGTTGTTATAAACTTTACCATATGCTTAGTGTCGCACTATCTCGTAATGTTCTGTTTGACAATGTAAATGAGCTTGGACGTAGAGGAAAGGGTCAGTTGCTGTAGGGAAAGTGTTAATGTTCATTCCAGATTCTCTGAAACTTTCGAAGCCCACAAGTATGTGAACTATGTGGCGTGGGCACTACTGGACGTTCACTGATTGAAGGTGAACTGTGCGCTGGGGTTCTCACGTTGTCATGGGGTTGACACCATTAGAGTCACGAGCTGGCACGGGACGGTATTCCCCACAAAGGATGACAGGGTGAGAAGGAGTGGACGCAGAAGACTTCATAACCCTTAGCGCCAACTTGCTTCACGTGTGAGGCAAGATAGAGTACGAGTAGTCGATAAAGCGGCCTGAACATGAAGATATGACGGAGATGAGAAGGTGTGCCAATACAGTGAGATTCCAGTTGTACCTGCAGTTAATTACAAAAAACTGCTGCGACCAGAGAATAGACACGCATCTACTTCAACGCAGCTTGCAGAAAAACGATTGCCGATGTCCGTGGTTAAGAGCAAGAGCCAAGCGGGTACAGATGACGAGCTTGGAATGACGAGATTCAGGTGAAAGACTGGAACTGGAAGAGAAGTGTCAGCAGATATCCAGAATATCCTTGCAAGCTTGCATTCTATGTTTCTACGGAGATAAAACCAGGGACTGTAGCCAACCACATGGGAACGGGAACGTGATCGAGTCGCTCCCGTCTATATGGACACTTAACATGTGAGCCTCGTTAATGACGACAGCTGTGAATTTGCAGTAAATAGAATAAAAGAAACGGCTTCTCGATCAAACCAACTCCATATGACTTAACACCGACCACCCATACAACTACTTTGTACACGTCTCTCTTTGCACGAGCAACATTCATGCGCTTTTGGAAGAGAACTGTGCTCTCAATGTGAGATATGGAGAGATTTGGCAGCAGCTGAGAGGAAACAGAGACGATGATAAATCCTTTGATCAAGCGCCAATTCATCAATAAGAAGAGAGTGTCGAGGAAGCATGCAGTCCGATCTGTATGTCCACTTGATCACTCTTCATCCCCGTTTATTGCATACTCGCATCTACAATTGCAGAAGCGCAAGACTTACAAGGCTGAAGAAACAATCTTCTAATGACCATCCGAAATAAGAGGACTTAACTGACACGAACTTCTGCTGATCAATATGCAGTAGAAGCTCAGGAGCCGCTAGCCCCGTGGGGCTGTACGCAGGACAATAATATTCCTCTCGGACATATTCACAAAACTTCTGTGTGTCCAGCTTGTGGACGCACGAGTCTCCACTCTGTGCCGAAGATCCAGGCTGGCTGCTGGGATGAACATTACCTCATGTCTTTCGTGCCCAAGAAGCTCAGAGGGCAAGCCTCGAGTATACTGTGAAGCTTACAACAAGGAGTGCTGGGATCGGAAGAAAGGAATACGAAGCCCGACTGGACTCCAAGTCTTTAACCTCGATGCTTCTTCAGCAGCTCCGTCTCTCCTTAGGTGGACAAACCTTCGACGATCATTCCGACATCTGGGAAGGTCTATAAATTCTCTTCAGTGCCCAGCGAGACAAAATACAAGTCAACTGCATGCCATGGTTCAAGGTTGTTCATGTGGCTTCTGCTCCGCTGGTATCAACGCTGGGGGCATAATGTTACAGGCTTCGTGTGGACTTGAGAGGAGGCAGCATGACCAACCACGGTGCATTAAGCGACTCCTTTCCAGGCGATGACGACATCAACACATGTACGTCATCTCTTTTGTGAGCCTTCATGTGCTCGTTTCCTCTTCACTACGACTGGAACTGGAGCTGGAGCCGGAGCCGTCTGCTTGTCGGAATTCAATACCTCTGGAACAAAATCTGCCTCACGTTAGTAGCAGCTTCAAGGTCCCTAAAAGATGCTCAGGGGATGCGACAATCGTACCACAGCTGATTCATATCCACAGCTTGATTGAGGCCTGTGAGCTAAATACGGAGAAGGAGCCCACTTCCATAAAAGTGTGGGAGCCATACCCTTCGGAATGTGGTAAGGATATGTAAATTGCAGGGCAATAGATGGGAGTGCAAGGAAAGGAGACGAAATGGATGCCAAAGCCCCCGTCTAAACCATTTCAACATGATATAAGAATATTGCAACTGACCTTCTTTCGACTCAGGGGTTTCTGGAGCAATGGAATCCTTAAAGACGCCGATGTTGCGAACGAGACCCACTTGTCGTCTTATTTTCCTCACTGAAATTAAAACTGATGCGGGTTACTCTTCAATACAGGAGACGCTTAGGCACATAAACCTTGCAAACAAAGCAGCCATTTCAAACCCTGCAGTTTTGATGACAAATCGTACGCTGGAAAAACGCATCAATCTACACTGACGGGTGTAGTCAACTGCATAGATGGAATTCGTCCAATCGTGAAGACTAGAGTTTTGACTTCGACACAGTTGCTTATCATGACGTACAGAGGAATTGCCCTGACTCAGTCGGTACGGCAGCATAAGGTTGAACGACGTCGCCACTATCTTGCTTCATGATATTGTACTCTTGCCCTGAATGAGAGAGACGTTCAAACAGCCTCACCAAAGCTTGCCAGATATGCCAGATGCAATCCATATATTCAAAGCTAATCTAGACTGTGGCAATTGCAATCTATCGAAAAATACCAGCAACATAGGGTCGACGTCAACTAGACGTCCACGGCTGGAGGCAAGGAGGAATGTTTCTTCCAAGACGAACCTTGTAACGTAAAAAAGTGACCAACTTTCCCATCTGCAGAATCAACACTAATTCTCAATTTCTTCTCTACGAGATCTTCTTGCGAAATCTGCATGGAGATCAATGGGATACCTTTCAGTATGAGGAGTTTCACGGGTGAACTTTCTATCACAGTTAAACCTAATCGAACCTCAAGCTTTCTCGGCGTGGAACTGTGAGAGAGTTGTTCAACAAAACGAGGACAAATCAGCAAGGGTACTTACCTCGTTGGCAGGTATTCTCACTAGCCAGAGTTCGGTATTGCTGTCCAGAGCTTCTCCAACGAGAGGTTCCGCCCCATCCACCAACTGAAAATGCTCGGGCGGTGCATATCTGCAGGATATTGAACGATTCAAAACGTGACCAACAAAACATCTCCAATTAGCTACGTTCAAACAAATGCGAAAAAAACACAATACTCAACACACAAACACACGAACACATTAACGAACAATTTCTTCACCAACCTTGACAACACTTCAGGAAAATCAAATGTGAAATGCACGAAAATCCGAGCCCTTCAACCAGAAAGATAAAGCGGACACACTCCGGAGGGCCAGCGCAAACAGACCGAGATTTCACTTCCGGTTCCTGAAGACCCAAGCCCTCCTTCGAGAACGCCAATTTGCGTTGAGACTTGTCACCGCCTGCCTTGGATTTGGGCGTGGCAGCCATAGCTGCAACCTGTCTGCTCTTGTCTTCTCAGGCTCTTCCTGTCACGAGCACGTCTCTGGGATCGATCGAGCTACGAAGAACCGGGGCAGCCGTCGCAGTCCCCTCCGGTGCCCGAGGGTTTTGGCTCAGTCCAGGGGTTTGCGCTTGATTCTCTTCCTACGGATTCTCGAGCAACCTTTCCTTCCCGTCCCTTCCCGTCTCTTCCCCATTACGTAAATCCTCGCCTCGCACGAGCATGCATGCCATCATCCGGTTCCCGGTCACACCTACCTGTGCTCATTCCACCCTCCCATCCTTCCCAAGACTCACCAAAGGTTCAATTTCCGCTTCGTAGTCTCCAGCTCTCGAGCTTATTTGCACAATTATGGAGACAAACCTCGTGATACCTTCCTCCATGGGTTACTGTTGACGTCCGTCATGTCTGATTTTCCTCGAATACGTTCGCCAAGACCCTTGATATGTGTAATGAGCAACGCGTATGTTAAGTTAGTCTTCATCTACTGGCAATACTTGGAGTATTTTCAGTATGTTGATCTGACGCGAGGAAGATTTTTGCATAATGTAGTGGTGTTGCAGTTATTCCGCCTTCGAGATTTGCATGTGAGAACATTAGATAACAAATTTGAGCAAATCAATAACCAAGAATGTACTGAAATTTGCTCTAAGTCAAAAATTAGTTATCCACTTAGACCAGTAGATTGTATATAATCTTGGTGTATTATTAACCAATTCTTTGGTCCGTTCTAAGTGTATATTAAAGTGAATGAACTTTAATTCCAGCTATCGAAAGTAGATAATAATCATAAAGATACTCATTGAAACTGACAACTAGATTGTAATTTTAAGCACTTACAAAAAAATCCGAGTTTTGATTCTTTCTTGAACTACATTACATAATCCAAAAAAGAAAAAATACTGAAATGTTTTGAGTCACCATACTCCATAAGAATAATATGATTTTCAAATTTGGTTCACAGATACAGTGTAAAAATTCAGGCCATATCTTATCTCACAATAATAATAATAATATCCAAACCGGATAATATATTATATAAATGTTTTGTAATTTTGGTGGAAATCGTTTTGATTATTTTGCATCTTGAAAGTAAATTATACAAAAAACCATATCTTCAGCATTTTTACAACACATTCTACCTTTATTTATTAAATATCATTTAAATTTGAATATAATTTTTTGATAGCATATTTATGATCGCAATCTCAAATAAAGAAAAAAAGAAAAAAGATGTATATTGATATATTGTATAAGAGCTGAATTCTATTTGTATTTTTAATAGAAGTGTGAGTTCTCTTAAATAAAAAATTAAATTTAACGTTTTCAAAATTTTTTGTTTCTAGAATGATAATTATTAACTGATGAACACCAGTGCTTCATAGTATATTCCAAAAGATGATACAATTTTTACCTAAATCCATATTATTAACAAATTTACTTGAATATATATATATATATATGATGTTTTAAAGTTAAGGTGAAATTGCAAATTTATCATTCATTATGTTATAAAAACAAATCATCTATATTTTTTTATTATATAAATATATATATATACACACACACATGCAGGCAATCACCTCAAACATTGCAATATTAGATGTTCATTATATTTATATATCGTTTGATAGTTTAGACATAGAAGGTAACAAAAAACATTAATATCATCACAACGTAAATAGTCTCAACTATTTGTCTTCCATTTTTTTCTTCTTTATTATAATATTTGGATATTAACTTTTATGATTTTTTTAAAACAAATCTATCAATCAATTATGACATGATATAGACACCTAATTTGAAAGTGTTGTCCTGTTTTAGTAGTCAACACTGTCTACAATAAAGATAAAACAGAAATCAAGAGTTGCTACAGCTCACGTTTTACTTATATTATGGAATATTTATAAATATTAGTTACATTTACACATACGGTTTTATTTTCTATCATGAAGAAATAACATTGAATTTGAGGTTGATTATTTGTGTGTATTGTGTGTGTATATATATATATATATATATATATATATATATAATTTCACTCGATATATTTGAAAGCTATATTGAGTTTATAAATTAAAAAAAACATATGTCATGAAAAATGATTTAGTCCAATAAATGGATTTAGATATGTAAAGAACTGATTGCATTAATTTAGAAGATATTAATTCTACTATATTAAGAAAAATATATGAAAAAATAGTTACCCTAATGAATATTTGGAATGAAGTACAAAAGTGAATGAAGTTGATCAGTAATCAGAAATTTATCAGTAATCTCCAAGTGAAACATGCTGAAGGAATAGTCGTGGTTTTCTGTCGGTTTTCTTCGTAAGAATCGATGGGTTCTTCCACGAAAGGAGATGCTAATGAAATGCTAATAAACGCAGATATGGAAATGGAAGATGGAATTTCGACAGGACGGGAAAGGACAATGAAGCGAAGGGCAGGAGCAGTCTGACACGCATTACGCTACCGATTAGTGCGAGGGAGTGCGAGAGAGAGAGAGAGAGGGCAGATAAGATGACCCGGCCGAGCCGAGAACTGGCCAATAAAGCATGCCCAGGTGCCGAGCCTATCCAACATGCCCGGCAGCCTCGCAGGCGCAGAAGCGCACCCGAGGCACGAAAAGCGCCGCCGAGCCGCAGCCGAGGGCTCGGCTCGGGCTGGGGCCGAGGGGCGCAACAAGAAGGCCAGATTCTGCGTCATCCGGTCCTTCCTTGCCTGTGGAAGGGGACGACGAGGGACGAGGGACGAGGGACGAGTCACTCTTGCTCGCCAGGCTCATCGACGACGACGAAGAAGGACGACGAAGGAAGGAGGGCGACGAGGAGGAGGAGGAGGAGGAGGGTTTTAGAGGGATAGGCAGGCACGCAGGCGGGGATTCGCACAGGACGGCGTGCGGGATTGCAATTCCAATTTGTCGCCCATGTCCGCGGTGAGGATGCCCGTCGCGATGCCGGGCGCGGCCTGTGGCAGCTCCGCGAGGCCGGCGCTGTTGGGCTCGAGCGGGCTGAGTGTCGAGCGCGGGCTCATTTCGTTCCGGCCGAAGAGCTGTGGCAGGCGGTCCGGGAGCGTGCGAATTCGAGGCCGGAGGTCGAGAATTGCCTGCTCTGTCTCGGACGGCGAGGTTTCCAAGAGCGCGGGCGCGCCGAAAGGAAGCGTTTTCGGACAGGAGCAGGATTTTGGCGTTCCCCATAGCTTGGTGAAGGATTTGCCCGCCGCCTCGCGATATGTCGCGTGCACTGTGATTGTCGCCGGTGCCCTGGCTGCTGGTTATGCCGTCGGCGCCCGCACCAAGGGCACCACTTTGGCCAGCGTCGGTGGAGCTGTGGCCCTAGGCACCCTCGGGGGAGCCACGGCCTACGCTCTGAATGCCTCGGCTCCTCATGTTGCCGCTGTGGAACTGCACAATTTTCTCGTCAACCACCCTGATCCCGAGTCCTTGAAGCGCGAGGAGGTCGATGCCATCGCGAAAAAGTATTTTGCTCTATTCCATTCCCTTTGCTTTCTGTGTGCTCCCATGATTTTTGTGTTGTATCTTTGACATGAGGGTTGCACTCAGGGTCCTCGTTCGCTTGTTGGGGAGTGTGCAATGTTTGACAGCCTCAAATTTAATGGGGTCTCCCGAAAAATTCTCTTCCAACTTCTCAGAGGTGATTTTTTAACACTCAGGTTTGGAGTGAACACAAACGACGAGCGCTTCATTTCGGAGTTGCGGGACTTGTACGATCGGTGAGTGCTTTATCTGAAGGACTTTCGATGTTTTTGCCACACCGAGAGATATTTCTCTTAGCTTTCTCTAATTTTCCGTCGTGTGTTTGAAACACTTAAAACGAGTGGTGTTCAGGTATCTGGTTATATAAACAATTTCACTTGCTTTGTGCATCGAAGAATCTGATTTGTTCGTGCTGCCATCCAAAATATCACTTCAGTCGAGATTGTTAACCTACCCTGTTCTCCTGGGGTTTATTCAGTTACATCACAGATATCATTCCACCTGGTAATGAGGATCTAAGAGGAGATGAGGCGGATCATATTATCCGGTTTAAGAGTGCCTTGGGTCTCGAGGACCCTGAAGCTGCAACCGTGCACATCGAGGTAACATCACCGTTATACTCTTACTTTGATTGAGTACTTATAAATTCACTTATGAAGCCTGTGCCTTCAAGTCCATTCCAAGTGGTTGTTATCCTTGACAGACTTAGCTAGCTAGCAGTTAATTGCTTCCGTTTTCACACTGAGGACCTCTTCGATGAAGAAGACTTTGGAGATGTCCGAAATGTCGTACGTCTGCTACTTGAGGTTCTTTTTATATTATGCAAACTGCATGTACTATGTTTGTTCATGGACTATGTAGTACCGTGTAAATCGTATACGGAGTGTCGGCAGGAGAAGTCGCCACTTTTTAAACCCCTCTCCGCCTGTCTGTCACTGCCGGCCCCGTTGCTTCAACTACTATCTCTGCAAACTTATATGTTACAGATTGTGATTCTCACGCACCAGATTACCTCGGATCAGCTAAAATCCAATCAATATGACTATATTCCCTCTACGTTGGGAAGCCACGGAGGGCTTTAGCTTCACCTTTGTGATTTTTCTCTCAACTAATGGAGTCCTCTCACTCTCGCTCGCTACATCTCTAGTATGAGCGCCATTCCATATGTCTGATGATTGTCTTTTGATCGTCATTCTGCATCTCTTCTCTGGCTCACTGTCTCATTTGGTGGAATTGGACCTTTCTCACCCACATTCTTAGACACCTCAGCGATGCATGAAGTTGTGGGTCCCTATTTACTAGTTAAAGTAGTAGTTTTCTTTTCCTCTTACTTGCTACTGCTTTGGCAAGACTAGTCTCAATGCAGGAGTTAACATGCGTGTTCCTTACGTCGACGTCCATCTCTGTTCGTAATGGGAATACCGAATTGACTCTTGGGGTTGCATTTCTTGAAGATTGGGAGGCGAATATTTAGACAACGTATGGAGACCGGTGACAGAGAACAAGCTGTCGAAGAAAGAAGAGTAAGTGAATTATCTCAAAGAAGTGTTTCGTGCGAAAGGCCACCAGGAGTACTCTCTCGTGTCATGTGCAAATGCCTCATTCATGATGGAGGGCTGCTTTCACCTGACTTGTAGTGTGTCAGACTTTCTAATAACTTGCAGTCACTACAGAGGATCGTCGTCTTAGACAGGTCTGAAGCCATTCGATTTACAATCCTCATTAATACTCGATTCGATGAGTGAGTTGTCTGAAAGTTTTTCATTTTCTCCTGCAGACTTTTCAAAAGCTGGTGTACGTTTCTGCCCTGGTATTTGGAGAAGCTTCCAAGTTCCTTCTCCCTTGGAAGCGTGTGTTTAAAGTAACGGACTCACAGGTAATACACAGTGAAGTTCCCTTTTTCTGAGCAGTGACTAGTACATGTCAACAGGACAAATATCTGGTATGGGGGCAGTTTCTGGACTTCTGCACGCACATTGACTGAGCGTTTTTGCTCTCTTCTCTCTGCAGGTAGAGGTGGCGGTCAGAGATAATGCTCAACGTTTGTTCCAGAAAAAACTCGATGTTCTGGGAGGGAGTAAGTGTCTGTCCTTGATCGGTCCTCTACACACAACTTTTTACGTTTTGCAGAGCCATTGCTAGATGGAACGGCAAACTGTTTCAGTTACCTACCTATTAACAGCTTCATGGTTTCAGGTGTCGACGCCGGAGAAATCGCTGAGCTTAGAAGGGCACAGCTCAAGGCCAAACTCACCGATGAGGTGAGATTTCCGCTTCTTGAACCTCCGTAATGACTCGCAAGTGGTCATTAGCTGTCGAGGAAATTGTGGTTGTCGACGGCGAGATGCGAAGTTTGTTGCTGTATCTGTGTTTAGACATTTCAACTAGCGACATGAAAGGGCGTTGTATAGTACCGTTGTTTCGATGCCGAGGACATTTTACTCACTTGGTTGCCTTAACTTGCGGACGCGAGTGGCAGATAAGGCTAGCGATTTGGAACGGATTCTCATCACTGAAGCCATTCATCTAGAATTCCAAATTCAAAATAGCGGTTTTTTCTCTAGAGCCACGTTGGGTATGTCTAGTTGAACAATTGCTTTAAACAAAAGTCGGTCAAAATGCTTGCGGTTGCAGGTTGCTGCTGAGCTTTTTAGAGACCACACCAGAAAACAATTGGAGGTCTACATTGGTCAAGCTTTGGAAGTGCTAAAATCTCGATCACGAATCAAGTATGATATTCATGCGTGAACTTTCAACCCATTTTTAGCTTCTGCGGTGTAACGCTGATAGATGTGATATGGGGCACATTCAATTTCGTGCTACAGGACTGCTTGGGAGATTTCGGACAGCTCTAAAATTTTGGGTAATTATTTCCAACAGGGATACTGGGAAGATTATTTCCACTTTGGACGAGATGCTCGCATACAACGCTGCCTTGGCTGCGCTTTCTTCTCAGTCCGACAAATCATCTCTTTGTCCTGGCGTGGGCCCCGCGTCTATTCTGGGTTCGTCCTTTTCCGTATAGGATCCATCTTGCATCTTGAAGTAGATCTTATCTTAATATGACTTCAGTATGATTATTCTGATGAGAAGCCGTTTTTTGGGCTGTAGAGTAGTTGCAACTGATACTGAAGTTTCTAAGATTACGGACTGAGAATACGTTTCCTGGTGCAGGTGGGCAGTTCGAAACAGATAGATTGATGGATGATTTGAAACAGCTATATCGCACGTACTTGACTGAGTCCTTTTCTGGCGGTTCGTTGGCTCCGGAAAAGGTGAGGACTGGGAAGGCTTAGCTGGTTACAATGTGCACCTTAAAGTAAATGATTGTTCCCTCAAACAAATTCGAGCCGTATGGAATCGCTTTCGTTTCGAGATGTCTATGTTATTCAGTTTTTCTGGTTCATGTAAGATAAACTAACGAGCACGCCATTGTCTTCAGGTGGAAGCCCTTAGCCATCTCAAGAATGTATTTGGTATGGGTAATCGCGAAGCAGAGGATATCTTGCTCGAGGTAACTGTCAAGGTGTACCGTCGCAAACTGGCTCAAGCAGTTAGCGGTGGAGAATTGGACGCCGCACCAAGCAAAGCTGCCTTTCTTCAACGGCTTTGCGAGGAGCTCCAGTTTGATCCTAGAAAAGCTGGTGAAGTTCACGAAGGTGACTATCAGGACTCTCCGATTTCCTTGATGATGATGATGAGGAAGCTGGTGACTGGAGTGGGACTTTCACTGAAATGGTTATTATATTTCGAACGTCATGGTGCCCTTGCCTTCTTACTGTCGCAAGGAGCTTGCAGTTTTGCCTTCTGGTCGCTTTCTTCCAATTTGAAATAACGGGGGTTTACTGATATACAGAAATCTATAAGCAAAAGCTGGAGCAGTGTCTGGCTGATGGGTCTCTAAGTGATGCGGATGTAGCATCCCTGTTACGTCTGCGCGTGTTACTGTGCATTCAGCAGCAGACAGTAGATGCGGCTCACGAAGCTATTTGTGGACGCCTCTTCACGAAGGTATACTATTCTTGTTCTACTTTGAGGAGTTGATATTGTTCTCGACAGTGTTTGATCAGTTTTTAATAGATTTGGGAGTGCTTTCCATGGGAGTGCTATTTCTTATTGAGAGTATTGATTTGATGCTAAGAAGAGTGGTTGCGTGGCAGATTGTGGATGATGCCATTGGAGCAGGTGTCGATGGTTACGATGCGGACATGAAGAACGCTGTGCGAAGTGGCGTCACTGGCTTACGCCTTACACAAGAGTCGGCCATGGCAATAGCAAGCAAAGCGGTAAATATTACTTCACAAGGACAATATAGTGTTCAGAGTTGTGTCAACATAAGTAGTGTGTGGAATCTAAGTGGTTGTACCTGGTTTCTGCCTTGACTGACATAGATTCTCTTTTCTCAACCCGCGCAGATTCGCGCAGTCTTCAAAACCTACGTGAAGAGATCAAAGACAGCTGGCAACCGAGTGGAGCAGGCAAGAGAGCTGAAGAAGATGGTAATCTTTAGCAATCTTGTCGTGTCTGAGTTGATTGCGGACATCAGAGGGGACTCTCCGGTTGAGGCTCCAAAGGAAGAGCCAAAGCCGACCCCAGAGGATGATCTGGATGAGTTGGAAATGCTCCAGACCCTGAAAAAGACAAAGCCCGATGCAGAACTGGAAGCGCGGATGGGTAACAAGTCTCAAAGTGAGATTACTCTGAAGGATGACCTTGAACTCAGGGAGAGATCTGATCTATATCGCACATATTTGTTGTATTGTCTATCTGGGGAGACCACCGGCATGCCCATGGGTACACAGATTGTTACGCAGCGTGACAGCAGTGAGTTCGTGAGGCTTGGCCAGTTGGGTACCATTTTAGGACTCTCTCAAATGGAGGTCGCAGAAGTACACAAAGGCTTGGCAGAGCAAGCGTTTAAGCAACAAGCCCAGGTTATCCTGGCTGATGGCCAGCTTAACAAGGGTCGGATGGAACAACTCACTGAGTTGCAGAAACAACTTGGTTTGCCTGCAGAATCTGCACAAAAAGTTATAAAGACTATCACTAGCACAAGAATGGCCGGGGCTATCGAATCTGCAGTTAATCAAGGTAGACTGACTGTTGAAGAGGTCAAGGAACTGAAAGAAGCAGGAGTTGACGTGGACAACATGATCTCCAAGGACGTACGTGAGAAGTTATTTAAAAAGATAGTGGATGGCGTGTTTTCAGCTGGTACTGGGGACTTTACCGAGTCAGATATTTATGAGAAGTTTCCTGCCGAGCTAAACTTGGACACAGTGAAGGCCAAGAAGATAGTGGAAACTCTTGCTAAAGAGCGGCTGACAAACTCTTTAATTCAGGCAGTATCTCTGCTGCGACAGAAGAACCCGTCTGGATCGGTAAGTGAAGAGACAAGTTCTTTATTGATTTTGGAACTTTCAAAATGATAGAGAAAAGTTGTGTGTTGTACGATAATAGGTCTAGTAGACTCAAATTCCTTACGTGAAAATCACTGACTGTCTGTGATTCCTTGCAGGTTGCTTCACTGAATAATCTTCTGGCGTGTGATAAAGCCGTACCGTCACCCCCTTTGAAATGGGCGGTGCAAGAAGAGCTTCTAGATTTGTTCTGTCTTTATGTAAAAGATGAGAAAGCCTCTGACGAGAAGGCCGGACGCCTTCAAGAATTACTTGGTATAGACGACGCCACTGCTCAAAAGTTGAAAGAGGAAGTGCAAGAAGGTGGCTTTTCATCGTTCGGAGTAGAGGAGGAAGAGTATGCGTTCTAGTATAGTTTTTGCATTCAAAGGGACTGTAGAGTAGCGAGCATTATTTGAGTCATATAGATGCCGTCGATCTTGGCCTTCACATATGATTTGGTCTTACGGTGGACTTCTTATTCATATCTTCGGAAGTCAGCCATCTCAACAAAGAGAGCAGGGCTTTGATCAATTAAGACTAGAAATTACTGCAGGTTCATAGGTAGCTCTTGCTCACCTCCTTGGTAATTTCGGAGGCGGATGACGACTCCCACGGAGAGGCCAGGGGTGTAGAAACAGAAGCTGTGAAGGCTGTGTTGTACAATTTTACCTAAAGTGAGAAGAATATGCTGAAAGCGGGAAATCAAGAGGCCTCCACAGCATTGACAGATAGTCCCTATGAGCTTTTCGATGTATGTGTATTCAAAATCTATTCACGGATGTTATAAACTTGCGTGTCTCATCTTGGAGGAGACCCGGTAGGTGAGTTCTTGAACCATGGGTATAACTGTAATCATGTGAAATTTAATTTAGGGGGAGGCTAGTTAGCCCTCAATCTACTATAACCTCATCTCTGATTGGTCGAACATTTTATTTTGGAAGTAGTTCCTAGAACACTATAACCTTGCATGGACCAATCAGAGAATTGCATGAGTGAGGGATAACTAGCTGCTCCCAAATTAATCACTTTAATATACCAATCGTAGCATTCTGGTGAGGCACGCGAACTAATCGTTCACGATTTTGTGACAAGCCTGTAGATGATACCGTGTAAAATGTTGTGACTCTTTCTCGGAATATGAAATGGATCTTCCCAAGGCACACACGGCATGAGAAGAAGTTCGATTGTTACACCCGGCAAAGAACAACATGTCCAGTGTCACCTTCTGCTCCTCTGGCCTAGATTTCTCGATTCTAGTTCAGTGCACGGTATAGATCATCCTGGCGTGCCATTCATTGCGATGAGCCGTTTGTTCTTTATCACCGTGAGTGATTTTGATAAATTTTGATTGATTTTAAGAGGGGTGAGTCGGTCAACTAACTGGTAGATGCACACAAACACCAGTGAGCTCAATGACTTAAAATTAACTTCTGATAAGATAAATCAAATTCTTTAAACACATCTTATTTGTTCATGTAAAAAAGTGAGGATATCATGTGTCCTTGAAGTCATATTAAGCGGACCCCTTTATAAAACTCCAAACACCCATCTTAATTTATGATCTTCAACAAGTCTGATCACTATGTCACTGAAAGATGACATATACACGTTTTAATCGCTAACAGATACTCCAACTTTAATGATGGTCCTCCATAAACCCTTGTTAATGAGTAAACAATTTGTCACTGATCCAAAATGAATATCTTATGCCTGCATTGCCTATCTCCTGCAGTTGTTACCACGCCAGCATTTCTCTCTGACACACAGCTGAACTCATCTTCCGATTGAGATTCTGGTGATGATCATGAACGATGTGACGTGAGCCACAATGATTTTCCCTTGCGTTAAACCTGAAAGCAATTGAAGTTTTAGCAAAAAACTTGGCATCCAATCATATTTTACTGCATCACGCCATTGACTATGACAATGCAGCTACATTTTTAACCTTCCTCCTACACACATAAAATACTTTCAATTCATGGAGAAATTCTTTTGCACATTTTCCTCCATGCTCTTATCACGACGTTAGTTTCACTTCACCTGCACCAACTTTCAGTGTACTCTTCCGCTAAATTTTGCAGGCTCGAAAATAGACTTTACCTTATCCTAAAACGCGGATGTCTCATTTTCCATTTTCTCAACTGCTCACTCAAATCAGTGGTGATGAACATCTGCAGTAAGAAGAGTAAATGCCGTTGAACAATACGTGTTGATGGCCGACTTCGTCCAATGTATTCAAGTGAGCAGTACGTCTACAGTCCGTCAGTGGAATTCCAAACCTTTCTGAATTTTCACCACATTTTCTTCTTTTGACTTTTTGGATGTCCATGACGTAACCATTGATTTTTGATGAGTTTGCAAAGCCAAAATGAATAACCATGAATGCAGAAATCTCATGATGAATTCCTGCTGTTAAGATCACAGAGTATTGTAGCCTGGTCACTTTATGCATTGCCTTCATCATCTCAACATAATCTTCTTGCAATATATCCAATTTTCTAGTTGTAAAACAATACAAATGTGAATAAGCTAAATATGTTGATTATGTGAAAGAACGATATGTTGCCAAATAAAAATTTTTAAGATAGTTAATCATACACATTAATTCTTTTGTGCTATTAATTATATGATTCTTATCACAGTAAGTTTTTAATTAGTACAAATAAAAAAGTTAAATATAAATTCTCAAACAAATATTAGAGCATATATATTTTTGACTTGTTTATACATGAAGATTTTGGATTTAGGGATGTTAGTGAGAATGAGAGCATGTTTCAGTATAACTCCGAATAGTATAATTCTGACTGCATTGCCCATAGTTCTATATAAAAGACAAAATAATATTTGAAAATAAAATTATACGTGAATGGATAGCAATCGAAAGTAATCGAGGGAGGAATTGCGGATGCGGTCAATTCGCGCGCAGACGAAGATCCAGATCCAGGAGAGCGTTGCGTGCAAACGTACTAGTTATCCCTTTGAGTATAATCTCGGTTTCGCATGTCACCTCGGCCGTGTTGTTGTCAGCCAAGCAAGACATCACTGTCACAATCTTCACGGACCGATACATGCTGCCACACATACAAACGCTTCATTCGCCCGGAGCGCTGCAAAGTCTCGACATCCGGTTGGCCTTTATGGACCACGATGAGTCGGAACGTGAGTTGCATGAAGACCGGAGCAGACCATTTAAGGACTTAAATTTAAGGACCATTTGTGAAGTTCCTCAGACTCAAACTCACAAACAGTTTCCATTACTATTCTCTATGAAGTGCTAAATGTATGTACTGGTTGTGAGTTCGAGACTAACTGCCAGTAATGGGCTAAGCTTCATGCGCTTCAAGAATTGACAATTTAAGCTTGTGTATGAGAGAGTCCGTGAGGCAAAAAAAGAACTTTTGAACCCCTTTATGATACTCTTTGAAATATTTGTAGAAAAGTCGAACATCAGTCTAAAAAGAAGACCCTCCTTTCATTTCCGTATCTACTCGTTGCACACTTTGTACAGGGCCGGTATGAATTGAAATATGGCCGCGGGCACTAAGACAAAGGTCGTCACGAGTACTGATCAATTTTGTAACATTTCCTTGCACACTGAAGACTCGGCATGACTTGTGTGTCAAGTCTAAAATCATGGAATTTCTTCTATAAAGAATGTCATGCGGTAGCATCAAAACTGTTTGTATTTCTGGGTCTGATACGGTCCCACATATCGTGCCTAGGCATCAGGCATAGACGGGTTTCCGCAATGTCTCCTTGCCCGTTCCAAAATCAGCTACGTCCACTTTCACGTTACAGCCCAGTGCTCTCAACTCATCCAGCAAAGCTCCGACATCTTCCCTCAAGTTGGCCTGTCAGTCAGAGTGGCGAAGACAGCGAAAATCCAAATGAGAAAAGGAAACGGACATTGTGTCGCCTCGATACCAGCAAGAGCTCTCACTAGTCCAAATTGCAGTAACTTCTTCTGCTGAAACTAATGAAACTCAGTAAAACCGATTCCATACTGATCAGGTTTCTGCTCAGCTACAAAACGAATCTTCGGAAATTACCTCAATCACGGATCTCTTCTTGCGAGTCAAGACCTCCACTGGCCACGCCCGAACAAGAATTCTCAAGTACATGTCCTTCTCTTCCGACTCCTGCACACCAAGGAGTGTAAGCAGCAGTTGCGTATCTCTCAACAAGAGAAAATTCCGCGACAAAAATGCTTGAAACCTTGATCTACCTTCCCAAGGACATTGTTCAAGGCAGCGTACAATGCGAGGGCCGGAGCGAGCGTACAAAAGTACTAGGTTGGGATAAATGTTGCCGCAGCCCACAACGTACCTGGACATGGGCTTGAATAAGCTGTGCAGCCTCCTTCGGCTTCCGTTTCAGTAATTGTACCTGGGATGTTCAAATTTTCCAGATTCTATCAAGAGAACATAAATACACTACTACGGCATGGACACAAAAATGTCTTCTGAAGCCTCCAAGAAGGGGCATGACATCAACAAATAGAAGCGCAGATGTTGAACAAAAAAAAAAGTTAAACTTACTTTTGCAAGTGCAAACGCTGTGGCGGTGGTGTAAGGGAGCTTGGATTTAGATCTCCACTGTTGCACTTCCAAAGCATGTTTTGTATCTCCTGCAAATCACAGAATCACATGCATGTTCAGCTACTGCCGTAAACAGTTTCTAACCTACAGACCTGCGAAAACAGCTTCTTCTTAAAACGCATATAAAAGGCAAGACAAGAACCACTTTGTTTCCGAGCTTTGTCGCAAGAATCACCATAAGACAGGTTTCAAGTCACTTGAAATGTGAAATATAATTCGTATTAACCACACAAGGCTTGAGACAACTCTATGCTCGGTAAGTTACAAGCTTAACTTCAAAAGGCTGTAGGGGAATATCGTAGGTCAGTGCCTTCGGCGACTCAATAAGATCGTACCAGCATTGGCCGAGGTAGATATGCATATATCATAAAGACCTGTACTGAATTTCAGGCCACTCTGATGGAACTCCTTGGCCAGGCTATGTAACAATTTATGGTTCCCTTGTTCTTTGCATATCCTGCACAACGACCACAACAATAACCTTCAATATGATGACCCATGAACAAACATTGTGTTCCAGGTTGAATTTCGCCCACAGGTGCAATTAGTTATGTAGGGTGTCACCTTGATAGCTCTCCACTGATCAAGTATCACCTTTGTCACCCATTACGGAGAATAGTGGATTTTTAAGTCAGACAACAAGTACAAGCAACTAAAAGCGAAACGATTGACAGTTACACACATGTTTACCTTCATACCTTAGTGCAATCTCTGCTGTAGCTCGCGTTGGAGTCACAGAATTCAAAGACATCGTTCTCAAAGTCTTCTGCATCAATACGAGATCCTGTTGCGCTCTTGCATATGCCTGCACTTGATCAAGTCCAACCTCAGCGTTTAAGAGATGCTCTTCACTGCAGTAGACAGCTACGCCCAGAGTTCGTCGTCTCCAACCATGAATTAGAAACGAAAGGATTTCCACCTTCATGCACCATTGGTCAAGGCGACTGCCTTCTTCGAACTAGACGAATCAATGATTGGACAAATTTCAACCACTCTAAAATGAAGGCGTCATGAGGTAGGGCGTCATGACGTAAAAGTACAACATCCGTTACAACTCAGAAGGCTTGAAAGATAATGAGGTGAGGACTAACCAGAATTTGATTGGCAGATTCTGAACTAGCGGTGAATCCATATATATTGTGCTCCCAGATAGTTTTGAGTGCTGTCCAATATCCAAACAAAACAAGAGTCAGATACCATAAGAAACTGCAGTTACGTGAATCTAAGACAGGCATTCATAATGACCCAAACCGAAAACGACACCTCGTAAGGCACAGTCAGAAACTGAGCATTTTCTTGAACATACTATACTTAACTTCACAGGTAGCTTAGTATAGACAATAATTATGAGTACTAAAATGCTAAAGCAATATTGTCCCCATAATGCGTACATGTGAACAAGTAAGTTAACAGAAGAACTAGGAGTACCATTTTCAGCATCTTTCGCGCGTAAACAAGCATCCAGAACTGACTGTGACAGCTTTGAACCAAAATTTGCCTGCTGCTGCCCTTGTACAGCTTTCTGCATGAGCCAATTGCAATGTCGAGATTGAAAAACTTAAAAAGACTCCTCTCGTAAAATTTATTACAAAAAGAGGATCTTATCAAAGCTCTATGCTATCAAGTGCTTGAGTTTCTCATTTCTCACAACCGTCCCATCCATCACCAGATGACTAATCGGAAAGGCTGGAACAATTCGTGGCTCTCAGATCTAAACATGTGATGTACTTCAGACTTGGTAGCCATAGTATTAAAGTGGCCATTCTTCCTAGGAAAAGAACAGCCACAACGTGATAAAGCATCTTAAAATCAATCTCTTTGACGGCAGAGGGAACTCACGGTGGTGCGCAGACGGGCCACGGCATCCAGTGCCAGTTTGACGTCCTGAGGACTGGAGCAGTTTTCGAGAAGTGAGAAAACTAGAGCAGACTGAGGAATTCGCTGACTCTTCATGGTTTCTACAAGCTCATTGTGAATCTTCTCCACCTCAGGATTTGTGCCTGCAACCAAAGCGCACAATGGGAATCAGAAAAAGAAAAATATGTAAAACGGGTAAGTGATCGGCAGTGCTGTAGAGAGACTTGAGCTCGTCGAGGCTGCACTAATATTCATCTACTTAACAAAACCTTCAACTGCTCCTTGTTTTGTGTGATATTATTCCAGAAAAAAAAAACACTTCATTTCCTCATGAAAGCATAGGGCCAGCTATCCTCGGCTCTTTCCAATATCACAGTCAAAGCTCAGGGGATAATGAAAAAACTGAAAAGTCTATCTCCGAGTGCAGAACGAATTCCCCACGTAAACCTCTAAAACCCCGAGTAGGAACTCATCCTCATTCACTTGGCTTTCAACGCAGAAGGAATTATTCAACGTCCATGTTAGCTTTGAGAATGGATTGGATCTCCTAAAAACTTCAGCCTCGGCTAGGCCGCAAAAAAACAAGCAAGTCCTGTCTGCGACAAGATTCTCATTCATCTCTTCTCAAGACTGGGATCCACGATAACGGGTTAAATCTAAGTTGAATCTAAGATATTTTTTTAAGGGACTTATCGCAATGGCTTCATAGAATTTCTTTCGAAGAGAAGCGAGGAAATTATCTCCTTTGGTACAGTAGACAAGAAGAAGGGGTTTCCAGGCTCACCGGAAGCGGCCACATCGTGATTCGATCTGCTGAACGCAGCTACGGAAACATGCCTATCAATTTCCAGAGCTCGGCGCACGCCCCGTGAACACCGACTGCTCCACAATTTGGAGCACAACTCCAATCGACTCATCGATCCTGCTTTCGGAGAATCCTTGCGCCGTGAAATCAAATCGATTCTTCTGTCGACCGGGAATCGACTGTCGCCTCCCTTCTCCTCTCCTCTCCTCTGCGCCTCCCTCGTCCCCCTCTCTGTCTGCCAAGGAGCACCTGTTCTCCGCGGGCCGGGTGGGTCCGGTCGGGTGAATGAAAAATCACCCGACGCTGAGAACCCGTCATCCGGCGGTGGCACCATCCTCCCCCAACGAAGGGTTCTCCGAACCCGGAAACCAGCGTCACAGCGACCGAGAGATCGAGCGAAGAACTCGCGGGTAAGTGAATCGAGGACCGAAGCAGCGTTGCCCGGGGACTCTGGGGAACATCACATCAGTCCGGCCAGTCAAGCGCCAGCCCCAGGAGTGGGGAGGGGAACAGCGGAGCGTTGGACGACGAACAATTGCTCGACGAACGAAACCCTCTCGACGACGCTCCTCGAGCGCGTCGTGGTCATCGAGCGAGCGAGCGGGCGGAGGGCTAAGAAGGGGCGCGGGAAGAGAAGGGAAGGGAAGGGAGAGAGCGTTAGAGGAGGACGCGCGGACGCGGGAGCGTGCGGGAGACGATGACGCTCGAATACGTGCACGTTGGGGGCGATTTGATTTGAAATTCAACTGTCATGAACGCCGCGGCACGAGGCTCGGGGCCGAATTGGAAGGGGCGCGGGGCTCGATCGGGGAGAGGCTTCTGGCATTCGGAAGGAGCAGCAGCAGCAGCAGGACGAGGAGGACGAGGCCCCAGGCATGAGATGAGGTTGCGGAAGCGATGCACGATCGGGATACGCGCAGTGGTGCTCTAGCTGGAATCGGGGGACATCGGATGTGGTGGAATTTGTGGATGAAATTGGCCTGGTGCCCACTGTTCCGATTCGGGCGAGGATGAACGAGGGTCCGGACCGGGTTTGGTCTGGTTTGATCGGGCGTGGAGTGGAGAGCCCCCCTGCGCATGCTTCCATGTGAATGAATGTGTTTGTGTGGAATCGACTTTCGAGTCGGGATCGGGGTTCCGCAGGTTGACCGATGAAATGAGCGGGAATGATGGTTTTAAGGCTGTGTGATCGTGTGAGTGAAGTGATACGACGTCGGATCTTAGCTGCTGAGGGGAATTGAGGAATTTCGGGCAGAATGTCCCATCATGACGAGGAGCTATGTGCGGTCATTACGCGGATGGCTTTGGCTGGAGATGGAGTTGTGCTGGGGCTGGGTATGGCTGTTTTAGCTGTGCGGACGTGGCTAAAGTTCCGGTCCCATTCGAAAGCTCTCAAGCAAGTTCAAGAAACTCCCCTCACGAGAATTGCCGACTTGCGAAGTCTTATTCTGCAGAAGGATGACAAGGGCAGCATTGAGACCCCGGACTTTGTTTCAGGCTCTCGAACGTCAACAGTTTCCCGGAAAGACGTATCCACAATCATCGCAAAGCCGGTGGTGAAGTCTGTAGCTCACGCCGACTCAAAATTAGTGATAGTGCGGGGTCGAGTCTACACAACAGCGAATGTGGAGTCGTCTGGAAAGGGCACTGACAGTGATTCTTTGGTTACTCAAAATGGGCATGAACGAGGAGTTTATCTGGAAAAAACTCAAACGGTACGTGTCTAACCAGGCCTGAAAATGCAAGTGTTGTAACGAGGCTATTGCATGATTTCTCGTTAGGCTCATAGGCAGCATGACTGTGACGCACAGAATGCAACTCTGTTGGATTTTGCACTCTTTGCCATGCGCTGTCTTCCAAAGCATCATGTACGGGCTCCCTTGCAGTCATCTTTACGCGTGCCATGTGCGTTTTTAGGACATGGTGCACTATATGGACCTTCATGCTGGAGCAAGTTGGAAACGTGGTCGGTTGATGGGAATAATTCAGGCCCTATAACTAATCAGATTTTCCTGCACAATCAACCCATGATGCTGTAAGGTTGAAAGCTTGTTCGAGGACCATATACGAACAAACTTTGTTTAGTGCATATGACAACTTGCATGTCATTTCGTCTGTGTGGAGGGCTTACTTTGTGTGCTTGGTTATTGCATTGTCTCAGTATATGCACACTGAGATGAACAGCTTACTGGGCTGGATAACACAGAAAGATTTGATCACGCTCACACGGCGAATGGTACGCTTTTACGAAGCTCTAACCCAATTCTCCTTTGCTCTGTTTCTCTTCGTCGTGTTGTTTGTTTCCAGTGCTTGTACAATGAATGGAGAGGCATTTTTGGGTGGGGCTATGAGTGGAAGGGCCTATTGGGATGGGGCTCTCTTGCGGAGCAAATCACTGTCTCAAGGCGTAAGGTATGCAGTAGACTAGGGTTCGCAGAAAAGTTGCTGGTAGATTTTATACTTTTCCTTCCGCACTCGTTACCATCTCTCTTGGATACTCTCTTGGATACTTTGGTATGTAAATACTAGATCTGCAAAGTGAACATGATTTCGTGGTACATTTTGGAATCATGGAACTGAATATACTTTTGGCGCTAAATTTTCGGATAGTCTATATTTTCGGCGACCACAGGAAAGTGTCATGGTTCGTTTATAAGATGCGTTTCATTCCCGGACCTCTTATGTACTTAAAATGCCTCGTTAGCCAGCTAGAAGAGTACGGTTAGGATGTGGCCATCTTGCGATCAAGAGTATTTTGCGTTGTAGTAGGTTAGTTTTTCAATCTCGAGTGGTGCTTGTTCTTCAAGGAGAGTGAAGCCATGACAGGGTTTTGGGATGAGTTTCATCTCACATTACATCTCACCAAAACTAGCATTCAGTTGTCCAATGTTTTCTTTTCATTTTTCAACATAGCATGGTAAATGAGAGTGTTTGTCACTTTTTCAAGGCGCTCAGGACATTCCGGAAGTGTTGGATGTGGAGGGATTGACCTCGACACAAAATTGTTAACAAAATTTGGCTATATATTTATACTGTGAATAGCTGGACAACAAACTAGAGTGTCTGGGATGTAGTTGGCTTTGAGTCGGTTCTGATAGGTTATCCTGTGGGCAGGTTCTGATGATCCCTTAGTGTATTGGAGCAAAGGGGTTCTAGGTTTTCAAGTTTTCCTGAACGTGGTGCAGGTACCATTCGTTCTGGCTGGAAGTGATGTTCATTCCGACGCTTCTCAATCCAAAGAAGTATATGTTCATGTTCAGCTGGATGACCCACCGAAGCACCCACTACCTCTTGTCACTGTGTACCATAAATTGCATCCGGTTCCAGCATCCTCCTACACCTTCTTCCAGGCTATGTTTGGACGACGCTATCCGGTCATGCTCTACTCTCTCACGCTCTTGCTAATCACTTCACACTTTCATATCACAAAGTTGGATGTAGGTTGTGCCTCACTGTGTTCCTCTTGTTCTTTCTAATATTAAACCTTTCCTGAACAGGTCGGATTACTGGATGAAGAAAAGATTCTTCCACTGGGAAAGGAAATTACTGCTGTTGGGCTGATAACTGCATCTCCTGACGGCAACCCCATTATATATTCTTGCAAGCATCTCCCTTGCTTCCTGTAAGGCCTCGAAAGATGTCGATAGTACCACTTTCTGTTCATCCTTTGTTGTCCACCTTGTCTTAAAGATGTCTTTACGATAAACTGCTTGCGAAGTCCAGAAACTCGAAAGAATCTCGCTAGTAACACATTCACACCGCTTTGCTTGTTATTTTTCAACTAAACGTAAGAATCTGATAACACAAGCTCTCATTACTCGCAGAACGGAGGGCACTCGCGAGCAACTGGTAACAGAGTTAGCCAGTGGAACGAAGGTTCTCTTGTGGACTGGTATTGCCATGAGCACCGTAGCTCTTGGTATTCTGGGATATGCTTTTGTGAAGTAAGTGACATCCTCTTGAATATTACCGAGAAGACGCATAAGAACTTTCAATCTCTCTCACAATAGTTTTGCAAGTTCGAGATACCGTAAACGCTTCTGGCTGAAACGTCCCTTTTGTGTAATTTAATATCTTTATTATCTGGAACCAAGACCTCGACTATGTCCTATATACTAAACTCAGCCCCTTGAACAACAGACTTTGAGTATAACTTCTAGAATCTGAGTGAAAATTGGATTTTGTGAATGGTTCAGTACATCACACCCATTTTCGTATAAGAGAACTGGACTTACTACCATGTACTTGTCGTAGCCTGAATATACCATAGATCCCCGCGTCTTAATGTTATTCTGTAGACCCCGCATCGTGCCTGAAAGGTGCTGCATAAATGAAACGAATCAATATTGATTGCGGTTACAATCAAAGATGTAGAGAACGTTCTGGTAGAGAATGTTCTGGTAGAGAAGGTAGACATGATATCATTCCTGAACCGTGTTTGTAAGTGATTTCATAATTTCTAGATTCCATTACACTGCCTTAGATGAATGAATTACAACGAATAGAGAAGGTTTATTCTTTTTATTCTATTTATGACTTAACATAATCTGAGTTGAGCTTTAATCTACTAAAACGCATCCCACTTTTTTGGAAAACGGAGAATGAAGTTCTGAATGTTTTATCGTGTTCTAGAAGAACTCAATAGTGCTGGTGTCAAGTAACTGGTCATCAATATTCAAAGTTCCAATTGTAGACTTACACACTTTTGTGACTTGACGAATTGATTATTGATTGCAGAAATTGGACCAAGTACAAGGCCAGGCAACGAGATAGGCAAAGGAGGGACGAGGAGAGACAACAAGACAGTTTGTTGGTGGAGTATGAATTGGAGGATATAACAGACGTTCCTGACGGGGAACTCTGCATTGTATGCCTTGTGCGTAGACGAAGGGCAGCGTTCATTTTTTGTGGGCATCGTCTGTGCTGTGTGAGTTGCGCTCAAAGAGTTGAGCAGGGGGCCAATCCCCGCTGTCCCGTCTGCAGGCAGTCAGTCACTGGCTATGTCCGTGTGTTTGATAGTTGAGGACCATCCTCGCAAATATCTACTGTTCACGTCTTGTCTTCGGAACCTAAGATGTTGCGTCGGTTTAGCCACTCGAAGCACTCTTTATACATCAAAGCTCTTCATCGTCATCAGTCACCACCCACGGCTGGACAGAAGCCATCGTTGACATTAACGAGGCCTGCATTAGAAGCAGTTCGGGTGATGTGCATGTGTACAGATTGTTGCCTTTTGAGAGGTTTCGCCTTTCACCCTGTGGATTGGGGTTTGGATCCTTTGAGCCGTTGATTGAACAGTTAGCGAAACTAGCTTTATCTCTCTTAGAATCAAGATTCCAGGCATGAAGATTCTTATGTCTTAGTTCTACAACAGAGCAAGAGGTTCCTTCGTGGTCTCAGGCTGCGCTATGATCTGCAAGGATTCGCTTCCGAGCTGTATCCTTTGTACAAGCAGATAGCGTCTTTTGGTCGACAGGACATTAGAAGTAAAGCACCTCCTTGCAATACATCTGAAGATTAGAGTTATTATTAGCTTGAAATGCACTGAATGTGAGTGCAGATATAAAGCTATTAGATGCGAATGTAGTTAGTGAAGGGTCACATTCATCCCCGTGTTCTGATGACGCAAGGATTCCACAGTCCTGCTGTAAAGAAACCTTCACAGGAACTCCGCTCTGTCCTGAATGTCTTTTCCTGTGAATGATATCTGGAAGTATTTTGATATTATGGAAACATTATGATAACGTACATGCATTCGTCTGCGTGGTTTTTACCTTACCTGACAAAAACAACTCAAGCTCAGGGCCATCATTGCATATCCGCATGGAGGAGTCTGAATGTCGAGTGGACTGCACATCTCCAGCATTAACGTAACGAACGCCAAGTCTTCATCGAAGTCCAAGCATTGAGATTGCAGGTTCAGAGTTTGCATTCCACTTGCGGAAGCAGTGGTGCAAATACCCCACTGGAAACTCGATTGTGGTGAAATCTTCGAGACTTTGGACTACGAGCCGCGATTGCCATTTCACAAGCTCAGCCTCACTTCGAAAGGAACCGTACCAGCGACCACAGTCTCAGCTGCAGTCGCTGTTTCTCACCCCGGAGTACTGGCATGGCCTGGGAGAGGCGTCAGCTCTTGCTCGGCCTTCGTGTCGTAGAGCTCAGCACCTTCATAGCGCCATCAATTGCACGACCGCTGACGCACGTCTGACGCGTTTGTCGCATGTCTGAGGTACTCGCATCTGCACTAAAATTCTACTGCTTCTGTAATTCCTACTCCTCAGCGAGATCGGCATGCGGTGAGGGGGCGATTGCATTGGCCGAGCCGACCAACGTCGGACGCAGCGTTCAATCGACGAAGCAGGCACCGTGGCGAGGCGAGTGACGATAATACATTCGGGAATCTCCATCGGCGCATTCATCAGAAGGGCCGCGTTTTTACGACGCGATTCGCGATCCAGTAAACTCTGACGAAGATCAGAGCGATCCAGAGCGGTTTCCTGAACAAACCCCGTCCCGGCCCTGTCCAATTCTGATCCACTGCTGCAGAGCACTGCACCAATAAACGTGTCGCCTCACTCACAGGCCCCCATAGCCGTCGAGCTCCGGCCTCCGAAGGACCAATGCCCGCGCACAGTCAATTCCCACACCACTGCAGTAATTATGGAAACTCCGGGTTACTGCAGTAGAGTAAAGTTAACAGACAGACGAAGGACCGAACCACGTCGACGGACGCAGTAAGGCCGCTCAGGGAGATGGAGACATCCACAGGGCAACCACGATCGACCAACCGCGTGACTTCCTCGGTCTGGGTTCGACTCTACTCAGTATGCCGGAGCGCAGTCGTGTGGGGAAGCGAGGGGTCGGTCGATTCGAGTCTCGGAGCTGGAGGGGAAGAAAGAAAGCGAGCGACGGGAAAGCGGGGCCGGACGGAGGGCGGCGACGGAAGGACGGAAGGACGGAAGGCGGGCGACGACGACGTCACTGCTTCCCTATCTGCTCGTGAGCTGCGGGCTTCGAAAGCTGCAAGAAAGCTGGCTGCCGGATTTCCTTCTTCACGTGCCCCGATGGCATCCCGCAAGCAATTCGTGCCTCGGATTGTTTAGAGCACGTCTCCGGAGTCGCGATCGTTGCCTATAGTTCGAGGGAGGGAGAGGGGCTGGTTCAGAATTTGGTGCAACAGGAGCATGCGTCGTCGGGCCGATGCTCTAGGATTGATCGATAGATAGATTGATTGATTGATTTGTTGAGTGATTGATCGGTCTTAGCGAGGAAAATCGCGAGAGGGAGGGAGGGCGAGGGAACGGATGTGAAGCAATGGCAGGCACGCTGCCTGCCAAGGCCAGTCCCAGGGGTAGCTTGGATTTTGATGCGGATGTGGCCGGTGCTTCTCCCACGCCCGAAGCAGGTAGTGCGCCTGGAAGTGGTGGTAATGGGAGGCGATTGGCTCGGAGTTTGGTGATTAAAGGTTTATGCCTTGTAGGTGGAGCTTTCTTGCTCAAGCATTTGACTAAAACTACCACTCGCCGTGATCACGCGCGTATTGTCGCGCAGTCGCTCAGCGGAGAAAAGGTCTGTGGCCGTCGCAAAATTGCGCAATCCACGCGATGAAAGTTTTCTTCGTTGCGAGCCTTTCAATTCTGTATTAGGTCTGTGCACCAGATGGCAGAGAGAAGCGCATTTTGGAGCATGAATTAGTGACACATTTCGAATGCAGCCGTTTGGCGACCTCAGTCTTATTGGCCAATTGTATAAGACGTCCTTAAAGGATTTGGAAGATTGGACAAAGGGTTGTGCTTTCAGCAAGTCGTGTTTAATGCAGACGAAGGTAGTTCTTATTGTTGACCGTATTGTGATTTGTTCAGTTTTCCACGGAGCAAGCGGCTCGAGATCCTATGACATATTTCAATCTCAGGTAAATGAGTGTGCTACCATTTCTTAAACTGCCGTTTGGTGGCCACTAGGATGAAGTTTTTATCCCATATCCCGTTCTTGAAGTTTTTCAATTTTCTTTGCAGGTTACTGACATGTCCGGCTACTGTACTCGCGGACGGAGCACGAGTTTTGTACTTTGAGCAGGTGTTTTTCCTTTCCAAGTTGACCATGTTCACTTTTTTCTGGTACATTTGGCGATGTCGTGCTTTCTTCCTTTCCCAAGGAATCTCGAGCATGTGTGAATAACGCAGACAGCTAACTTCAAGATTTTGAAATATTCAAATTTGTCTGAGGCACCTAGGTAACGTTTTACCAAGTAATAATTGGAATGAAAGCTGCAAGGCTTTTTGAACTTAATTGTTTTGGCCAAAGTTGTAGAACTGCCTGTCGCTGTCCTGTCTAGACTGAGTTGAATGCAAGTAAGGCTTCTGATTCTAGTTATCCTTCCGAATTCTCACTCTTCAAATTTCTGGAACTTTTGATCCTGTGTGGTTTATGGCTCCCTTGAGAAGGCATTCTGGAGAACTCCTGAGAGGCCCTACAGACAGGTACATTTTCTTGCTTAGGTTTTGCACAATGGAACAGATAGATGCAATGACAACAAAAAATAGACGAGGGATCCTGATTGTGTGATTAATATCCTGATCTTTGTATCATGCTTTGGAGCTTTCCTGCTGAGCATCGCTGACGTGGATGGAGATCTTTAGCACGTCTTTTAAATGTCAAATGTGCTTTTCGGATGAACAGAGGTTTTACATGGTGAAGCCGTGTCCAAAGGAGATGAAGTGCGATGTGGAGGTGTGCAATCTTCCCACTTTCTGTTTAGTTTAAAATTTTGTTCACTTTAAGGGCTGCGACATATGGTTTGAATTTACTAGAGTAAGTCAGTTGTGTTTCTCTTAATGCTCAAAATAGCTGGACAGCAAGGAGCCGAAATTGAGCTCGTTTTTTGCCTTGAGACCATTTAGAATTGACTTCGTGTGACGAGCCTGTAGTCGGAACGTCGCCTCTAGGACTAAACTTCTTAAAACAACGTCTTTTGCACTAGGTGGCATCGTATGCAGTAAGGGATATTGAGGAGTACAGGAACTACTGTGATCGACCAAAGAATCAAAGGCCACAGCCAGTGGAAGTTGTTGGGGTGAGTGAGCATTCAGACAGTCAGGATTGCTGACCAACTGGAATTCTCTGTTTTTTATGTCAAATCGTAGCCTGCTTGATTGCGACTTTCTTTTATTCTCTGGATTTTTCTAATAATTTTTTTTTCTTTTCTAGAAATAACCTTTTCATCAATACAGAAACGCGTTTTCTGTATTGTCTCAGATCTGCTCCCTAAGAGTAGTTTCTCCAGATCCTGCTGCTGTCCTGGAGCTAGAATTTTAGAAGACTCTTGTACCCGTTCAATGATGCGTATCGAGTGTTAGGAGTTCAGTCATATCAACTATTTGTGAACATTATCTTGCAGGACATGGCGGAACACCTCACAACAGTATATCTATCAAAATGTGAACGAGGCCGAAGGTGTCTCTACGAAGGTTCTACTCCCCCTGGGGGCTTTCCCAACTCGTGGGTATGAGTTATCCACCTACTCTATTTATCAGTAAATCACATATGCTAGATTTGTTGCCAGACCTCGTTTGGGATTACTGGATTCAGGCATTTACTCGCCGTTTCTGACCCTGGTTGCTAGAGGGTTGTTCTACCTCTTCAATCTAAAGAAGATCAGCTTTCAGCAGTTATTAATAATTCTTTCTTTCAAGGATTGTTATTTTATGGAAATTTTGAAAAGGGCTTGTACACCTCATCAAATCTCAGTTCCACGTTGTTGTGTGAGTTCACTTCAGTGGAGTTCTAGGTGTCTCCCCCACCTAAAGTCTCTGAAGGCCGATTTAGCCTGGATTTATATGTACGTAGTCGTTGTTTTGAGCAGAATGGAGCCAGCAGATGCACTTCAGAGTTGACCATCTTCAAGACGGGTGAAATACACTGCTGGGATCGTGCTTATGATGATGAAGGAAACCAGGTACCCTTTTTTCTCGAAAACTTTATGTTTAGCTTTAACTTGGTTAACTCGAACCTCGAAAGATGGCTGTACAAGCTGTCGAAGAGGTTTTACTGTCGAACTTGAGCTTCAGATAGGGTTGTCTTGCGGCGACCTTATACAAAGCTAGATTTTGAGAAACGATTTCTGTGGAATGGCAGGTCTGGGGAGTCCGGCAAGGGCCTTATGAATTCAAACCTGGAAACTCAAGTACAAGTGGTATTATGTCAGAGACGGATTTCATAAACTCGTTACAAAAGGACGATAAGGCTGTCGCCACCCTTTCTTCTTCCTAATAACGGGCAATTGGACTTTGGGTAATGAGAATATTCCGAATACATTATCCAGCAAATTTGTGAGTTGAAAAGTCATGGAAGTGAGACAATGAGCTTCCAGGGATGTTTGGCTTGCGATTTCCAACAACTGGTAATAGAGAGCTGGTTAGAATGTGTAGGAGTGTTTGGATTAGCGATTTTACACAATCAAGCAGGCGACAAAAGTTGGCGCCTGAAGAGATTGAAGGTAATATTGCTAACTTGTAATTGTAGTGTTCAGATCCAGTGTCCTTGTACAGTATATTTGGCTCAAGGAAGAAGACGTGTAAAATTGAATGCGCTCTCTCATTGGTCTGAACATAAGGCAAGGGGTTGCTTGCACTGCATACCATGTTTTGAAATCATGTCACTTGAGGAAGGTGAAAAAGCGAAATTCTTGCCCGACCAGAGGCTTCCCTTGTGCGTTGAAAGTTGAAAGCTCTTTCATATGTCTCTAAAAATTTGGGAAAAGGTTGCTTGCACTGCATATCGTGAATCGAATTCATGGTACGTGAGAAGTGAGGATAAGCCATTGTTGCAAAATCAGATACTCCTCAGATCATGAAGTCATTAGTCAGTTTCTGTTTGGCACACGGGTCCCTTTGATGCATCGGTGCAGTTCAGGCTCTAGTTTGTCACACTTTGACTGCAGATGTAAGGGTTCATTTTCTACCTTCAGAATGTGTTGGATGACTCTTTGTTACTGGCGGGTACGAAGGCAGGAGGAACTTCAAGCTTCCCAGATGAAGGCGCTGGATCGAGAAAGTACCGGAGACGCAGACGTTGTGAACTTGCCTACGACCATGGAACTCTTATGACCCACAGCTTCATAGAATCACACTCAGAACTTGCCTACGACCATGGAACTCTTATGACCCACAGCTTCATAGAATCACACTCAGACCGCAACTGTATTATTTGCACTCGCACTCAGACTCGTCCCGCTCCATTCTGCTCAAGAACTTAGAGGAATGCTAAACACGATTATGGGATATTCGTCGGTTGGAACACATCTCTTTCTAAGGTGACAGGCACCTGCAAGGTTCTAAACATGTTTGATTCAGGTCTGAATACTCTCTCGCTAGAAACGCGACCCCACCATAGCAGGTCCTCCGGGAACTTTCATGTCATAATATTACCATCTCTCAGAATCAAAAGTGCCTCCAATATCACTTGAAGATTTCACATGAACTCAAATTTGCTGTAGTGCAACGCGAGTGGTTACCGCAAACTTCTGTCACGATATAATAAAATGTACGGAGATGTTTCGAGCTCCTGATAAATAATGGCGGAACCATCTTGGCCCGGTTTCAAACGAAAGTCTCCAAAGATTTTAGTCCTTATTCGGAAAGACGAAGTACTCCAATTCTAAATTTTCGAAAGAACTGGTTCTTAATTAGATAGATAAGAACTTCAGCGCACTCCAATCGAAGACATTTTAATGATCATGATAGTTTGAAAGATAGAGGTTGTGTGGTGGAAAGGATTCAAGATTCCCTACTCCCGAGAATAGGTTACCGTTTCAATTCCGTCAGCAAACTTGTCTTTGACTAACTTTCACTGGGCTTGTGTTGTGCTGTCTAATAACTAAGGGGTGTACAATGAATAACGAAAAAACCATGGGAAGGTAACATGATGAGATATATACAGGCATGCTTACATTGTTCAGTAGGCTGAATTACCAAGATTAATTTAATTTAGTCTTATTAGAAAAAGTTAATTTAGGCGGCAAATAGTTTGTCACGAAGAAACTCTTCCAAGTTTCAGGCATAGAAAGCCACCGGGTGAAGACCTAGGATAAGACTGCCAACATAATGTACTCTTTTTAGACGAGAGAAACTGCATGTTTATTCACAAACAATACCATAAATGACGTTCTGTGTTACACTGAGAAGAGTTTCCTTGAAATTCATCTTGGATTGCTGAAAGTGGATAAGTATCTCTTCTAACAAATATATTTATAAAAGTGCTCCGGAAGAGAGCAGTGGAACTTACCACTTGCAGTGGCACAAATTGCAATTTTACGTAACAAGGGAAATCTAAATCCAAGGATAATACTCTTGAGAAGAATATGATGATGATGTGACAAGAAGGGTCATGTCAAGAAGTACAACCGGGTGAAAAAGATCAAGGTCGTTGAAACTCCGTTGGCAAATATGACAGAACATTTTGACCTCGAGTAGTATGACTTGCTAGATGATGGCCTATGAAACAAAAGGTATGTCTTCTGCAATTCATCAAAGTGCAAAGGATTCTTGATAGTGTTTAATATTATCACATACGTTACATTCGAGAGTTCTTTTGTACTTTTTTAATATCTAACTTTCACTATGATATGTCCTTTATCAGTAATTACTTGTATCGTTTATTAATGGCGGCAATTATCCCCATATACATGGGTTGTTTTCACGACTTGACGTTGGGAAGAAAAAACAGCACGCGAATTGCGTTTTGCTCAAACAGTTTCGAATGACCTAGAACATTATCTAAAATCAAAAGCACTTTGTGACCTTTGCGTTTTCGCACGAAAGTCTCAAAAATTTCATCAAATCATTTGTTAAATGTTTCCACGTCAATCCAAGCATTCTTTTGTTGCATGTAAGGAATCGGCCAAGAGTTTTTGACATTACACGGTAGCTCCTTGTGTTTTTCAATCATAGTAATTGGTACTTGTTCAGTCTCCATAGCATTGCGACAGAAAACAAGAATTACACAATCTTTTACCTTCTTTCTTCCCTCAAACCATGGAAACATCTTAGCTTGGCAAAAGAATTGTATGACAAGGAACAAGTCGAAAGAACAAGGTTGTTTCATCCATGTTGTAGATATAAGATGGATCATACTGATCAATAACAGAGCGCAACTCTTCAAGAGCTTTGATAAACTCATGATATTTTTGTTGACTTCTTCACTTTCTTCAAAAAGATTGGTGGAGTTCAACACGAGCTGATGCCGAAACCTAGCAAACAATCCTCAAGAAGCCTTGAATTTTTCCTCTGATATTTCTAGAGCAGATACAATGATTTTTGCCTTATGACATATAAATTTGGAAGTCAATGCAAGTGACATACGACGACTAGCTTCAATCCACCCTAGTAGTCTTCTTTCAAGTTCAAGAAATATACCATGAGATGCACGAAATGTGAAATCCTGGATAATTTTATGTACTTTATGAGCTCTCTCACTGATTTTGTCTTTGTTCAACTTCAGATTATTTCCATTTGTTGTCGGTCGTTGAGACGAACGTCTCCGCCTATACGCTAAACTGATCGCAAGTTCATTACAATACAGTAAAATACTGTCAAAGATTTGCTAACTTGAACCTGAACTTCATAGTATAGGTCATACACTCAAAACCTGAAAATTCTCTTGTTGCTTTCTAATCGACACATAACAGGAAAAATTCCAAAACTTCTGAAATTTCTTAAACCTAATTCCTCCTGAATTGCTTGGTGCGACAAGCGGAGAATCGATGTCCATCAATGCAGATGTCCGGATCAAAACAAATGTACAAATCTATCAAGCAAACTGTATGACAAGCTCAGATCTATCAATAGGACTACTTTGAATCCGCATCCCCGTTAAGTCTGCACTGGATTCTCCAAATTATAATGCGGACTTAATCGGATGTTTATTGTTGCTAGAATAGCTAGACTTAGTCATAACTAGCTAGATTTAGTTATACCTAAACTAATCGTGATCAACTGCTTGGTTACTTCTAATTCTACTTCACACCTACAAAAACCATTCTTACAGAGCTGTTTATTGTTGATAGGTCTCGCGTATCTGCACCTGATGATAAAGATCAATCAGAATCTTTTTCTAAAACATCATCAAATTGAGCTAGTAGAATTTCAATCTTGTATGATTTAGGGGCCGATTCATACGTTTTTGAACATAGTGACACTTATATAGAGGATTTTGATCACATTGAGTTGATTTTCTAAGAACAATATACTTCTTTGTACAAGAAAGTTCAAGTTTTGGTCAATAAGTTTGAGTGAAATGTTGTTATGGAGTGTGAGATGAAGTTGCTGATTGATAACAAGACTTTGTAGCTAGTTGAGCTTACTAGTTATGAGGCGTTGATGAATTGCAAATAGATGTACAAGCTAAAGTATTATCCGGTAGATGACAAGATAAGTTGTTGGCTAGAGGTTTCACACAGGAAAAATGTGTAGATTACAACAAAGGTTTTTTTACTTGTAACAAAGTATGCTATAATTCATCACATATGTGCATTGACTGTAATATTTTGTCTTGTTAGTACAAGACATACAGTGGTAACAATATTTCTCTATGGATATTTAGAGGAGAAAATCTACATGAAACAATCATTTGGCTCTAAGATGAAAGATCAAGAGAGGTTGATTTATAGATTATTGAAATCACTATATGAATTGGATTATTGAAATCACTAACAAAGCAAGCTCCTAGGCAAAGTAATACGCATTTTGATGAATTCATGGAGGTACAAGGTTTTTCACAAGGTGTGAATAAAACTTGTGTATAAATGAAGAAGTTGAATAAAGAAATCTTTGATATTATTAATGTAATACTATAAGTGAATGACATGCTAATCTTAGCGAAAAATCAATCCAACGATAATAGATGCAATAATCAATTGATGTCTCCATTTAAGATGAAAGATTTGGGAAAGTTGAAGAGAATATATGGTATATAAATTCATAGAAATTTGGAAAAAAAGAAATTATGGTTGAATCAGGACAAATATATTTGACGTATTCTTGACAATTTCAACATGGCAGATTTTAAAAGTAGTAAGGATTTTTTTGTAGCACATTTCAGACTTTTTGCAGCTCAATATTTTACCGATGTCGTTGAGGAAGCAAAAGTTTCATGTATTCTTATTGATCAAGATGTGAACAAATTTCATGTATTTGATGGCATGCACAAGGCCTTATATTGTTCTACTAATGGACAAGATGAGCATATACATCTCAAATGCAGGTAAGATTCACTAAAAAGCAGTAAATTGTATATTTGAAGAGTGCTAAAGATTATGATCTATTGTTTAATGGTTTATTAGACAATGCCAAATTGTTGTTAGGTTACGTTGATTTTGATTATGAACAAGATTTGATCCGGAAAAAATCTACAACTGGGTATGTCAAATGAATTTCACAATATTTGTATAGTCTCAATAATATCAATTGCATATTAAATTGAAAAAGATGTTAAAGTCTAATGGTTAAAAATTTCAAATTCTTTTGGATTATTACATATCAAAGCTTTTATGTTAATTTTAATTGTCTTGATCAAATTGTGAAGTTTTTAAAAAAATTTGATATTATTACTATTTAATTGTCTTTTTAATTTGATCAAATCATTGATTTTAAACCCGGTTTACATTTATTTTTGCATTTGATGACATTGGTTTACTATTTTGATCAATAGATCTATCACCTACATATTAAAATATTAAAACTAGTTATATTTTCATTTTCTTTTCCTGTTTTATGCACGGATTAAATAAATTGTGAAAATTTATGAATTAATGGAATATTTTATATTATTGTTAAAAATTTTGTTTCAATCAATATAAATATTTCAACAATCTACAGTCAAATTGCTATTCTTATGTAGATTAATTTTTCAAAACATTTATAATGCTGTTACAATATATATTTATTTATAAATGGATCAAATGCTTCTTATACTCCATAAGAAATTTTCAAAATAAAATTATTAACAAGAACTTGAATTCTTTCTTATATAAGTACACCATTTTCATCAAATATTCATCATTATTTTCATATTATAATATGATGAAATTCAAAATATTAGCATTTTTATTCCGTATTTTATGATAGTTTTTCTAATCAAATTTGAGAATATTATAAAAGAATTTTATTATCAATCATTATTGCAACAATTTCAAGCTCATCAATCACTATATTCTATTTTTCAATTTTAGCAACTCAAAACTTCATTATATCAAATTATTTTATATGTTTGAGATTTTTATTGCATCCAATTTTTCTTGTGTCAAATCACAAAATGTATCATAATCAATTTCATACCAAATATCATCTATGAGTGAAAATCTATCTTTGCCAATACAAGAATTTTGAAAAATCTTGCTAACTTTAACAATCTGGATCTATCAAAAGAAATATCGTTATTTACAATATTTGTATAAGGTATGTGATCTTACAATCTATAAAACATAACACCACTTGTATGTTCTAGAGAAAAAAATATGATGTATGTGGACATCAATTGAATTTTCCTTAAGTCCAAGAGTATAAGCTGTAAAATCAAATGTTGTCAAGATATTAGTTACACAAAAAACTAAGAATTTTTTTTTATTGGAATGTCCCATTGACAATTCTTCACTCCTAGAACTAAAAGTTTGTGATTGTAGAGTGATTTCCAAGATCTTTTCAATTAATGGTTGTACATCAATACTTGATTCACTATTTTTTATTTTGTTGCTTTAGGTTTATGAAACTTTAAACTTTATAATTAAAACTTATTCCTTTTAAGATTTGAACAGTTCATCATACACAATTGTCTTTGTTTTAGTCTCCTAAATTCACATAACTTAAAAGTCCAAATCTTTAAGAACTCCTTTGCAACCATGAAGTTCATCAAATGCTATTATTCAGAACCATGCGTGCAAATCTAATTCTGACTTTTCAAATAAAATTCAATCAACATGAAACGTGTTTATAGAATGAATGTGAATTATAGAAGGGTTGTCAAATGAGACTTCTTTACTTTTCATAAAGTTCTTTGAGTTTGATAAGATGAAATGTACTTTTCTTGTCATAGGAGTTTTAAGCATCTCATAATTATTCAAGACGTACAAACAAAAGTGTATTTATATCCATTAATATTAGTTCAAACCAAATGTGGTCACTCGAAACTCATGAGTACAAAGATGTTAATGGAGTACTCCATGAAGATACTGCTACTCACCACTTTCATTAGTATTTCTCCTCTTGCACAGCATGCAACCGGCTCAAACAAATCCATGAAATCACTAGAATTATTATGTGGATAGAAGCAAACTCTTAAGCAATATGTCACTTGAGGACAGAAATGGACACTACATAGAACTTCGGACATGAAGGGTAATCTATTGTGATTTTTTGTTTTATAGCTGTATCTATCAAGCGTAAGAAAATAATAATATCTTCTCCAGTACTAGTCATTGTTGAAGGTAGGAATACCCGTGCTGTTCACTATGGTGTCCATCCAGTCCAAGTATCCTACATCATCATGATATAAACTTATGAGATGCATCAAGTACCACCTCAGATTAATTTTTTAATTCCAGGTTACAGGGGATGCTGGTTGACGATAATAGAGTTAACATAGTTTCAAAGAGTGTGCTGTTACTAAAGTTGATAATTGTGGAACAATCACCAAGGTCTAGAGGTATAGAGTATATACGTGTGTAACTGTGTGAGGACTTATTTGCAAGATCTTGCAAATAAGTCCTCGTTGCATTGGTTACATGGGATGACTAATAAATCTCTTATTTGGAAGAAATCGTCAGGAATTGATCCCCGGATACAGCAAGTTAAGGGATGTTGGGCAGGGGAATAAGATCATTCACAACGCATGAGGAGGTAAATCTGGTTGTAACTGATACATTGAAAGCCTGATACATAACTGATACATATTTCAAACACAGTCAAATAGTCAAATGCAGTCCCACCTTGCTCATTAATCAGAACCCGACCTGACTGCATTTGGTTGTACAAGTGGCATTGTAAACTTGAGAAATACTCGAGCAAAGCTCGAGGATTCGTTCGCCCTAATGGACTGAAGGAAACTTCGCTCCGCTAGTATTCGCCACTTCCTCAAGTTTACTCGATTGCTCAGCATGCACAGAATTGAACTCCAGTTACTTGACGAAACTGTCGTGGTGGTAGTGAAGGCGATCTTATTCTCCACAAACGATTCTTTGTATTGCTTTTTCTCTTTGATCTTTTGTCAATCGAGAACCAAAACTCATAGCTGTCGAATTCGACTTACCCAACTTCTCTATTCTAATTTACTTCCCATCTCTACCTAATGTGTAGATCTACTATTCCCTCTGTGGAGATTAACACTCCAGTTTACAAGGGTTCGACGAACCCCGAAGTAGCGAATCGACAAATCAGCTCATATTTTACATTAACCATGGGTGATGGTAGTATCAGATTACCAGCAAACACAACAATCTGTATCAAGATGAACTGTCATTCAGCAGTTTCGTGAAATGTTCAGCTCCAGAAGCCTTATGGCTTCACCAAACGCAACGCTTGATCGCAGATTTGATCGTCCATAAATGGACGCAGGGTCCACATTAACGTGTACGCTTCCAAGGAAGGTGAGGGGGTGTCGAGCCCAAGAGCCGCAACGACCTTCTTCCTCATTTCCAAATCCTGCTCAACCATCATGACGATCAGGGCCATCAGTGGCACACAGTCAGAAAATGAATAGGGCCCGCTCTGAGCTTTCGAATCCGACGCTATCTCTTCCAAATCCGAGAGAACAGGGTCCATTTCCTCCTCGGATGAAGCAATGTCGAGATTTTGAAGCTTTTGAATCACGTCCAGTTCCTCAGTGGTTGCGGCTGACGATTGCTGGAAAGAACGAGGACAGGCTGCGCCGAGGACCGTCTCCAGCGTTCGAGAGAGAGATTCACAATGGACCTCTGCTTCGCGCAGATGGCGATGGAGCTTTCGGATCGCCGAATCGATTCGAAAAGCCAGCGACTGCGCTGCATCCTCGAGCCAGCCGCCGGCTTCGAGGTAGCGCGACAGGCGCTCGCTGGCGGCGGCGGAACACTGCAATTTCTTGCCCGCGTTGGCCACCGCGGGCCTTCGATACCTCTCGATACTCTGCTTCAGATCCGCGACGGTCTCGGAGCTGAGCGCGTGCTCGACCTTCAGCGCTTCCAATGTCGCCATGAACCGCCTGAAGTCCGCTTCCATCGCATCCCCTCGCCTTGCCTCGTCCTCTTCTCCTCTCGAGGAAAACGTTACGAAAACGTCGATAGACTTGCGATCCTCTGCCAAATACAATGCCGAAACCCAAACCGCACCCTCGGTTGGCGGGGGATGTGGGTAATTTTTCTTTGGCTTGCGAATCAGAATAATTATCTTTAGTCATCACTCAGTTTAGCCTAATAACCCTCACTCTACACAAGAAACCTCAACAATGACAGAGATTTACAGAGTGAATATATTAAATAGAGGAGGGCTCGTGTTTCGGCACAAGGGTGACTCCGAGGTTGCTGCTGGCCGGTTAATGGGGGCTGTGGGTCAAATGTTTTATTTTTTTTCTCCCCACATGTGAACCTGGGGCCTCTAGTTTCAAGGGCGCCGAGGAATTCTTCGCCCCCCTCCCATTGGCAGAGTCATAAAATCTAATTGTAGAAGAAAGGGGAAACCCATAGATATATAGCAAACAGGATGGCAACCCTTAGTCAAGAACTCTCTTCCCTAGAGAATAATAGGGTGAAAATAATTAACCTAAACTGATGGATAACTAACCTCCCTAAAATAATCCTGATCCAGATTCATGTCGTTGACGAATCGTCCGTGATTTGGATGACGTGCAATGAACTTGGTCTCTGTACTCAGTCTATGATATCAGCCAGTGGCATGGTAGACCAGTTGGCTTACCATGAGATGTAGTCACAGATCGTCGATCTGACATTTATAGCACTGTGATGTGGAGTAAAAATAATCGGAACAATATATGGTGATGATAATATAAATTTGGGCAATAACAACGAGAACTATGCTCCAAAGACTGATAAACTACTGATACGATATCCATGTTGCGAATGAATTCTTATTTATTATCTGTGTTTCGAGTATTTCTTTACATAATATTTGTAAAAAAGAAGTGCAATGATGTAAGGAGTATTTCAATTCTAGCACATCGAAGTACAAGTTTAAAATGTAGGTCATCTCATCACTACGCATATCAAACCTCACTGTTGTTGGTTCCTGAGTAGAACTAAGCAAAGGAGGAATTTCAGGAAATTTTGTGCGCAACTGCGAAAACCTTTATAAATTTTGTCTCCTCGGCTCAAATCCATGGGGTAGCAGGTAAAAATATACAAAAGGATACATCGTTGACTTGCAACCAACAGATTGCGCTCTTGCAACATTACATGGATGGTTGATCATTAGAACGATCACCGTTGGTTTAATTCAAGGAATGAAGGACAATTAAAGTTGGATATACCCGCATCTACAGTACAGCTTAATTATCAAAGGATGAGCACTTCCCACTACTTCCACTAAACGGCATCCCGTACTAACTCAATCTATCAACTTCTCGTCTATACCATTCTTCTTTTTGAGAATAGAAAGAAATCATTTTTCGTGAAAGAATTTCTGGACACACCACGTCTTCAGATTTCAGGCAAAAGACGAGAAGAACATCAAAAGGGTCCAAATACTGAATCGATAGCAATGGAACATTGCCTTAATGGCACTGTTCCAGGCAATATGCTCATCTGCTTTAAAATATATTCAAATATAATTTAAAATTTCAGTATAGGCCTGCCTTGGCATGAATTGTCATCTATACTTTACAGAGCACGCATTAATGGGAGCTACAATAAAAATTACTGCCTTCAGGCACGTCATACATCGTTCCAGCCAAAAGGGGAAGGAGCGCCAACTATGCATGAGGATAAAAACATTTTCCATGCATGCTTCCAGAACTTGGTCACGCCTCGTGATTCCAGTTATCAAATTGTGATCTTGCCCATTCGTCGATGACAGTTATCCGGAAGAATCTCAATTCCATAAAGACCAAAAAGCGCCATAAGAACTTCCAACACGCGCTGAGAACTCAAATTGCAACCGAACCAAAAAGTTCAACAGCATGATTTATATACAAAAAATTCACAAGAAAGCTTTATAGTCCAGCAAAGCCTCAGAATAAAGTGCCTGAGACAGACAGCTAAGATCAACACAATTCTGGGCGATGAATGAGGAACCTACAAGTGGGTATCTACTACCTGTGCCTTCAGATCCTCCAGTAAAGTATTAACAGTTGATAGGGAGGATATTTTACAAGGCTGAAAGCTGACCTTTTTTAACAAATAAATTTCGGATTGACTTCTCTTCACCTTTCATGGCTATATGCTTGCTAGAGAAATAGTGTGCGTGCATGTTCGAAGATCGACTACACAGGCACGATTACTTAGGTGAGGTAGATGCTCACTAAATCTGGTACAAATCTCCGATCCCACTTTTTAGGGACAGAGTTCAATCATTATGGTGAAGAGGTAAAAAAATTTGTTTAGGCGGAATAAACAATCTGCACACTGCAACCGGAATATTAATCACTTCGTCAAATTTGCAATATCTGACAGAGAAATGATAACATCACAACTGTTGTCTGTGATACATGCATCATTTCAACAATAAACGAGGTGTATTATTTCTTCTGAGTCATTCTTCATCCATATGCGCTAAACAGATCTACTCTCAATAACCTCATTCTCTCAAGATCCAATCTTCTCATCCAGATGAAAGCAACAACTTAGCAGCCATCGCGCTATACCTTTTGCCGTGAGTGTGGTGCAGAGTAAAAAATCCGGAAACAAGTGGGTTTTTCAGTGTTTGCTATTCGACGAAGTGGGTCTTTCGTCTGCCCCAGATACGTCCCGTGGCTTGTCAAATGCATCACCGAATGGAAGATCAAGATGAGAAGCTTCGTCATCCGATATCTGTCGACTTAAATAAGCACTCCCAGAATGCCGTCTGTTTATCCAGCTTCGTTCATGATCTTCCTCGCTTTCATAATATTCATCTTGGCTTTCTTCTAACATACCCACTCTACCAAACATCGGTGGTTCGAAGCTGCTTTCGGGTACCATGGCAGATCCAGGGCCCCTCCTGTCCCACCATCGACTTTCTCCTCCTTGACCAGGAATCTGCTGAATAATCCCAGGTCGTGGTGCGTTCTCTTGTATTTCACTGTCAGATATATTAGCCTGGAAGTGGCCACCCGTTTGTCTTTCACTTTCAAAGTTGGTCCTCTGATCTACTGATGCATGAGATGTTACACTAGGCTCTGCTGTCTGAGACGCGGTGTAGTATCGGTCGAGCCAATACATCTGATCGGTCTGCTGGATGGAAGGGCCTCCATAATTCTCTCTAAACTGGGCCGAATCCTGTACATCGTCTAAGGGACTCGGGCGAGATGAGGGCATCCGCTGTCCGAACCTGTCTCTACTACTAAAATCTGCAGCTCTTTGATACAAACTATCTCCCATTCTAGGAATGCTCCGCATTCTTGCATCTAAGGTTGAATTCGCATGAGCGAGATTGAACAGCCCTAGATCCTCTTTCCTAGACCGAAAATCTGCCAGCACACTGAGCAGATGCTTTCCATTCCCGTCTGGCTCCCAATTGGGATAGTTGCTCTTGAAGCTGTTACAAGCACACGTCTTCCACCGTCACTTCGATGAGACCATATTTTCCCACGTAGAAAATAGATTTACAAACTACGGTGACTCCTAAAAACTGATCCAACGTAGCTATAGCTACCTTCTCGGCTTAGATAAAGAGTTTGTGAGACGGATACCAGGAGTCTAGGCTGACTAGGAAAGCTAGGGAGCACTTTCAGCAAAAACGTTACTCGAGATGCACTCATTTGGTTCATAAGCGAGGACAAGCGTACCTGATAAAAGATTTCTCCATTTTCCCTTGAGAGCTACGCCGGTCTTTACTTGTGTGGAACGGTGAACCATACTTGCTATTACCATGGTGCTCAAAATCAAAAACACTTAAGCTGCCAATAATAGAAGTAAATATCGTAAGATTATCTAAATAATGTCGGTTGGGCCTGAAACCATCAACAAAACCCATAGCACCATACTTTCGGAAAAGCAAAAGATATAAAAAAAATAACAATTGAACTTTCAATGCACAAGAAGCTGGTGGGCGAATGGTCGACAAAGAGACTCGTCATACGGTGAACTAGATACAGGAGCAACTCATGAACATAGTTACTGAGTTAAAGAACAAGAGACATTGCGGACCTGCAAACGGAACCTACGCCATCAACGGTTGTAGTGAACTCTGTCACAAACTGCAGCACTTCGTCCACGCACTGCCACGCCAGTTCAAAAACAGTTCTTTCAGATGTGTTAGATATTCAATTGTTTCGAGTTGTCAGATATGCTAGGTTTGCCAATTTCGAACGCTTTCTCAAACAACCAATATCTCGGAAACAATGCTTGGTTTGAAATAATTGATCGTCACAAATATGTCGCGATTGTCACTGCCTCTAAAATCTGTATACTTGAAAGGGACTTTTGGTTTCGGCATCACAAGACATGTACCTTCGGAAGATAGAACCAAAGTATAAAAGGCGTCACGAAAATAGACACCATCTCCTCAAAGAATAGTGCACCCTTGTACTGTAAGACAGAGGCCATGAATTACTGTAAGTAACAGGTGCTTAAGAATTAGCTTTGTGGCAGCTGGACTCTTCTTTCTGCGAGCGAACAACAGTCGAGCTTTGCACAACTTATTGTTCACTTGCTACAAAGAGACGAGGAAGGGAAATATGGCATACCTGAAAAAGTGCTTCAAACTCTCTCCTCACCCTGTCAGAATTCTCAGCACCGCGCCAATGCTTGGGCATGTAGTGGGTGTGATAAGCAATCTGCCGCATGACGCCTTCTGGGTCAAAATTTTGAAATTCTTCGGCAATCAGCGATCGGCTTACTTGAATGATCGCTGCGAGTACTGCTGTGTGCCAGAATAAATTACGATTAAATATCTGCAAAAATCCACCCGATACAGCTCAGCTAATTTGAAGAACGCTACCTCTGCCTTTCAATGCTGAGTCATCGTCCCAGGCCATTCAAACGGTTAGTGGGAAAAAAAATACGTTAGACCACCAACTGCGCAAAGAGAGGCGGGTGCAAGTTCCGAAAACATACACTATATGTTTATTACCTATTACGTGCTCGAGTTGCAGGACTTTGATATATTGACAAGGACAAAAACATTTTCATTGAGAGTGTCCCTTTCCCAAGCTAGCCTCAACATTGAACATTGAAACAAGAGGACCAAAGTAGGGTGTTGACTACACACATGCGCCTGAAGAAGAGTCTCGTCAAAAAGAGCAACCAAGATGAGGACCGCGGCAAATGCTCCACTAATGAAAGCCACAAGTTTAGCCACCATTGACACAATTGGTGATGGAAACTGTTTAACGTACTCCACAGCATACTTGTAGCTAGCATTTAGCCGTCTCTTGAACATGTGATCCAACTGCAAAAACACAGTATTACTGTAAGATTTGGCGGTCATCCATATAAGTCGTACTTCAAACAAGCATATCTAAGGAAGTGATTTGGAAGCCAAATTCAACATTGCGATGCAGTGGGCTAACTCTGCGACTTTTTCAGAATAACATTATGTTGGAGTTACTCAGGTGCATGGAAGCAAAGTACAGTGGGCGTTATTGCAAGACCTTCATGATAACTCAGCCAAAGGTATCATTGTGCTTGGATTGATCGCATTGGGGTACCATGTGTAAGTACCTCGTTGAATTCTCGAACGGTCCACCTAGATAGATTGGACCACCGCCGAGACCCTGCTGCACTTGGTTGATGGTAGAATTGTTCAGCGTATCGTAAGAAGAAGTAGAGCAGCATGAAGATGATAAGAAAGGGCGATAACATTAACATACAAAGGCCAACTGTCATGAGTCTTTTCCTCAAACGTGCAGGGTTGCTCGTGAAGTCCCTGCGGATCAGGAAATTACTGCAATGACAGAAAACGCCCAAAAGGATCTGAGTCAGCTACCAACTTCAAAAAATTCGTTCAGCTGTCGGCTCTAGTACCTTTTTTCCTCACGATCTTTGAACTTAATAATGTAATCATCGAACACTCGTATGACCTGAACGACCAAGTGATAGTGATACTCGACGGCTGCACAACTTGCTAACAGACAGGTACTTGTGACACAAACCCCCTAACACTAAAATTCCGAGTGTAGTTCTTCAGCAACGTTAGATTCTGGATTCAAAACTGTTGGACGGAAGGCTGCAGTTCGAAGATTAGCTTGCCTGTCAAACATGTTCTGCAAAATGCACCAATTCAGGGTCCACTCCATTGTTTTCGTAAGGAGTATACGCTTCTGTACACCATCCTCTCGCGTTATTGCGGGACCGACGCCCGGCAGCCAACCCGGTACCTCAAGAGCTAGAACTCCCTTGTTGAGAAGACCTATTAAATAGTTGTCCTTACGCATTATTCTGCTCACAATATCATGTGCGGATAGCTCCTTCACTATGCACAAACGTTGGCGACGTTGAACCTCGACCAATTTATCCACCAGCATTGGCCATTTCATTGTACGAAGTTCATGCTCTGACACGCCCAAGCTGCAGAAGTGAATGAATTAATGAGGGGTTTGAACCGAGCGCAGATTGCAAGTTGTGAGGTAAGCTCCCCTTGCACCATATACAGATGCAAGAGTCTTATGGAAAGAGAGACTAACGAACCCTCCGTAAGAAATATGCTGTAATAACTTATCCCCGTAGCCTTGTCTCTTACAAAGATGTCTGTTGCCCCCTTAATAACAGTAAGATTGAATTGATTTTTCCTAAAATCGGGACGGTCACTGCCCAGAGGAGGATGACCTGACATCGGCTAGGACTCCGCAATTTGCAACGAAGACAATCAATTATCTTCTGACAGTCAATCGAGAGGTACGATTAGGAAAAAAGGCTCACCTATTGTGACAAAAGTCGCGAATTTCAAGTGTCTCCCTAAGCTGAGTGAAGAATCGTAAAAAACAGAAGAGCCAGTAAAACGAAAAAATGGTGAGGTAGACGACGACGACGGCGGTAGAGAAGGTGAAAGGCTTGAGAGGGTGCGGCCATAAGGCCTCCTCGTAGAGATTACAATCCCTCCCGGTCTTCTCAATTCCTTCCACACCACAAGTGGCATGGAGAAGACCGCGCCAATTCACAAAAAGGAGTAGGAATCCCGAAAAACTAATTGTAAAGCCGAGGGTGAGCAATTCAACGATCCACTGCGTGACTATACACCAGAAGCCTTTATCACAATAGTACTGGTAGATTCGCTCAAAAAATCTGTCCAGATCTGCAATTGCCTCCCATTTGGAACTTTCGCCCCTGAAAAGATCAGGGGGGCCGGCGGTATCCCCTCCGGGCAGGCTGTGGTACTCGGGGAGCTCAACCTCCAATTGCATGTGATTGAGTCCGGCCTCATTGCGGTGCATACTATGATGATGATGATGCCGGGCTCCACCACCAGAAAAGCTCCCCTCGATCCGTCTCCACACCTGCTCAGTATACATACTCTCAGCCATTTGCAACAACCGGCACAAGACCTCTGGCCTGATCCAATTCATCCAAATTCTGAGCCATCTGCTTCTCAAGTCCCCCAAAACCCTAAGAAGAATAATTCAACTCGCCTAGAGACACGACCTAACACCAACAACTTCAACATCTACACCCCGATTTCGACTCCATTCTGCTTTTTTCCACCAGAACAGCCAGGCCCAAACCACGACGGGGACTTTCCGGTGTCGCAGCCAATTTTGCTAATTTATGATGGAGCACCTGACGACTTTTTCATGTTACATACCGAACTGAACATGACATATGTCCTGGAGTTGTGCCTCTCTCATGCCACCCGACGAGCACAACCGACGGTCCGAAACCTTGAAGAAAGGTGAAAGTGAAGTGAAAGCCCCGATTCAGCAATTGCACAGATTTTCCACCACCAACTGACAGAAACACAAACGTCCCTGCACGAGGCCGAACACCGCTTGGGCACTAAATTGACAGCCACACAAAGGGGCACGAATTCTGCTGTTGGCTTCCTCGACGGCACAGGTCAGCACCGTGGACCGGCCCTTCGTCGCCTCCTCCTCCTCCATCCATCCAGCCAACCAGCAGCAACCGAAAACGCGAAGTGTGCAAGCTCCGCAAATTTCCTTACTCCAACTCGCCGGGCGGTAAGCTGCTGCCTTGGCTCCTCCTTCCCGGTTCACCGATAGCGCACCTTCGGCGCCAGCACCACATCCACAACAACAACAACGACGACGACAAGTAGGAAGGACGGAACAAATAGGCCACAACTCACTGGAAGAACGGAAACACAAAATTGGCAGGCAGGCAGGCAGGCGAACCTCTGATAACCAGCAGCACAGCACAACACAACACAACACAACACCCCTAGGGGCCTGCCTTGAGAGGCTGGAAGAAAAAGACAGAATACGGAGCAGAGCAGTGGAAAACAGAACAGAGGACAAGCAGGGCAGACAAGCACCGAGCCTGTTGGGGCGTGCAGCAGAGCAGGCAGGCGGTCGGTCGGTCAGTGAGGCAGAGGCAGAGGCGAGGGCCGGGGCGGGCGGAACTAGGCATCTACTACAACAATCTATCGCGCTCTGCTGCATTCATTGTTGACTCCTTCCTTCTTCTTTAACCGATCGACAGACAGAATGCGCGAAAACAAGGAGGAGGAGGAGGAGGAGGAGACAAGGCGGGAGGGGAGAGAGGAAGGAGGAGGAGGGGGAGGGGAGAGCAGAGCAGAGCAGATGGAACTTCTTCTTCTTCTTTTCTTCGTCTTCTTCGAAGAGCGGGCGCGAGAAAGAGGAATGTGCTCGCCGCATCTGCGCCTTTCTATCATTCCTTCGTTCGTGAAGCGGACGACGAAGTGACGACCATGGCCCGTGGGGGAGGGTCAAGCGAGGGAACCAAGGATTGCGAGCGTCGCGGGGGAGTCTGACCGGCTGCAGGCGGGGCACGAGCCTCGGTCCAGCACGGGGGGTGGCGTGCATGGGGGCCATGCCGGTGACGGCGTACGGGCGCTAGAAGGTCTAGGGTAACCAGAACGCTGTCCGGCTTGAACCCGAGCTGTACACATGGCACCCGTCGGTAACTGCAAATGCCGACACATGGCAGGCTCCCGTTCGCCCATCCGGAGACCGGCGGCTTCGCCCCCGGTTGACTGCGTGCAGCCGGTTCCGTGTCCCCCTTCCCTTCCCATCTTCCGCTACAGTCTTCCGAACTCACTTCCCACGGCACGAGCTTCCTTCTCCTCAGCGGCCGACGGCAAATCGATCGATGCCTTCATCATTTGCCCTCTCGCCCGTCTTGCAACGAGTCAGCCCCCGGTTTGGATTCTAACTCGCGGGGCCGAAGCGCAAAAATTAGCCAATTAGCGGACGGTTTTCGAGGAGAATCGGAGATTAATTTACTCGTCAGCCATGGCGAGCTCGTCGGTAGGCCCACTGCTCTGCACTGCACTCGACGAATCATTCTGGTGTACTCTATCCGAGTGGCCCCTTCCCAATACGCATGGAAAACATGTACGGGACAAAACGCCCTACACGGAAGGCATCCCAACTCGGTTCCTCATTGTGTACTTTTTCTTAGGTATTTTCTTGGTCATCGACTCGAGACGGACCGAGTGCATTTTCGTTGACGATTCGAGGGATGGCGAGTGAGAAGACTTGCATCTGGAGTCCGGAACGTGGAATTGGAGAGGAGAAGGGAAATATCTGCCTGACGAAAAATCTGAGATATGGGATGATTGTCGAGGTAGTGGAGACGAGAACAGCATGTGAAAACCGCTTCCTTTCTTCCTTCGGATGAAAGGGCTTCTGGCGTCCACGTTTCGTGACTTGTGCACACTTTCCATTCATCCGGAATGATACTTCGAACGGAGCCGGTGGATTCCGGGGACGGCCATGTCGCTGAAAGCGGAAATTCTTGTAGATGGAGGAGAGGAACGGCGTCGTCTCCTTTGTACTGTACTGTACGTGACGTGCTCCCCTGCTGACCCTGCTGTTGAACTCTCGTTCTTCGTCTTTTGCGCATGTCGTCCACCGCCGGGATTCTCCGCGCTGCAAATGCGAGCACTTGCGTCTATAGAATCTTTGTGCTCTGGATGCGATACATGACAAACGACTGCAACAGTCCATGAACGAAGATGACCGAACGAGGTTCAGTTTTGATATCAATCATTCTACACCTCGTGCGGTACCGCAGCTTCCACCATCATTTATTGCCCTTTGCTCTGATCCCAAGTTATCCAGCTCTCACGTTGTGTCTCCGCTCTGCTCCGTACATCTATCCAGCTCTCTCCGACCGACTTCAATTGCGAAGAATCTTTCTTCCACTCAGTGTGATGTTCCGAATTGTTTCTCTCAATTTCTGAACATCGTGTTTTAGGGCGAACTTTTGTGGAACGCATGGAGAACGAGGAAGATGACCCAAACACAAAGGCGTCATCTGAACGATAAGAGCGGCAAGACAGAATAAGACACGACAAGAGTTGGAATACCACTTGAAGACCAAATGTGTCAAATGAAAGTAAGAAATTATTAAGATACTTTAAGCAGGTCGGCTGGGGAACGGAGCAGAAGGAATTTGCGAGAATTCTCAACAAAGCACAGAAGGTTGTGAATGTATCGCAGATAGACTGCATGTGAAACATGTTGCACAGACATAACTATCTATACACTATCCTAATATGTCCCTTTTAATCAACGATTTTCGGGGAAGGCAAGAGAGTACTGAACTGATGCGAGTCAGGGCTGGCTCCTTGGCGAGGACATCATTCGATTGATACCGCAAGCGGCCAAGTTTTGGTGAGTTCCAGGAAGATTTATTTTAATTTTTCTGGTGGGAAAATATAAAAAAATGATAAATATATTGTCATGATTTTATGCATAAGGGTGCGTCAATCGTCTCCAACAAGGAGGAGTGAACGACTCACATCTCGGTGAAAAAGCACCATGAAAAAAGGAGATGGAAATCTTCGCTAGTGCCCAATACTAGTAGGGAAGATTTGTAGATACAAATATTTGAACCATATGCTCCATACATTTCCCACCGTCTCTCACAGGAAGTTCTAAAACGTGTCCTTTCTCCTCACCTCTCGCTGCCTCGGATCCACAAAGGACACCCAGCCCGAATTGATTATAACTCACTGAAAACGTTTCATGATAGTCAGCTTGTTCGACGTTGATGTTTCCGTTAGTCACGTACGGAATAACTGAATTTATTTTCGTTTGTGAAGAACCTTCATTTATTGCTCTTCGTCCCCAGCTCAGTTCATCAGTGGTCACCTCTCACAAGGATCATCGTACATTTTTTGCAATGCGGTGTGGGCGGAAATTCCCTTCTCCAGAACCGACTTTCTTTAATTGCAAGACATCCAGGCGTCACTCCCATCATAGAGCTTGACTGGAAAAGAAGAGGAACATAAATCTTTGGTACTTCTACTACTGAGGTCATTGGCCAAATTCATCATCAGCGCGACGATCTCACGTGTCAAGCAGAACATCTAATTCGGAATCTTCCCCAGCGATAACAAGTTCCATTTTGCAACGGGACGAAACAATTAGTTTAGGTTCACGTGCCATGTTCAATGCCGCATCGACAGGCGTCTCCACCAGAATCCTCCTCCACGGTCCTCATTGTAGACCTGTAATATGAACTCAACATTCTAAGTCTTTATGGGAGATTTTCCCAATGTACTCTTTCATTATTTATCTCCAGTTCGTGTGCGACGCATATTTGTTGCGGTTCCCTTTAACTGAAGATTTGGTCCTTCAAATTTTTCTTGCCATTGCTTGCTTCCTAGAAAATAATGCAATTGTTGCGACCTTCATCCAATTCCTAACCTTTATTTTTTCTTCTGATGGCTTAATAATTTTTCCAGCCTTAAACATTACAAGAGTCCACTTCAGATGTGATAAAATCAAAACATTCGTTTTTGAAACGATGAACACGATTCAACCACCTTCAATGGAGGAAAATTTGCGATTTTCTTCAAATGAATTTGTTAGGAAAAGTAATTTCCACCATCCAAGAAATGATTTTGCATTTTAGTAATCAGTCCATTCCAAAAAATAAAAAACAAAGGGATGGTTGGAAACAAAATCCAGACCTGTATATCTTTGTGGCTCTACTCAGATGAGAGTCCTAAATTTGCATGTCTAGAGAAATAATGATGTACACAGGACAAATCGCACGCCTCAATTGGAAGGCACAGCGATGGAGAGCGAAAGTTGACCAGCAGAGCAGGGGACGGAAATATGAATCATATCCAGTCACAAGCATATCCGTAGGCATGATTTTCCCCACTTCCCTGGAGATTAGGGTGGAACTTGAATCTGCATTCCGCCCAGTTCTTGGAGGCAACCCGCGGCTCCGGGGTTTGACTTCTTGCCACCAACGTTCAAGACAGGACGGGAGAGTTTCCTGATTGGACTAGCCGGTGAGGCCAACGCTGCATCTGACCACGGGCCGTTACATTGCTTCGGTCTTTCAAATTTAGTGCAAGGCTTGCGCTGTTCTTACTCCAGGTTTTGGAATAACCATGTTCTGCCTGCATTCATGGTACGGGACAGCACTCACGCAACGGTTAATACGTGGAAAACCCTTTGCGTAATACGCCTTAATTGCGAGAATGAAGCCATATACGATGGTCTTCCATATACCATTTCCGACTGCACCGCGGATCATTGGAGACAACAGCGAACTTATGACCACAAGGAATTCCTTTTTCTGTCTTTAATGACTGTTCGTGCCAAGGAATGTCGTTCTCTGGTGTGTAGAGAAGAAAGTAAGTAACCAAATTTAGGTACTTCAAACCCAAAGTTATATGCCATTGGGATAAATGTATTGTTCTGGGCTGTGTTTTTTTAACTACCTAATATGTAGAGTATATTCAGTTGATTTTCTCATTGTCTCATTGCACGTGGCCCCTTTTCTACTCAGTGATCTACATTTGATATAATCTACTAGGTAAGCTTAACGATGTGATTTTCTGAAGAAAGTGATACATGAAAAATATACTATATTTTATCATGTTTATTTGACACACTTTCATGGCTCCTAATCACGGTGCTAGTGGAAACATTTTCCAATATAGAATATCTTGAATTAATTTTCATCTGCTAGTATATACACATCGTTCTTTTCGATTAAATTTGTTGGAAATATATAGGATACACAGGAGAGTAAGTGAATTAGTTGGTGCAGACATGTACTCCCTCCGTCCCAAAAGTTATTGTCCAAAACATAGTATATTTTTTGCTTGAGCTATGTTTCATCTTTTGTGGTTTCTTGGTTCACTTTTTCTTGCTACAGGTGGATGGGTTTTCCCATAATATTTTTCCACTTTTAATCTACTCGTCTTGGATGGCTTGTACATATATTCAATAACAAAGAATTTTTTACAGTCTTAGCTAGGAATGATAAAATTTTCCGATAAGTGAATTTTTTCTCTTAAACCCTGAAACCTCGGCACGATGGACCTTGACTCAACCATAGTTTGTCTGTTCCGAAGTTATCCAACGAGCTAAAAAGCTAAAAAATCTAAAAAGCTCTTCACCTCGTGACAGTGCGTCTACGAAGCCACGCAGTAACTTCGCCGAGAACGCCGGAGAAGGGTAATTTCCGACGAAAACTAAACCTACGACGTACGGTACAGTAACGCAATGGGTCAACCGCGGTTTGTCTAGTCCGCAACTCAAAGAGGAAGTCCCGGTGACAACGGCAGAGGCTTCTTCCCATCCGAAGGAAACCGATACTGGAAACCCCTCCAATAGAACGATGACAAAGACAAACCTCCGGTCAATAACATAACCACGGTTACACCGGTCCTGACGTTAACCAAAGGGCCACGGTGGTGACTCAAGTACGTGACTGTGTCGACGAAGCTACGCAGTCACTTGTGCAGAAACAAACGAGTCTTAGAAACTCCCCTTACACCCCCCGTCTTACACCTCGTCAAAGGTGATCTACTCCAAGGAAGCAATCATCGATTTATACTCAAACGATTTTCCAGATTACAACGCAAACCTTCGGTGGAGCAAAGTGGAAACCTTTGTTTTCACTCGGTGGCAAGATGATGCTCTTGACCCACATAAATATTACTATTCCGACTCTGCACTAGATCGTAGATTACCACATCACAACAAGTACTGCTCTCTGACTTATGGCGGAAGGGTCTTTGCAATAGAAGAAAGCACACGATGAGTTCTGGGCAAGCAGATGAGTCCTGTGCGAACCTTTCTCACCGTCCATCATGTTGTGAACATTGTCCAACTTGAAGGAAGGCAGAAAGAAGAGATTGAGTTGAACTCCATCTCCATCGATGCTCCAGCTCAGAAGGCAAAGCTTGAATGTAACAGAGGAGACTGAGAAACAAGAGCGTCTACTGGAGTCTTACAGTTTCGTTAGTGACTCACTATACCCAACTCTGACGATCATACCAAACCAGAATTCGATATCACTCTACGTTCTGCCAGAAATGTGGTTGGAGTGAAACTTGGCCGCTACAATCATGACGAAACGAGTCGGTTGGCCAGATGGATGAGCCAGTTGTTGAAGCAACCGCTGCAGCTGGGGCGTTGGTTCGTTTGTGTGGCCTAAACGGTCTATTTCAGCAGAGAATAGTTGGACATTTCGTGAAGTTTGCCAACAGGAGGAGCGAGGGCGCGATCCTTGTGGCTGTGAACTCGCTCGCCATTCCAGTCACTCTTAGAATGGGCACAAGTCACCGACGCGTGAGTTGTTGCCGGAATGAAGGAAACGTGCCGCTGTCCCCTTTCTACAGAAGTGGCCGCGGAGTCGTTCACTTGTCACTTCTTCTGGTGGATGTCCGCCGCAGCAAGGAAGAAAAGCTCAAGTCTAGCTCCAAAGCCTGCTCTTGCCTTCACTAGTTCAGGACATTTCCGCTTGAAAACATGCGGAGTAGCCAAGTGGATTGCAAAAGCAATGGGAAGACCCATCAAGCCGCAGTACTAAGAAAATGAATGGAAACCAGTGGCTAGCCCTGATAGTACCATGATGAGAAATAATCAGGCATGGTTATATTAGTAGGTCGCCTTAATTATCTAAATTAGATTAATTTAGTCGTCTCAAGATAATTAATTTAGGTGCTAAAGGTAGCGTTGAATGCACTTGAGAGAGAGTGAGGGTTCGGAGGTAGAGAGAGAGAGTCACCATCAAGCGGGGCTTGCAGTCGTGGTGTGATTCTCTCGGGCTAGAGAATTAGATTTATAAATTTTGGATTGCAACTCAGTGAACTATGAAACCGACGTGGTAACAATCTAATTCAAGCTGAAATCTCACACGGTACCATTCTGAGCCAATAACAGATTAGATGCCACGGTTAATCTAGAGGCTAGAAGGAGCATCACTTTAGAGAATTTAGGCGCCTCGATATACGATCGCCTAAAATAACCATGCTTGTAAATACATGATAGAGTACCTAGAATATGGATGGAACCATATACAACCAACCTGAGTATCTTATGTTCCATAACCTAAAGCTATTGCTCGCCTGGGTATAGCGCTGACGAAGTGATCATCGTAAATCCATAAAAATACACTCACGAAACTATGCTATACAATATGGTGGGGAAAGTGATATGCTTGAATTTCAACCCGCATCACCTGGAGTATATAATTTTGTCTAGAGCTCTTTGTAGAGCCAGGGAAACACATAGACTGAACCATTCAACACAAGAGGTTAAGGAAAGTAATATGCTTAAAGTTCATGCCACATAGATTAATGTGATTTCTCTGTGGAGTAAAGCGCTAGCGAGTGATCTCTAGAACCTAGAAAACAGAATTACTAGCATATGTTGGACAATAGGCTAGGAAAGTGATATGCTTGAAAGTCGAGAACAGAACTGGAGACTGAAGGCAATATCTAGCTTTTGAATTATCCATCTTCAGCTGAAAGTCGGGGTGAAGGCAATGAACGAACAGTGGAGTGGATCCGGTTTGCAAAAGCCATGCTAACAGCAGTCCACTTCTGCGCTCTAGAAGAATGCCATGCGAGAGCTTACGTGCTTTTCACAATGCCAATCCTTTGCGAAAAGTCTTAGGACAGGTGTGCAGACATTTGATGGAAAGCGAGCGGGTCTTGGGGCATGTAGAAGATGTGACTCAGACATCGTTCGGAAGCTGCTCATCCAAATTCTGGTATGCTGTGGAGCCTCGGAAAGAGCACGCACCAAGGGATTCTTCCTCAACATGTGCTTTTCCAGCTTTCCTCAATTAAAGTATGCTAGGGAACACATCTCATGAGGAATCCATTCGGACGTACACGACTGAAGAAACTATGTGGAAATACAGTCTATATGGGTCTCTCTCTCTCTCTCTCTCTCTCTCTCTCTCTCTCTCTCTCTCTCTCTCTCTCTCTCCTCGAAAATCCTGTCCCAGAAGATGATGACAGCAATGACTGGAAGAGTCCAGCCTCAGGAACGGGCAGTCATAGCTCGGTGACGTGCTTCACAGTCACACAACGGAAGTACATGGAAAAGCTCTGGTGGTGCAAGGAGCACAGTAGCAGGTTACCCTTGGCTGCAAGTTACCAAGCTCTGATCTTGAAGCTACGAGTCGTGGATCATCAGAATAACCAGGATCCATGAAATGACAACCCTGGCGGCTGTCATTTGCATGTGTAAGTTGAGACTCGAAGACTCAAGCACAGTTCCGGTGCAAGAGAAAGGTCGCGACGAAGAAGATGATGAAAATGAAGGAGATTGAGAAGGTGAAGGAAGGCAAAGGTAAGCCAACAACTGTATAAACAAAGTTTATACAGTTGAATTGGAGTGAAGGAACGAGGAAAGCGTGTCGAGAACCTGGCTACTTGGCGCACACACACACAGACCTTTCTTTGCCTCCATGTCCACTGAGTAAGGTGGGGTCTAGTCGTGAACCAGCTCAGCAGCATTGCCAGAGTAGATTAGTGTGGGGCCGGCCAGTGGTTATGAGCACTTTCACATAGATTTGTCCATCCTCTGTCTTGTTCGCGCAATCCCGGCCGTTTGGTCCCGGGCGGGGCCTTTCGATTGGACTCTCCACTCTACCCCTGTCTTAATTAAGATTGTTCTCGTCGACATCTCTGTCTTTTCCTGTTCGGTGATTGTTGTCAAACCACTCATTTGAGTGGGGTCGACAGTGTTTCCATCTAGGACTCTTCGACGTCATACTGTTTCCTGTGAAACAAATCTAACCTCTGCTCTGCTAATGGGGATACCTTTTTTTGCACATGCGCAGATGGAAAGTTGAGGTTTCCAGTGGGTCCATGGTGGGGAATTATTATTCACTGAAAAGTTGGGCCTCGAATAAAACATCGGAGCATGTCAACCCAGTCAAATCCAGAGTATACATGATGTAAACACGGCCCTCTCCGAAACTGGAGATCCCTTATAATGTCGTCTGATAGGAAGTTGTGGTTCGTGGCAGACTCAGGACTGAGTGCTGAGACGGATGTGCGATGACTTCTGTGGAGAAGATTTCTGGGCTCGAAAATCAGCCCTGCAGTGTTGGACTTTACTTATGCTGGCTTGCTCTTCAAGGGCACGCAGACTCGCCGAGTCGTCTTGGTGGACCTGCTTGCATCGATCCAGTCAGTGTGGTCCTATGACCTTTCTTTCCACTGATCCTTAGTATGTCAAATGAGTTGGCTGTGACTGCTGGAGGCGACGTAGAAGACCCGTTGTGAACACACTGTCATTGATGCCCCAATTTAACATCTGCGTGGACTGAATTGATGCATTGGGTGCATGCTCACTGCTTTCAGTCTCCTCTGTCATCAGTAGAAAAATCCTCGAGCTCACTTCTGTTGTATACGTACCTTCTATTGTGTGGGAACCTAAACCCTATGTACCTTGCTGTTGTGTCATTGTCCAGATGCAAGCTTGAGGGGTTTGTGTATCTTCAACCACCAAGAAACTTGAAACCAATTGCCATCGTCGCTCTATGGCCTGCAGATATGCGAGTCCTTGAGTTGCTTCTAGTGGAAGGTCTGGAGACGGAGCTACCACCTTTCTCAATGAACATGAGCTCATACCCCAATATCCAGATCCAACCAGATGCATCCGACAGAGGACTAACGTTTGAGAGTGACAATACACCTACCATGCCTCAGACCAATTTCTGACATTCATAAAGAATGGGAATTAATTCCCCTCACTTACTATGAACTGTGGATTGTACTGAGATGACCAACATAAACATGATAACCATTCGTCAGGGGCTAGTCCTTTCAAAGCACATTATTATGTCGAAGTCAATCCTGTAACTTCGTGAAATAGGTACAACTTTTGATAACCTCGTATTCTAATGTTGCTAGGTTCAGACATTCACAATGAAACACGACGGAAAAAACCTGTCAGTTCCTTACGGCTATAAGGAGCTTGAAGTTGCTCGTCTGCTGAGACTGGCGTTACCAGTAGAAACGGAAAGCCGTTTTATATCTTTTTTCCATTAATTTTATTCGAAGTCATTATAAGAAAAGTTTATCCAACACTACGCTACCATCTTCTTGCACTATGTCCTTGTGATGCTCGCGCGTGACATTTATGTGGCTTCTGGCGAAACTCTTGAAAGCATTCTGGCCAAACACTGGGAACAGCTTGTTTCTACCACCATGAGTCGATAACCCTCCATTTGAAAGTGTGTTTTTGTTTAGACAATGTGATCCGCCTGCAACCACGTCATTATCACATTCTAGTACGTTCAATGTTCTGATATCTGTGTCTAATCGAGGGTTGAAGAAGAAAGGTACCGAGTACCGTGAATTCTTTCCTGACTGGCTCACCACTCGATGCACCGTAGCCAAATAATATCCACCTGTGGCCAGTTGCAGCATCTCCCCAAGATTGATAACAAAAGTACCCCTCTTTGCTGGGACATCAATCCACCTTCCAGCTGTTGTACGTGCCTGTCACATTCACACAAAAACATCTTCAGCTGGCCAATCAATTAGGATATGGCGCTAAATAGTGCTCTCCCACGATCCTTCTCCTTCCGCGGATAATCACTGTCAACTTCCTTAAGTCGATTACATGAATTAACTCGGCGTTGGAGATCTATTACATCTCGACATCTTGAGGACTTTCTACATCCAATTAACTTCTACATCCAAATTTCCCTGTTGTAATTGAAGGATTGTGCCTCCGATGCATTCATACCATGTGAGGCACAAAGGTGGAAGGTTCTTCAAGTATTTGCTTCTAACCTTTTGGCTTATCCAGATTCATCAGAGAGCATCGGATATAATGACTACAGGAACTTGCCTGGAGACCACCAATATCGTCTTGAAGGAGAAGACTAAGGAAGCCGCTATCGCTATGTGCACCAACTCCAAACATACCGATGCCCTCCGCCCCGTCACTTGCTGGGTTTGGAGGATATTTTGCTATCTGCATCACGCAGTAGTTTGTCCTTCAGCACCAAATCCTTATAAATGTGTGCTCGGTGGATTTCTTACATGACTTTCTTTGCTTCAATAGAATCCTCACTAACATACAGAAGGGGAATGGTGCTTTGGAAAAATGTCTATAGCATTCAGCTTGCTGTCATCTTTTGCTTGAATGTGTACCTTCATTTGGTAGTGAGGCATGTATTTGAAGGTCGAATCGAAGAAGTCCTTTTGCAAACCCAGAGAAAGTGCCAAAGCCTGCATGAGGTGCATAGAGACTTCATTCATTTGGTCGATAAACAGCTCTGCTTCTCGTCTGAAATCAGGGAGATCATCTTCAGGTGGCCATTGATTAGGCCCACGTAGGCGTCGGTACAATGGGTAAACTAGTTTATTCTCCATCCCATCTGCAAAGTCAACAATTTCGATTGAGCTTTTACTCTGTGCTCTGTACTTAGCAACAACCACTACTGCTATGGAGAGATTGCAAGATCGTATACACAATAGCGACCAATATTACGGCCCTTCATTAGCTGGACCATCATCTTCTGGATGATGCATCGTGTTCAGACACGGGCCTGAATAAATTTGGGCCGGTTGAACCATGAGCTGGAAATATAATCGACCATTGAACACAAATAAGAAGGCGGAAAATATTCAAGCTTCTTCGGAAGTACATTTCAGAAATTACCAACAATGTCAATGTCCTCTGCTTCTTCTGGTCCAAACTCTATTTGTTCCCGGAAGTCTGTAACACCGGCGGTGTTCTCTACCCCGATCCTCATGTATCCCCTGAACTGAGAAGAGTTGGTGTAGTCCAGTTGCATCTAGTACGCAATCCACATGCTTAATCTCCTTAGAAAGGACCGACTGACGGAGGATTGAGAATGCGCAATCCTACATCTGCCACGTAATAAAGAGAAACACAGAGAAGCAAAATTTGTACCTTGAGCTCAACAGGTAGGTCAAAGAATTTGCGCCCCATTTCAAGCATTGAATCACACAGCTCCTCAGAGACACCGTGGTTTTTTACATAGAAGAATCCAACCTTGTGGCACTGCTCCCTAAGTTTCCTGCAAAACTCGAGCCTCTCATCCCTACCGCTGAAGTAGGACTCCATATCCAAGACCTCAAGCGATTCCTGTTGTCCTGTTGTCCCATTGGACTCTGCTGCATTCTCACTAGCTGAATTTATCGAAGAAGAACTGATCCTCGCCTCAGGTCTCTGAAATGTAGAGCGTCGGAGGGCAGGATAGCTGCGACTTCTTAACAAATCCTCCGACATAGAAATTCGTTCACACTTGGAGACTGCACTGGCACGCGCCGAGTGAGATTGGACATCTGAAAACTCTCGGCCAAGCTTCGATTGGGAAGCAGACGATCGATGTGCAGTGAATGCCTTACATCGATGTGAAAATGGGACGGTGGAATAGTTTTGGACCAACATTGTCGTCCTCTGCTCTTTCCTAAGAGTTCCTCCGGTAGCTATCACCTCTGTCGAAAGCAGAATTCGAAGCAACTACAATCCCTTGCAAACCCATACGGTCTCCACTGTACGGGTACATGAACATTCCTCCTGTGTAAATAGCTATCGTTCGTTCAATGCACCACTTAGTCATCGTAAACTATTATCGAGAGTGCTGATCAGCAAACAAAAACTGCAACTCTCCTTTCGAAATCTAACAGGGGCAGAACTATGAAATATAAAAATACGGTGGCCGTCAACTCTGAACGATAGTGATGTATTCCGGATATCGATAGAAGGAACTTTGGCAATAAGTTGGTGTAATCGCTCGGCATGTTTTCAGCTTCATCAGCAGGTCAGGATGAGACTGCCGTGCCCTGGTGTTCTGTACGAGCCTTGAAACAGAAATAGCCCTACGTCTTTTTCGAAATCTCCATATGAGAAACTCCGGTCCTAAGGGTGCGACCTAGCCGATCTTACCATTCATCTACCAGCTAGTTTCGCAAGCTGGTTGGCACTGCATGACTGTTTTGCATGTCTCAGTGAGTTCAACCTGGTCTTCATAGGGGATATAGTCTTTCCTCTTGTAACTTATGCGATGTTGCGAAAGCTAGTAGTTCCCGATTTCTCTGCGTCTGTGCAGCTCGTCTTCTTTATTGAAAAACTGCCCCTCATCGCAGAAGATGCGGACCTACTTACGTTTGTCTAAAATAGTCTCAGTCTCGGTTTGTTAATACGATGGCTTCATGAGATAGTTGCTGCTATGTTGAGGGAACTTTGCATCCCCATCCTCAAAAGTCCTCGCAGCCTACAATACCGTCTTGTGTAATCGTCTTTCACTATTCTCCAAACTTTCCACTGTGCTCGATGGCTGCACTGATTTGATTTTACACGGGGAATGGACCCCTTTCTAGGTACCGAGGTACTCAGGGAAAACGAACTTGAAGCAAACCTTTAAAGCGCTGCCTAAAGGCTTGCAGCATAAGACGGATCCACCTAAATGTGGCATAATCTCCCAAACCCAGAAGTATGCTCGCTGTGTAATGCTTAAGAAGAACGTCTTCGATGCAGATCGTTAGTCAAACGCTAGGCAGATTTGTCAAAGCTTTTCCGACGAGGCTTATACTTACAATTACGATGTCATGGTAAAATATACATTCGGGATGCAGAAGAAAAATCTACATGTGGTTCCTACAGCACTCTCCCTAATCTCACGTCGATAACAACGCAGCCTCCAATATCTGTTGAATCGTCAACCTTGACACTACCCACGGTCTTTGATGGAGATTCTAACTCCAGAACGTCTGTCAACGAACGAGGTCCCTTCCATGTGGCAGCTGCCCAGGCTTGTAGCTTGCTGGCTTCAGATTCCCTCTTCTTCATGTGTGATAAGAAAGCTCCATATCGAGCTGCTCAATCAAAGGTCAACAGAGAACAACAAATCCACTTCTGTTAGGTACAAATCATTGGAAGCATTACACAAAGCAAACGAAGTTGTCCACAAAATTTAAGGTACTAAGAAAGGGTACGAACCTCGGGCTAAAGAGGTCACGTCGGCCAAATCCAAATCTTTTCCTGAAGCTGCATGATGATTAAATTTGTCAAAGGCTGAAGACATCATAACCATTAGGCGTTGTCATCGAAACAACTCAACACGTCTGTCCCACACTTTACAAAGACCGTAAGAGCTCAATGTCCAGACTCCACAAAATCAAAAAGCTTTAAGGCAATTTCAGAGGCTATTACCTACTTCTCATCTTCTCTAGATATAGCTTCAAATTGTAACAGCAAGCATCCTGGCTTCAGTGAAGACAAGTTTCGACCAAACAGATTATAGCTTGATACGATTTCGACACCTAAAAATTTTGATCATCAGATTTCCTAAGCGAGAATAATGTCAGACCTGGATCATCAGGAAGGGGAGCTTCAAGTAGCTCGGTAGCTTTTCGGTATAGACCCTGTATGAGTTGCAGACGACAAATTCAATCAGCACTTGTACAGGGATGAAGATTCTCATTTGAAAAAAAAAACATCTCACTTTTAAAAAAAAGGTCCTTTACCTCAGTCAAAGTCAAGTCCCCAGTGCCTCTAGCCTTTCCCCTGCGTGCATAGACATCCGCAAGGCAAGCAAGGACCACTCCTACTCTTCGATGTTTGTCTCCTGCACGAAATAATCTAACAGATGAAAAACTTTACACACCAAGATGGAGTCTATATAAATCGAAGAAAACGCAATGTTATACTTTTGAAACTTTTAATCTGAGTCATTGAAAATCAATCTCAAAGTCAGACCATCCCAGTAACAGAACAATGTAAATTGGACTGACGGTGAGTTCACAGTAATTTACTTCAAAGATAGTTTGAGGAGAAGGAGTCACAAGCCACTACAATTTAAATTCTCGCATTGTGTGTGCCAGGTTCAATTCTGGGCCTGGAAGTTGTGTATATTGTTGTTCAGTTAGTAGAGCAATCACTTGACATTTTGCCACTAATTAATCATTCGGGTACTTATCACATATGTGAGCTGTTAGGTTGGATTCCTCAGATGTAGGGTGGTAATAGCAATCTAGCTGAATTCGAGTTGAATCTTCTTTAAGGTGGGGAGTTCTACGTTGAAAGGTCATACCTAAAGAACATTGCTCAGAATCTAGCTTAGGGTTGCATTGAGTGAGGGCTCGCTATGGCATATGCAAGAAAGACACAGCAGGTCCTGTGAATGTGATCCAAATTTATCACTTTCTCTTGATGATTTTCAAAAAACACAATATAATAACTTTCTGTTGTACTGACCACTAATTTGCTCGGCGTAGTTCAATGCCATCGTTAACTTGGCCTCTGCTTCGTCAAAATCTCTGCTCATCCAGGACAAAACAAACGGCAGGGATATCAGACGTAAACACACTGATAAATCTGGAGAAAAATTTCTAGACTAAAAAATCATTCCAAGGAGCCTACCCTGAGTGTAAAGCCACCTGTCCCAGCCCTGCAAGAGCTCCCGCGAGAACCTCTTGACTACTCATTGCTCCAGCACTCATTCCTAGAGTCGGTTTGCTCAAGTTGCTTTCCGAGAGTGCTGAGGCTTTCTCGTAAAGATCTTTGGCCTGAGACAATTGAGCCCGCGAGTGAGCACACTCTGCAAGACCCAACACTGCAGCAGCTGCAACGACCGAACAGACAATAAACGACGGATTGGCAAGCATCCCGATGTCAAGGAAAAATTGTTCAAGAACATGAACTTGATTGGGTGTAAAATCCTCATCAAATTACTCAAATCATCCGGAGAAGAAAATTAAGCACTTTGGCCCAGCGGAGGGTACTCACCCACTCCATCAACTTGTGCTTCCTTGTCATTCACCCACGAAGATAGACCACTCATATCGAGTATGTCCCCTATCATCATATAAAGACATTCGGTATCAAGACAATTTTGCAGGATGAACGAACTATAAAGAAATACAGTAATTCTGAGCAGAGTTTTGAACATAGCATGACCTAAAAACAAAATATTTCTTCGTCGCCGAACTACACTTCCTTCAGTGAACCTTGCATCTATGTAACTACGAGACAACTTCGTGAAAGGACAATTTCTAACAAATGCCTCAACTATTCAGCCATGAAGAATTGTGCATTTCTCGTCCGTATCCAGACTCGCTCTACTCACCAGTATACTTGAATTTGATGACATGCTCAACAAACTGAACTGTTGCGGCAGCTCTGAAACCGAGTTCCTGACTGGCTGCCACAGATAGCCCATCTGCATCTTCGACAAGCTTTAATAACTTATGCGCCTCGGCAAGAGCATCTGAATCCTGAATCAGTTGGAAAAAAAGAGTTCAACTTTCAGCAGAAAGATTAAAGTTCTGCTTCTCTGACACAATGAGGACAAAAATAGTGTATATCTTTTAATGGATAAAAGAAGGTGAGTATATCTAATGTTAATTCACGAGGCAACACGAATGTTCATACTTAGAAAGACTGTCTCTTCTAAGCACGAAATCTGTAAGTGCTTACCTTGTGCATACGGAGCAATACCGCAATCAAAGCTTCCGTGGCAGCAACTACAATCAAGTCATGGGAAGGCATTAAATTTCTGAGACTTAGACCGATTATCCTAACGATTATCCATTCTGATTCCTGTCCAAACTCCACAACTATTCAATTAACAAAATCTCCTGTGCTGACATACCTTAGCTACATCAGACAACAGAGAGAACAAACAAAAAGAACTTAAGTTATGTCCTCATCCTTCGACTAAGTAAAACAGATTGATGGTTGCTGCGACTTCGAGAACATTCGGCAACTCAAGAGCTCTCATGAGTTTTCACACTATTTTATTTTGCAGCACAAATTCTAATCAGTAATAGTCAAGCACGAGATGCTGGAGGCAGCTTACCTCGCACCTCTACGGATGCATCCTGTAAATTTGCAGTCAGCTGCAATACATCCAACGCATCCGACAGCTTCCCTCTGTAAATATTCTTTTGGGTTAGACACATTTTGACATTCTAGGCTTAAGTACGTTAAAGAAACACGTACAAAGACAAGACGAAAGCATTCATGACTGAAAAGAATCGAAGTGCTAATCTCTTAATACGAAGCCGGAATAAGTGCTGTAAGAAATGCTCAAATGTAGGCGAATGACAAAATGAGCAGCCCTGTCTCTTTGGGCACGTTCATGAGAAATAACCTGAACACCGAAGTACGTGCATATTCATTGTTTGAAGCAATGCATAAAGTAAAAATCTACCGTTAAAGAAGCCTCCTAAAAAGTGTTATTTTTACCCATCAAGCTGCAACGTTGCTAAAGTCAGCATCACCCTTCCCGCTGCATTTACAGCCGCCGGTCCTTGACTATGCAAGAAATTGAGACCTTGCTCCAAGACGCGCAGGACTTCAACCTGCGCCGTTTCTGACGACCAACACAAAACATGAAAACATTCATCCCTGGAACTTCAAATTCGAGTTCCTATGAAATTAATATCTGTAGTCTGAATGAGAGACCTCGAGTTCGACGGCATTATTACTCTCAACCCACTCTAGACTCTAAACCATGGGATTGAGGTCCCGTAGATTCACCATATCAAGCAGCTCACTAACCTGAATTACATCTCCTTTCAATTTTTCTTACTCTAAACTCAGCGATTCCTTCCTGATAAACTATCCAGAATGCCTCAAATTTGAAAAATAGCGGCATTCGCTGTTACTAATTTCCAGTGGACTTAAATTAATTCCCCGGAGGAAGAATATTTCTTCAAAACCCTGTAAAGGAAGGGACAATAGATTCACCATTTTTTCTGCAAGAGGCAGCGTAACTGATCATTTGACTGGCGATCGCCTCCCCATCGGTTTCACTCTTGCCCGTGGAGCTGGCACCGAAATATCTCCGATCGACACCCCTACTCGAGCACCAAAAATCCCCTGTCCGATTCCGAAAACCTACTCCCCCACAGGAGAACGTCGCCCTCGAGCTTCTTCGGGAAATCGACCCCGTATTCTCCAGGCCGCCATCTGATTTTAATAGCGAGAACGCTTCAGAACCAGAGTGCAAGGCACAAAAGGGGAAAAGTAGGCGCTCCAATCGGCCACTTGTCGCAACCCTGCTGCTTCTCCGCAAAATCGAAGCCATGATGTGCAACTACGACTGGACCACCTCGGCTGCTGACATTTACAGCTCCACCGGAAGGAACCTGCGCGGAGCTGGACGAGCGATCGAACCAGGAGGTGCTTCGGCCTGTCGAGGACACAAGAAATGCAAACCACTCTCTACACTCCGAGAGTTGCCCGATTCCTTGAACAGACGAGCCTCAGCGGATAAGCTCGCAATTGGTCTTCCCTGTCTCATTCGATCGCTCACTCCTCAAGAGCCTCTTGCAAATCAGCTATAGCCAAGTCTGCACCAGCGGACCTTTGACAGCAGCGAATTGACAATGAGCCAAATTCGCTCCGTGCCCGGCATCATCCTCCTCGGGATTCACTCCCCGCTCGACAATGCACCTCTCTCTTAACGCTAACCCATGCGCCATCGATCGTCCTGGAATTCGTGCATGGATGGGCTCCGGTGACCGGACCCTTCCTTGCCCAGGTTGGGTCCAGTCTCCAGACCTGTCGATCGCAGCACCAAGATTCCGGAAGATTCTGGAATCATTTGCAAGTCATGGCTTCTCTTCATGTACTCACTCCGTAGAGTCGATAGAAGACCACTAACGATACCGTTATCCATTCCTTGACCTTGACTCAGGTAAAGTCAGGGACCCATGTACCCTTGGCTATTGTTCGGATCCGTTTCTGTTAATCATGGTTCATATTCACCGTATTCACATTTTATTTTTCATCCACCATTCTTGGAATAATATATTGTATTTATGAAATAATAATTTATTAATGATATTAAAAATTAGGGAAATCGATTTATCTACTTGTTTAATGTGGAAGACATTCTTCTTCTTATAATGACTTTGTGTAAAAGATTAGATTATAAAACTCAAAAAGCTATGAGATGTAAAAGTATTTAATTCCAAGTCAATAATTTTAGTTATGTGCATGAATATGATAAGAATCAAAATAAGAATTTAGGAAAATTAGATTAAATGTTTTAATGAATATTTATTTCAAATCAATGAAAATTCATATGAAATGTCGATTATTACGATCAACTTTAGTGGATTAAATTATACATAATTTGTGACGATAACATTACAAAATTTTTATGTGAATATACTGTATTCACGTATGATCAAAATTATAAATGATAATTTATGTTAGGAGATAGACGGTAAATAAAACGGTGTAACTTTGACATTACTTCATTTTGATAACTCTTTGATTCTCGAAATTATAAATGATAATTTACCTTGGGAGATAGATGGGAAATAAAAGTTGTAAATTTGACATTGCTTCACTTTGATAACTCTTTGATTCTCGAGTGAGTTATTGTATTCCAATTTGTACTTCATAAATTTTTTATGATAATTACAAACAACTAGAAATCTATCACAAAAATCATGTAACTAATAAATTTTAATCTTTATTTTTATAGTATATATATTATCTTTATTTTTTTGCCTTAAACTTCTTTTTTCAAAACTCAGATAGCTAAATCTCCGACAACAAACGTGGCACATTATGCACAACAATGTGAATCAACTACGATATAATTCTTCAATTATCTTTCCAATCAACAAGAGATTTCAAAGTATTCTGAAATGTTATGAGAATTATGCACATAAAACTTGATTGAAATTTTACAGACGCAGCATGTTCTGGATCTGGTCTATATCTGACTTAACTACGTTATAAGTTTATGTGAGTTCACTTAATTAACTCATGTTTTTTGTTTGTATGCTTATCTTGTTTGTTTGTTGATCATATATTTTAAATCTCAATATTGATTTCACAATAGTTTAAAATTCGTGTAAATTTATTTTCATGTAAGTTTTGAATCAACAAATCATTCAAATTTTGTTTGAGAAAAAATATATCTTTAAATATATATATCAAATAAGCTTATTAAGGTCATAATCTTACAAATTGATTCAAGCTTAAGATATTATTGACTTATAATTCAATTGAATTGAATGAATAATTCAATTCAATTCAGTCTTATGTATCAATATACTATGTAAATTTTTTTTACATACATTCATTCATTTATCATTATTTTCAATATATGAAAATTAAAATCATGAGCTCAATATTATCATTGTACATATCGGTCAAGCCACAGCCCCCCCCCCCCCCCCCCCCCCCCAACCACGGGTGGTCCGGAAGGCCAGAGGATCCATGAAATATTCTCGCGCGAATAACCCTCCGGAGGTCTTCATTATAATTATGGTAAATAGATCATAAATATGTGATTTCATTCTGACTTGAAAATAAATATATGTATAAAAAGAACTATTTGAATGAATATACATACATTATTTACAACTAATTTTTCATGTGGTCATGTGTTTTGAAAATATGATTATGAATATGATGAATTTTCATGTATTGTAATTTATTAAGTATTTTTCGGTTTTATATATTTCAAATCATAAACATCATATAAATGTCTATTCAATCTAACATTTTTTTTACCCATCTTAGTTTTCAAATTTAGTATAACTTTTATTCATATTTATATTGTAAATGAATTTTATGTCAACATGGAATTCCAACAATGATCATCAACATTTTAGTAGATTTTATTTTTTTCTATATGCAGTATTTCAGAATATTATTATAAAACTTACACTAAGAGTCTCAAATTTAGCCTCAAAAATTAATGCCATTGAATAATATCAAATTTATTTCTAAGATAATTATTTTTAAATAAGTAAGGTTTAAAACAAGAAAATTTTCAAAATATTTTTCAATTTTATTTGAAAATATTTAAATAAATATCATTAAAATGATTTGGCTTTTAAATTAATCTTTTGTTTATGTGATCACATATGTCTTTGCTCATACTATTCAATTTCAGTGTGTTGTTTATTTCGTGGTTGATATATATTGAAAAATGAAAACAAAGTCAACAAATAAGTGCTGTTTTTCTAAGATTTATCTTGACAATCTCTAGAAAGAATGTTTTAAATTAGATTTATTGAATTACATTGATGCTTTATGTAATTTAAAAATTTAATTGAAGAATTAAAATTGAAAATTTGATTGAAATATGGAATTGAGGTTGATTTGTATATATATGATTTTGACACTATTATTTTGTGGTATCAAGAAAAAAATATTATCTCAACGGTTCCACAAAACAATCAAGTTCAATAATTTTGGACAAGAATGAATAATCCAATATCCCAAATCATAGTTCGTAAAGAATAAGTTTTACGGATTAAATATTCAGGACTCTAAGTTAGTGAAGAGAATAGAGAAGACACGTGAAAAGTTACTTGCTATCCTCTTCACTAATGATAGAGTACAAGTATCTCATACTTTTTCTATTTTTTCATAATTTTAAATGCAATAATTGTTCCAACCTTATATCCAAGTTAATACAAAAATTTGAATTTAGTTCTGAAACTAAGTGTGAGTTGATCAAAGTAATTATGTGTTCATGAGTGAAAACATTTCTTACCTACATACAATGAATCTCAGCATCGCATACAGCTAAACAAATTACAAGACGAGTACATCACCAACGTATAAATTCTTAATACTAATCAAATGAATAATTACACTTCATATCTACAACCTACTAAAAAAACGATATATGGTTACATGACGTTAGTTCTTATGGTAGGCAAGTCGATAAGAAAATGCAAGGTGACATATGATGATGCACCTCCACTGTTTCCAACAACTTATACGGATGCGATGGGAACTATATATCCAGACGTACTCTACAATTGTTTCTTGTATTTACTACTATAGAACATTCTCTAAGAGGTTGACTTCACATAGATGCTCCCGCAGAAATCGCTAGTACATGGCATGGACGTTATTGCAAAGATGTTACATGGTAAAGATGTTCATCGAAGGTAACATCCCGTAATAGAATAAAAGAAACGAAGAACACATCTAGGGGGTACGATGAAACTAATCCGGCCCAAATAACGCTGAAGCTACTCATTCGTGCATCGACTTTCGATGACTTAACGAACCTGGCACTACCCCAGAATATGAACAAATTTTGCAGATGCATGCACTTTTCTGCAAGAAATCCAACGCTGAACTGCGGAACGCAAATTCTGCGGAAGTAGAAAGCCAATCACACGCTGCTTTAATGGCACCTGCGTCAGCTTTATTGGTTTTGAAAGTGAAGGTCTGAAAAAAGGACAACACCCATCGAAACATGTCTTCCTTGACAGTCAATTTAACTGGTTTATTGAGAATGTAACACTTGTAAGTGCGAGTCGCTCCGGGACAACGCAATGACGTGGTGTCCATGAGTAGGTCAAAAAATTATCAAGTGCCAATCACGATAGTGACAAGAAGACCAGAGGAGACGCGGTCCTTGCGGCGCAGGTACACCCAGACGGCGTACATAGTACAGGTTTTGAAAGCTTACCGGGTTCACATTCCCTGCTGTCGACACGGGATTATTAGACGGCGACGGCAGAAGAGCTGGTACCGTCTGCCTTTCGCAACGTGGCCGTAGACCTCTGCAGAGGAGAAAGTTGGCATTCGCAACGGAAAGATTGAGTGACTCTACAAGGAACCGTCATAAAGTAGACCGAAAAGACCAGATAGTAGCTACATCTTTCTCAACTTGTCGGTTAAAAAATAGATATCGTCTATCAATTATTATTCATAGATGATTGGTGGTGTATCTATAAGCTTTATAGGTCACTAAGTACGCAGAACTATTGATATCTTAGCTGCAAAAAATATGTTTCTAACGGAAAGCCCTGCCCAGCCTCATCCTATCCATTTCGTTTCATAAAAAGCATTTATCTTAGTTTCCGCTGTAGAAAAAAATTAATAGCAGACCGAAATATGATTGTATATCCACCTTCACTAAAACCGATCCAGTGCCGATGAACGATCTGACGATCAGCATGAAGTTTGTATCTCTGTCGGGGGTTGGCAAAACAGACAGTCAGTCTGAGGTGGATCCAATACAGTATTCGCGATCCAGGATTGCAACGAGAAGATATTTGACGTGAGGAAATAATGGACAACGTCGACGGCGACGGCGTACAGATCACCGATTCATATGCTACATGCTGTATGGGGAAGTCATCCTTGCTTGGCTGCCCCACCGTGTGCCAACACCGTCCACCGCAGTCCTCTCCTGATACGTCATCACTCCGATGTTCATGGATTGGAAAGACTTCAACGTTGTACGTCATGCTGCGACCACGCAGTTGGCATGATGAGGTTTCATGGATGCCAACAAGACTTCTCAAGAAGGGGCGATGATATTCTCATACGCTTGACTTGTGGACCAGCGCTTGGCAGTCTTTATCAGCCTTTTTGATGATTCAGAGTTCCAGAAATTGCAGCAGCACGGCACGAGGACCGCACGCAACAACCGTGGAGGCCGTGGCAACTGTTCAGGGTACCCTTGCTCTTCTGTCGGTCTCGGGTCTCGAATTCGGAGTCAAGGTCAGTCACACCACCTGAAAACAACCAATAAGTCCCAATTTCGAGGCTCTTTCCAACTCTACAGCACAATACCCGTTCAGTACATGTATGGAGGAACTGTGTCGTTGATTCTGGGTACAGGGCACTGTCGTCGTGTGATTTTCGATGTATTGGAAGAAAATGAAACCGGTGAAATGGGGCACGTCACCGATGAGGATCATTGAAGCGACTTTTTTATGTCACTGCTCGCCATGTCTTCGATATGGCGGGCAGTAATTGCACAATGATTGTTTTGAAAGCTTGCAATTTCTGTACCTCCTTTGAAAGATGTAGCTATGAACATCTTTTACAGTAGGAAATAAGCCTTTTTCCCTTTATATTATTGTCGGCAGAATTATTTTTTTGTGCATAAAGGGGATATCTCTTCACAAAGAGTACTCTCTCTCAGGTTCGAGTACGAGCGCGACGTCAGGTTTATCCGGTGTGTAGTGTACAAGTATGACATTGACCACGTCCACCTCTTCACGAGGTGCACCATGCAGACATGCCAGTAACCACATCCATATTATCACGAGGTCACACATGTTGTACATCGTCATCTCCTGGAGGTTTCAGTTGTCACTTTCCAGTACTTGGTCGTTTTAATGACCTTGTGCTCACTTTCAGCTCAATGTCATTTTATATCCTCTTGGGAACTCAACTCCTTTTTTCTCGCTTTCTTGTCAAATTAAAAAGGTTATAATCTTAAACACCAAATAATATTTAAATAAAGAGAGCTATATCTTGGTGGAAAAATTATCCCTACAAAATCTCCAATTGTAGTACTGGCCTAGAGAGCCAACTCGAAACTCTGAAGTCTTTGAAGTAAGCTGTGTGTTTTAGATCTATCTATCACATTCAAGTGACTAGAAAAGCGAACAAATTCAATCAACCTCCTCATGTGGAATATGCTCTTCCTTGTGAATCCAACATCTGTATCTTTGAGTTTCAATTATCTCCTCTTTGAACATTGTAATGACTTCTTTTTATCTTTCTTAAATTCTCATCTTATAAATTATCTCATAATTATTCACTTCATATGCGTCGGCCCCTAATTATTTTCGAAAACATGAACATTTTCACGCTTGTATAGACGTTGACCATTATTTTTGCACAATAAAGGGCCTTGGTGAAGTTGTAAGGATGTCACATATCACCTCTCCTCATGTTGAATTTATTTATTCAAACCTCCAGGTCACTGTAAAATTGTATTATCAAACAACTTCTTCTACCAAAGGTTACCACCCTCAGAACAGTAACCAGCATAAAATCAATGAAGATCCATTTCAGCTCGCATGCTCTTGCGCACTCACTCCCATACACATGTTTAATTTCTTAGACCGAATACAAATATCACACAAAAGCTCCATCGCATTTCCCCATTTTATGCGCATGTGTTGCTTGCCTTATGTCAGACAACTATCACAGAACATCTCCCTCAAAACTTCCCCATGTGACGGCATGGGGGAGACAGACAGCCGGAATAATGTTTATGCTATTCCCGTATTGTGACTACACATACACTTTCACAACATGCGGTCACAATAAAATAAAAGAATCAACTCCCTTCACAGTACATCACAAGTCTATTACAGTCTATTATTTGTCAAACCTTACAGTCATACCAACACCAACCTGTCCATCATTAGTTGTCGGAAATCTGAAATTTAATTATATTCAATAGCGATGTTCCATAATTTGCGGCTTCTCCAAATTTTCATTCCACTCTGCAGCTTATTCATGAAATACAAAGCGTTGGTTTGAAATCTCATGAGATACTGCAAGAGACCTCGACTATGTCCCTGGTAATTAATTGTTTGTCTCGCACTTCTTTGTTCGTACATCGGCCAGTCAACGCGATTGGAGTGGAGTCAGGAGTGCGTCCTTCTAATAATTTATTCAATGAGTATTCTAAAAAAAGCAAGAAAGAGAATCAAACTTCTGACTGCACATTCAATCAATATACTATATTTGATTGTTTATACAGCTTATGACCAGTAGGTAGAGCTTTTTCATTGCAAATGCGCATAAACTGTACACTTTCACCTAACAAATAAAATATTACGAGTATAGTACTTGTTAAACCTTGCACATAAACAACACCAGCCTGTCCAAAATTATCTTCATGTCCAACAGGGATATTTATTCCATTATTTGCGGCTTCTCTAAATTCTCACTTCTTTCTGGAGCCGATCTCTTCAATACAAAGCGTTGATTTGAAATTCCATGGTATACCGCAAGAGAAATCGAAATTGTGCCAAGTAGATGATTGTTCGTCACGCAATTCTCGGTTCGAAGATCGGCCAGTCAACGCGAATGGAGTAGAGTGAGGAATTGCTCCTTCTCAATTCTGGAAACTAAGAATTTAGGGCTAGCTTTAGAGTTTTAGAGTTTTGGGCCACTTTTCCCTTCCCAATCTACTGTACGTCATCATGGCACGTGGACTGTGAGATGAAAGTTGACTCGAATGCCATGCTCCTATGTTTTATTTGTTTTCAGCAAGAAACGTAGGATTTGACTACAGTTTCTGCAATTGAAATTCTGTGGTACGATGATTGCACTGTGAAATTATTTCTGCAGAATCCGGCAAAAAGTACCCAAGTTAGGGGTGCAGCTAATTTGGACGTGAACAAGTTTCATCTTTAGTCATGTCACATGACTAAAGATGTAATGGGATTAGCATGAAACTTGTTCACGTCCAACTTGTAACACATGACTCATGTGTTACATACTACACCTTTTTCTAGTATCCACTTGGCCATGGCTAAGTATTCTACAAATACTAAAAAGGAAACCAAAATAATGTGTAACTTCGCATCCATCAATTTGCTGTATTTGAATACTGATACAGGTTATGACCAGAAGGATATGAATATCCATCGCAAAATTGCATCAACAACCAAGAGAATCAAGGTTGTGAACGGTGGCCACTCCAAGAGTGAAAGGGTGATGCAAAATCTTATTTACAAACAATAAATATTCAAGGGTTTTGATTCACTCACAGAACAAAAGGTTCATTTTGGATCACACTGTCAAATATATTCATGAGTTCATGATAGAAAATGATTTCAATAGGCATACGAGGTTTATAACAACTTGGATCACACTATCAAACTTATTTACAAAACGAAGAAAAATTATTATTTTATTCAATAGGCATGCGGGCTGTATCTCCTTTTGGATCACATTATCAAACATATATTTAAATATAGAAAGAATGGCAATTTCTGCTTTATGCCTTTCGACCCTTTGGGTCTTCCGGGCTTGATATATTACCATTTATGACATTCAATAGAAGTTCCGAAGAAAACATTGCAAGTGAACCCTTTTGCTACATTCTGTACATTGACGTGGTTAGGTATTTTATCTTCCTCGTAAATGAATGGAGGAAATCGAGTGACGAAGGAGAGTTCGTCACTCGTCAAATCTATGCGACCTTCCAAACGAACGTCGTAACAAGAAAAAAAAAGGCAATGCGGATAATAGAACTTCAAAGATCTTTTATATTCGGGGTTACGATCCGCCGTAGATCTGGTGTACACAGATCTGGTGAACGAGGTGGACTCGCGGACGCCGGTCCTCGAGGTGAAGAACAGCGGAAAGGCGCAGTCCCCGACAGCGTAGACCGCAGTAACGCAGTCCATAGTGGCCGTCTGGCCGTACAACAGAACTCCGAGTCTAGTGTGTCGGTCTCCGAACGAGGTCCCTCTGCGAAAGTGGTCCGCACGGCAGGAAGGCGTTGACGTGTCAAGACGGCGTCGCAGTGATCCCTCATCGTCCTCCGTCGCGCGCCGTGGGGTCAGTAGATGGTTCTTAAGCCCAGAGCGGATGGGCGCCTCTGCTCCAAGAAACATCGACGATCTGCGCCTTCCCTCTGGGCCTTTCGATAGAACCAGAGCGAGGAGAACGACGAGCAGACGAGGGAAGCGAGGAATTGAAGATTGCATTCGAGGAGCATTTGGTGGCAATCTGTCGCGGATTTTTTCTTTCGTAGGGGACGATGTCGGCCTCGACGATGGCTGTCGTCGGTTCAGCCGCAACCGCCTCTCTCGTGTCCAGCGGCAGGAGCAAGACGCAGCCTCTGGCGTCCGCTGCCTCGTCTTCTTATGGAGGCTCTGCAGCCTCGTTGAAGAAGGGAATGACGGCTGCCGCAAAGAGGTCAAAAAATGGTGGTGTTCGATGCACTTACACTCCCGAGAAGATCGACTTGTTGGCTGAGACGGCTGTGAAAACGGTGAAGGATTTCCAGAGGCCCGACAGCTTCGGGAGGTTTGGAATCTTTGGTGGGAAGTATGTGCCTGAAACTCTGATGCAGGCTCTGACGGAATTGGAGGTCGCTTACCGCGACGTTGTGCCCACGGAGGAGTTCCAGGTATGATGCTTTTCTCGTACACCTCTCCATTCCCACTTCCATTCAGCTATGGAGAGGTTCGATTCGTTTGTGGATTGGAAGCTTGCGACGCAAGCTGTTGTGGGTAATGTAGAAATGTTTTTGTAGAATTGGTCGAAGAGAACCTCACGTTCTACATTGGTGAAAGCTCTGTCAACAGGTAAGTCTTTGAAAAGGGACTTTGATACCCGGAGGAAACAGGCATTCTTGAGGCTCTTTATTCAAGTGAAGTAGATTCGCGGGATGTGGACATCCACGCAGACTCTTCTGAATTTTTAGTAGTGTCATGAGTATCCAACGATTGACTCGATGTGTGCAGAAAGAGCTGAAAGGACACCTCAAGGACTATGTTGGTAGAGAGACACCACTTTACTTCGCAGAGCGCTTGACCGAGCATTACAGGAGGGCTAATGGCGAAGGCCCCCACATTTACCTCAAAAGGGAAGACTTGAACCACACAGGAGCTCACAAAATTAACAATGCAGTCGGACAAGCTTTGATGGCCAAGAGAATTGGAAAGAAGAGAATTATTGCTGAGACCGGGGCGGGTCAGCACGGTGTTGCCACTGCGACTGTTTGCGCACGCTTCGGTTTGGATTGTATCATCTACATGGGAGCAGCTGACATGGAGAGACAAGCCCTCAATGTTTTCAGGATGCGGCTTTTGGGAGCCGAGGTAGGTTCTCTCTTCTCCATGGCTTTTGAACTAAGATTGTGAGGTGGATGGTTGTAATCCGGCCCAATTGTTTGTCAACTTATCTTAGATGAGTGGAGATCGAGGCAGAGAAAACTTTAATTGTTAAGTTTGGGATACCATCTTTGAACAACAATAGCGGTTAATCTGTCTCCGGTGGTGATTTGTAAGATTTTTCTCTGTGTTGATGCAGTCACTTTTACTTTAAGGGTAGACCTGATTTGCCACATGTGGCTTGCAGGTGCGTCCTGTGCACTCGGGCACAGCCACACTAAAGGATGCTACTTCTGAAGCCATCAGAGATTGGGTGACGAATGTGGAGACTACTCATTACATTCTTGGATCAGTTGCTGGTCCTCATCCTTACCCAATGTTGGTACGCGATTTTCACGCTATCATTGGAGAGGAGACGAGGCGACAAGCTATGGAGAAGTGGGGAGGAAAGCCTGATGTTCTCGTAGCGTGTGTGGGAGGAGGTTCGAATGCCATGGGTCTATTCCACGAGTTCGTGGATGACGAGGATGTTCGACTTATAGGTGTGGAGGCCGCCGGTCATGGAGTGAACACGTCTCAACACGCTGCTACCTTGACGATGGGAGATGTTGGAGTTCTACATGGTGCTATGAGTTATCTCTTGCAGGACAAGTTTGGCCAGATCATTGAGCCACACTCTATCAGTGCAGGGTATGTCTCATAGCAAGCTTCTTCCATTGATCAAATGTCAACCGACTTCTTTTGTAGTGTTTTGAAGATAATTTTTGTCAGCATTCCCACTTCTAGGTTTCTTCCTCTTTTGGATTGAGATTTGGCTTGAAGGACGAATGTGAAAATCGGAAGCCGTCGTTTGGGAAAATTGTTTGTATGTTTTCTCTTTTCATCTCTTGGATCTCAGGGAGATTTTTTTGGCTGCCTACAGATTGGATTATCCCGGAGTTGGGCCAGAGCATAGTTTTTTGAAAGACGTGGGTCGGGCTGAGTACTACAGCATTACAGATGCAGAAGCCCTGGATGGTAAGCAAACCTCTAATTTGGACTGGGAAATTTGATGATCGGTTTTTCCGTCAATTGAGTTATAATTAAAGAGAGTTTTTTCGCTATTTGGTCTCTAGAACGAAGTAACAGAATGTTTAGCATTTCTGTGATAAAACATATAATCGCTGTTGAGCTTTGGCATTGATATGTGTCCTATCTTGTGACATCAGCATTCCAGTTGCTGTCGAAGCTTGAGGGTATTATTCCAGCCTTGGAAACGTCCCACGCTTTGGGTTATTTGGAGAAACTTTGCCCGACATTAGCGGACGGAACAAAGGTTGTACTTAACTGCAGTGGTCGTGGTGATAAGGACGTGAACACCGCCATTAAGTTGCTGGGAATGTGAATTCGTATAGATGGGGGATAGTCACGGACAGTTCCATCGACAATTTTTTTGAGAGTTGCTCTAAATTAGTTGCAATGTCTGCGAGATCAATTGTGTAAGGATCGAAGTCTTGCTGTAAATACGGAGAGTTCCAACACTAGGGCAAGTTCTGTTGGGAAACTGGAGTTAACATTTTGAAACAGGAGGTTTAGAGGTTATGAGATTATCATTGTTATACACGTGACAAATGATAAGGAAAAACTATCTGCGTACACGTTCACGCTGTCTAAAGCGTGCCTTTCATTTGTATTTATGTTCTGAGGTGTAATCAAAGAAGGAAGTTTGATTCTTATGCCGAAAAGGTATATATAATGTTCAGCTCATGGTGAAGTCGTCAATTTCTGCGATAAAGTGTGTATAGCTTGTACGTCTCGCTTATGAAGTAGGGGATGGAAGAAAGGGGTCGTGCAAGCAGAGTTTGATAGTAGCTTGATTTGCCGTTGCCAAGGACTAGAAAAGTATTGCAGGTTTGAATGATTATTGTCCTAGTGACACTGGTCAGCAGGGCATTGTTAACCTAAAGAGTGTCTGGCGGCAAACGACCGATATTTGGAATTTATGGCGTAGTTGTACCTGATAGAATGAAAGGATATAGTATTGCTGGCTTTTGTGGTAATTTGGAGCGACTTTTGCTAGCAGCGCGGTTTCTCCCCCACAGAGTTTGTCAGCAGACGACCACTATTATGAAACCTATAGCCTAGTTGTACCTGACAAAAGGGATGGATCGAGTTTTGCTGGCTTGAATAAGTTATTCTAGAAGCGACCTTTGCCAGCTTCGCAATGTTACCTCCAAAGTGTCTCGCGGCAGACGACCTGTAGCCCAGGTATGTCCGAGAAGAGGAAGGGGGAAAAGCATTGGAGGCATGAATGTCCTACCATGCGAGTGAAGTCATAGCCAGCCCGAGTGCCTACCTGCAGTGTCCGGCGATAGACAGTCTCTGCCATGACATATTTAGCCTAGGTGTGTCTGACTAAAGGAAGAAGGTGAGGTCTAGATTCACTACATGGTTACCTCTTCCGGAGCATCTTTAAATATCTTCCTAAAATATTTTTCAAGTAGGTTTTATACCAGGTATGCAAACATTGCATGAAATGTCCTTTTTGTGCCGTAAAAAGGCTAAAACGTAATGCACTAGTAGAAATAGATAGTCACTTGTTTATGGATCGGCAGACAGACGATAGTATATAGTATCGTCTGTCTGCCGGTCTTTGCGTCAATCTCTGGATGAATATATAGCCAATAAATTCCGTAGATTTGATGTGTGTCACAGAGTGTTTGGAGTAATTGCACGTGGGTTTCAAAGCAACGTGTTTCTTCTGATCATCATACGTGCCAATAGTACGTCGTGAAGTGGGCTGGAAGTGGAAATCTGACGGAAGTATATATGCAAAATGAGTGAGTGAGTTTTGTGTGTGTAATACGGATATTGAGTATTAACACGCTATGTTGTCGAAAGTGAATAATTAAAATAAAAAGGAGTATAGGAATAGAAATTGGTAACACATAGTTTGAGAGGGAGGAAAAGTACAAAACTTGGTTGAATGCGAAACATCACTATCATAAAGAGTTGGGAGTGTTCTTGCCATCGGAAAATATTTACACTGCACAAAAAGAGACTCAAATTATGATACTCAGAAGGAAGAGTTTAATCTGGACGGCTGCTCAACTAATTGCTTGACTGCCCTATATCCAAATTGTTTTTTGAAGGCTATTAGAATCACCCGACAGTGATCTCTTCGTTACGAATATGATGATTCATTTAGCCTCATTCTCTTAATGAGGCTAAAGATGTGACTATTAACGTAAGTTACCTTCGATGTAGATTCATTTATGCAATAATTAACTCGCTTAATTTCATAATATTTTTTGAAGTTGATATATGACATTAGTAAGTACTTTGTGATGATATCACGTGTACGCACATTATAATAGTCGATCTTTTTCTTCTGAAGTTCAACAAAGTCAACGTCAACTGGCTACTTTTTACATTCAGTTGGGGCTTCTTTGTCATGCAACTACTGCTTTTGCTTTATGGCCATCGAAAATTTAGATTTCATAATTTCCGTTACATCCAACTAAATAAATAGCCAAGTTTTAGAAACTGAACAAAGACATTTCTATTTGACATTGCTGCATATATATGAAACAAACATCGCAGTCTAGGATTATTTCTCTTCTGCTATAAAAGCTTCTTCTACTTTAGAGCTCAAGTCGCTCCAAAATAACTCGTTAATTCGAGGAATAATTTTTTCCAAAAATCTTCACACTTCAAGTAAATAACCACATTATACAATCAAATTATAAACATAATATGAATAAGTGATTCATTAATATAAAAATATAAAAATTTATATTTCACATCTTATTTCTTGATTTCACCAACTAGTCTTGAGAAAGTGCTCGTGCTCAAACCCAGTCGGTATATGCAAGAGTAAGAAAGTTATTAAATATAGTCAGTTTCCTGCATGCTAGTTGTATAAAGGATAGTTACAAATTGACATGTGACTCATGTCAAGTTGTCAAGTACTCATGTAAGTGATTGTGGATGCTTATGAGTGTGACTATCCTTCAGGTCAACAAAGATTGATGTGTCAACGGATACAGTTCAATATTAGTCATTTGAACAATTGAGCAAAATGATCTTTGTTAGAACGATCATACGCCACTAGACGACCTTCAGAAGAGCAAAATATCCAAATCCTTCCTGAAATTTGGATGAGATATGAAGAGACATCGTAGTGAACTGGAATGCATATTGAGAGCTGCTCCTTACATGGCTGGTTCCATGTGACCACCAGTAATCGATGTAATGCGGTCGAGGTGGTGCACGCACAGCAGGATAAACACTCTAACTTTCTATTCCTTTCACAAGTCGTCTTCATGAGATGTGTTTAAATAGACATCAAATTCGTTCGAAGTTTTGACAAAGTCTCAATATTTGAACCAGCAGAGCAGATGAGTATTCATGCACGGGTTAGTGATCATGAACTTCATAGAAATTCCAGAAACCAGCAATCAACGAATTGTGTGTAGTATAGCCGCCACGTTTGTTATGTTTGAGAATTTCCCCTGCACTTTGTCGAGCATCGGCTAAGCAATTTGCTGCAGAGGACAAAGAGCATTTAGGAGAACATGAGCGAGCATTACATCTACAAAATAATGATGGCCAGTACGAATGCCCAGCCATGAATTCAGAGCCGGGGGCCTGCCGTAGTGTCCTCCGTCACTGCATTGATTGTCGAAGTGCCAGGGAAATGTCATGTCGTACGCATCTACCACTTGCAGATTCGATGGACCGAATTCAGACACCAGCAGCTCGCCCAGAATTGTGTTGTACACCTCCATCTTCTGCGGGTTCGCTGGCTTGTTCCTGAACTCGCCGGCAGGAGCAACTGTCGTCCTGAAAAGCATTTTGGGCCTGGCAGATGAACCTGCTCTCGAGGCTCTCCACAAATTCCCCCAGAATGAGCTCGCTCGCCGGGCTCCATGCACATAGTGCGTCAGATTCGTCCAGGGCTTGCCATCGTGGAGTCCGGAGTTGAGGATGACAGCGTCGGGTACAGAAGGATTGGTGGGGAGAAAGTAGGAGCTCAGACGGTGCCTGTAATCAGAGTCGGCTAGAGAAGCCAGGCCCAAGTTGTTGTCAGACTCAGTGAAGTGGCCATTGAAGTAGCTGGTGATTTTGAGGAACTGAGAGGAGTTTCGGGGATTGGAGAAGGTGGACTCGAAGGTTCTGCCCAGGTTGGAGTCCTGACGGCCCAGAACGAAGTTCAGCAGGTTGCGAATCGTGTCCTGGTGGTTGGAATCGCCCCAGAAGAAGAGCCACCTGTCGCTGAGGCACGTCCAAGCTTCCTGCTGCGTGAAGATCCGGAAGGCGCAGTGGGCCGAGTACACCCACCCATTGCTCTCCAAGCTGCCAACAGGCCCTTCACACCAAGGTGGCTCACACTCCTCGCCAGGATTCAGGCACTTGAACCTCCCCTCATCATCGGCAGTGCAGGACTCGTTCGCTTTGGCTCGAGTCCATCGTCCTCTCCAGCTGCCGTGCCTGAAATCGTCCTTGTTGCAGAGCTGGAGGTCTGACCAAAGGCTGGACTTGAGCTCATCTATGAACTCGAGTTTCAATTGGACCACTTCCTTGGCCAGGATCCAAGGCTCCGGGTTCACATCCAGACCATGCAAATTGTCGAAGAGCAGCACCACTTTCAAACTGTACAGCCCCGTCTGTCGACTGTCCACCTTCAGGTCCACCAAGTACGATCCGTCTCCCAGATCCTTCACAGTCGGCCGTGACTTCCAACTCGGACCTACACTGATGCAGACCAGACGATCAGTTGCTCTTGCTTAGACAAATTAGACGAATGATAATCCGTCCATCTTCTTCAGGGTTTTCTGTTCCACCACCAATTCCGTCTGGAGCATGTGGACTCCGACAAAAGCTGAGGGACATGAGAATCTTCTTCGTTACGTCCTAGTGATGCAGTCTACAGGATTTGGTGTTAAATCGTATCACACATCGATAGGAAGAAGAAAATTGATCTGGAGTGGAGTCAAGTCTCTTCAGTGCCATCAGAGGGAGAGTTCAGAGCATCCGTTTCTGGCATGGAGTGGCAAAGTATGTACCTGAGAGGTCAGTCTCGTAAAAGTCTCCACCTGAGCATCTCCGAGAGCCATCCTCGGTGTAGGAGACCAGGAGAATTTGGTGGTTCTGATTCGTTTGAAGACGTACATTTCCACCTCTCCAAGCAGGTTGATCGATTCCGAATAGCATGGCCTGCGTGGTTCGTGCATTGTGGCACGAAGCCGTGCCGTTTTCTTCCGATTGTTTCAACAACCATTCCTTATCGTTCGGCGCATTGAGCTCGTCTGCCTGGAATTCATGATCTCAGACTGGTTTGTGTGAAGTACAGATGGATATGGATTCAGTTCAGGGTCCTTGCTTGAAGGAGATTATGACATAATGGACGACATAAGCGCTTGCGATTCTGATCCTTTTACTGAGGGGATCCGAAGCCTGTCTAAATGCAACGAGAAGCATGGTTTGATAGCTGTCCTTAAGTAGGCTGAATCGATTACCCACCTCACCAAGCTTGTCCTGGAGGGTAAGATCGGGATTGCTCGGCGAGGATCTCCACTTGCTGAAGCGAGGAACGAAGCAGACGGCCTGATTCGTTCTTAGCGACTGCAGGAGGACGAGAGTGGAGGTGAACATGGCCACGCTGATCAGCAGCATTAGAACATGGCAAATGGACGGACTGCACAGATCGTCCGTAATCGAATCAGCTCTGCAGGATCGAGAGCTGCTGGAGCCGATGGGGATGTAAGCGCTTCCCTTTTGCCAGACTCTGCTCACCTTCTTACTGCTCTCAGCTGCAGCTGCTGTCAACATATTCGCGCTCCCCATCTTTCGGTCTCCTAAACCATCATGTCAGCTAGATCCTTCACGTTATCAGATTATCAAGAGCTTGAAAATGGCTGATCATACACAATTCTGATGCTTTCGCTGTGATGGTGGCTCGGAGGACACTATATGAACATCATCTCCCTTTCGCTATTTAATGTCCGGTGTCTGGATAGGAGCTAGATATGCAGACTGGCTCATGAGTTTCAGCATTCTGCCTCAAACATAGATTACAGACAGCGAGGCAAGTAACCTCTGCATCGTCTTCACTGCGGGCAAGCTGTGAATATTGGAAGACTCGGAGTGCTGAAAGCAGTCTCCTGCTCAGTGAGTAACTGCTGCTGCTCGTCCAGTTGACTTGCAGAGCCTCCTCTCCCTCTCAGTAGCAGCGATGGGGCTTTCGCGTGGAGTACTAGCTGCTGCCTCTCACTCTCGTCGACCGCGAGAGACGACTGGCTCTTGCGACCGTTGAGTGGTGGCATCGGAATCATCTCGAGCGACGACGGCAGGCTCTTCCGTTTCGGTTACTATCGGAAGCGAGCGCGCGGTTATCGACGCCACGTCGGAGGCAGAACGGGGAACGAGAACGAGAACGGGCAGAAATTTGGGGCGCTCCCCAAGATGCTTCCGTTACGGGTCGAGCGATCGAGGCGCACGTGGCCTCGTGAGCCGCGGCATTCTTGAAACACTCCCTCCCCGTCGAGTCAGCGTCGATGCGTCGGATCTTCTCGTTACACAACGAACTGATGGTCGGTAGTCACGATCGCGTACGTCAGCGAGGGCATCTTCGGAAGGACACTCAAGGAGTGGAACTTCTTGCATCGATGAGAGATCGATCTGATCCCGAGGCAAGAGAGAGCACAGAGCAGGAGGATTAGTCGTGTACTATGTACGAGCTAACGATCGAATTTTTTCTGTTGGTGCTGTAATTCCTTGTTTTGCAGGTTGACGAGTTTGAGTCGTGGAATTTGAAGAAATTAAAACAAGAACTGGCCAGAAGTAAAGAATAAGCCCCTTTGACACACGATAGTTTTATCAGCGAGGTTTATGTTGTTTGCCCACTCGTATGGACGACTGATTCAGTCACTGCAACTATCTCGCCCATTTTTGCGGATTCGAATCCGTTTTTCCTCACTATCGGATCAGATTCTTTCGTGAATCTTTTTTTGGGAGCAGTCGTCGAGCTCGACTGTAAATGTCAATCGTATTTCTTCATGTTTATGTATTATCAGGTTTTTAGGGGTTGAGGTTCTTTTAGAAGAGCAGCGAATTCCAACCTAGTGTTCGGTATCCTCCATAATTCTCACGAGAATTTTGGAGGAGACCGACTGTCAGCGGAACTCGAGAAAGGATTCAAGTGCAAATGCTCGAGGGAGTCTTGAGAAATTAGGCCATTAGAGAGTAATCTAATGATCGGAGCCTGAGACGATGGCGATTGTTCAGCGCTCTGGATCGGTAGGGGAACCGTTGAGGTCCAAGAAAGTAGTGGATTTTGACAGGGAGTCGAAGCTAGATGAGTTGCAAAAAGAGATGGAAAGGTTGCAGCGAGAAATCGAGGAGTTAAAAGAGGAGTTTCAGAGGCCTTTGCTTTTGAAAGAAGCGAACGATGACGCTAAAGCGAAAGATCCCTTGTGCTTCACCTGCGCGGAGCGTAAAAAAGGAGCAGCATTATTTCCTTGTGGCCATACCTTCTGCTGGAAGTGCACGTCACAGTTGCGACGAGGGAAAGGCCCTTGTCCGTTTTGCTACCAACAATTCTGGACTGCAGTTCCCGCATCTAATCATGAACTGGGCAATGATGATTGGTCTAGGTACCATTATTTGGGATAATTCACCTTTCGAACCACCTAAAAATGAAGTTTTTGGTCCAATCTCAGTTTGTTACTCCAACTCATCACCATTTTGTCAAGTGCTTTAGATTGGATCGGTTGAAGTGTAAATCTGCTGGTGAATCCAACCACTTCTGCTAACTCTCTCCTTCCAATTTCCAGACATTGAGATGTTTGTCTGGACCAAGTACTCTCTGAAGACGCAATCAGAACATCGCAAATTCGAATGTGAACAACGTATCGGTGTTGTGCGTTCTGTGATTATTAGATCATGCACTTATATTCTATCTTCGGCAGTGCTTGATTTCCCTTAAGATATCAAGCCTTTGTAGACTTGATCAACTGAACAAAACGTGAATTGTAAACATAAAATTGGCAGTGTTCTGGGCTCAAGTTTCTACACCAGTTTGTTCGAGCTACATGCATCCAGATCAATTGTTTGTGGGGAGTTCTTCATTCGTTGTCTCAGCTTACGCATCAATCGACCCTCCTTGTCACGAGGAACATACGTTTCCAAGTTCTTGCACGAAAGCAATTCTTTCATATTCGAACGAAATGCATGACACAGTTTTGTGTGTCGATGCGATGCCGCTGGTTATCATAGGATTAAATTTGCGAGTACATTGAATCTCGTGTGCCCCGCTTTGGTCTCGGCTCAGCTGTGGCTCAATTTGTGTTTGCAGGAGGTGATTCCACATCTGGGGACACATGGGTATATTGATACAATATTTACAACCATGATCTCTCGTCTCCTTGCTGAGAACAAGATGTGAACGATCTGCACGTCGACTTTCCAAGCACTAATCTTCTGTTATTAAATTGTTGCCCGGCAGTGTTTCCGACCAGTATCTACAGTTGTCTTCTTAACAGAAATTTCCAATGTGTATCTACCTTTGAGAAATTCACAAGCAGATACATAGCTTAACCATAAGCACGGTGCTGCACTCTCTTTCTCTGTCGGTGGAGTAATAGTGCAGATGCGAGCCCTGGAGTGACTCTGTTCTCTACTTTGATATTCGTTGCATAATCCAGCTCGGTGTCCTTGACCAGACAATTGCAGGCTGTCCAATAAGGTAAGCTGGCTGAGGTAGGGAATCTGAAATTTGGTGTGAGTTGATGGCAGCTAATGTGTGGAAGCTGGGACCATCAAAGTCGAAAGATCAACGACAATAAAAGGGTGATGAAAGCCTCGGCTAGAATCGCCGCTTACCTTCTCACGGGTCCCGAAATCTGTCGAGGATGCTACTGAATCTTGGACTAAATTCTCGACTCTTGAGCCACCGAGTATCGAAAGACATGGCTCGGTATGGCTGCTGGAATTAGAGTGAACTGTGGTCAAGAGCATACAGCTATAGAGGGCAGATTGCATTCAGATGGACGTGGGCGAGCATGAGATCGACGAAGTAGTGGTGGCCTCCTTTGATCCAGGAGTGAGCATTGGGAGCTCGTCCGTAGTGTTCACCGTCGCTGTAAGACTTATCGTAGTGCCAAGGGAAGGTCATATCGAAGTCGTCCACGATCTGCAAGTTTTCGAGGCCGAACTTGGACACGAATGAGTCCACCAGCACGGTGTTCATGAGCTCCACCTTCTGAGGGTTGATGGCAGTGATTCGATGGGCTCCAGCGGGGGCGACTGTTGTGCGGTACACAACCTTGGGCCGCTTGTGCACATCCTTGTCCGCAGCCGCCCATGTTGAGTGCCAGAACGAGCTCGCGTTTTCAGCCGCCTCCACGAAGTGCGTGAAGTTCGACCAGAATATGCCGTCATGAAGGCCAGAGTTTAAAATCATGGCATCTGGTATTTTTCCTTCAGAATCAGTATGATGGTCGAAGTTGGACCTCAGCCTCTCTCGGTATGTGGCATTCTGCAGGCTCAGCAAGCCCTTGTAGTTATACCGATCGTCATAATGCCCATTAAAGACGAGGCTGATCCTCACGGTCTCGCTGGGGTTTTCTGGGTTGGTGTAGTTCTGGTCGGAAGTTCTGGGCAGAGAGGCCAGATCGAAGCCCAGGATAAAATTGAGCAGATTCCGAGCTGTGTCCTGATGGTTGGAGTCGCCCCAGAAGAAGAGCCATTTGTCCTTGAGGCAGCTCCATGCTTCGTCCCGAGTGAAGATCCGGAAAGCGCAGTGGGTGCTGTAGGCCCAGCCATCGCTTTCCAGGCTCCCCACGGGACCAGTGCACCAGGGAGAGTCGCAGCTCTCGTTGGCAGGCAGACATTTGAACCTCCCATGGTTGTCAGGATTGCACGTCTCGTTCATCTTCGTCCTGGTCCACCTCCCTTGCCACGACGTGTGGTCGAAGTCTTTCTTCGAGCAGGGTGGAAACTCGGCTGCAGTGCTCATGACTGGGGAGGGCTCATTCAGAAACTTGACTGTGACGAGAAGCGTCGGTTCTTCGAGAGTCATGTTGTACATGGCCCATTTGTCCGGACTCCGGTCCAGCCCATGCAAATTGGCGAACAGCAAGATGACCTTGAGCTGGTAAGAACCTGGGAACCGACTGTCCACACGAAGCTTCACGAGGTACGTTCCATCTCCTAGATCCTGCACCGGTGGCCGAGCCTTCCACTGGGTGCCTGCACGGAGAAATTGGCCTTGCTCATCAACCTCGTTTCACCCTGTCAATGAATGACCTCGCTGCTCTCGAGACAAACGACATTCCAGGCCCTGGAGATTTACTATACAAGGGGTAGAACTAAACCATCCCAAATCAACGCAGTATTACAAATCTGGTGCCAGGGGCACCTTCTAAGAGGAGAGCGAGAGAGGTGAACAGGAGGGTAAAATGTTAGGAATCTGAATTGCAAAACTAGCAAGCCTACCTGTGAGATCAGTCTCATAGAAGTCACCGCCGCTGCATCGTCGTTGCCCATTTTCAGCGTAGGAGACGATGAGCAAGTCATGATCCTCGTCGGTGGTGAGGGTGATGTCTCCCTTGGCCGGGTGCGGAAGTCCGAAGACATGGGCTCTTGCAGTGGGAACATGATGGCACAGTGTGCTCCCGTTCTCGAGGTACTGCCTCAGAATGGAGGCTTTGTCGTGGGGCATGAATTTGATGTTTTGCTGCAGAAAAATGATTGGCAGTGAGTAACACTTTTGATCCACATGCTATAAGACAGACTCCGAGCATTCAACCCTTTATCCTAGTGAGACAATTGACAACGTTTCCGACGGCTGCTGTTCGACAGGAATTCCCACCTTGCGAATCTCCACTGTCTTTGGCTTCTCGAGCGTTTCGTTCTTAGCCGGCTGAGGGACGACATCGTTCTTGGGGGAGATTTTTTTCAGCGGAGAAGACTGGAGCTGGCTCAAGAAACACCCATTGGCAATTTCACTGTCCCTCAGCATGTTCATCAGGTACAGAGTGGCCGAGAAGATCGCTATGGTCGTCATGAGCATCCATAGCTGGCATGCTGTGCGGCTGAGCCTCAAGGTGTGCTCGTGGTGCTTCATGGCTTTGGCCGGATGTTTTGCGGCCTGAAACTCGTGTTCGAGACCGAGAAAAGTGCACCGCAAAACCGAGCAGACCGATTCGTGCAGTTCTTATCTGTTACTCCATCTCCCCAACGGATGGTCTGCGGAAGTTTGATCGTAGTCTGCCTCAAATGGTCTGCTCCTTTTAGAATTGGATCTGTTGGCACATGAGGTCCTCTGTGTCTCTATCACGAAGAGGATCTGCAGAGAGCATTTTCAACCCTGGCATTCTGGGATATCACGTCTTGCAGATTTGTGCAAGCTTCCACTCACACGGCCTGCGACGAACAGTCCAGATCGGACAATTTTTCTTCGAAGCAATCCATCTCGAAAGACATCCATCCTTTCGATCGTCGTCCAGCTCCTTTTCCAACGAATACCTCACAACTTAAATAGCTAGACTGAATCTCCTTCACACTGAACATTGAGTGTTACAGCCCTCGCCTGCACAAGTCACAGTTGTCGATGAGTGACATCGTTCCACACAACTAGACAGACATCGATCGTGCTATCGATTTACTCACTGCCTATGAACCTCGAGCAAATTTAGACTACCTCCACTGCTGAATGAAACTGCTCGCTTCTGACCAGACACACTCTTATACCTCAGGCGTCGTCATGTCCACTCCCTCAACCGACAGAGGCATGCACTTCTGGACTTCCTAGGAAATGATCAGAGCATCCATGACTGATTCTTCCCACCTTTCTGGGCACGGTGCCTCGCTTCATGAACTTATTTCGATTGTCTCCTCCTTCTCAGGGTTCCATCAGAGATGCTCCATTGAACATTCTGGGCTGAGCTGAGCAGTGAGGAAGTGTAAGTGGCATGTAGACTGAAATGAACTTGTCAACCTCTACGACTGGAGCGAATGAACAGAAGAAGCTTGCAGAAGTCCCGGTACGAATCTCCCTCCCTCTCTCCCTCTCCTTGCCAAGTACGAAATCAGGTAACACCGATTGGGAAGACAGAAACTGTTGCTTGTTGATGCAGTGGGGAAGAGTATATGTGCATGTGAGATCCAAACGCAGCAGTCTGTTCCGTCCTCGTCCTCTGACTGAGGACGATGTAATTACTGCTCGGAAGTGAATGTAGAACGCTTTCTAAAGAATCAAACATCCTCGTGCTATCAGCATGATCTGCACAAAACAAATGAAATCAGTCCCAGTGAACGATTCCGGAGGTCGGAATGAACGTACTCTGCGGAACTCCTCAGGAGAATCAATATTTCGGTATATTTCTGCGTGCTCACCATGCGCAGCACGATCTTCTGATACTGGACAGCTTCAGTTCAGCGAAGACTGATTCGACCACTTCCGGAGTTTCGCTCGAGGCAAAGGGGGTCACTCAACAGCCGACACATGGACCCCATCTTTGAGGGAGAGGTATGCGGTCTGTGCAGCCGAGGATGTAACAGGTTTGCCGTTCGGAAAGGTCAACAGGCTGCGTCTTGGCAGGCGCGATCAACGCCATGATCGTGTCAACTTACGTCGGATTCCTCCACAATCAATCAGACAGCCCTCCAGGGCCGAGGGCTCAGCTGAAGCCACGATGCCCCGCCCCTTCGGACATGAGGGTCTGCAGATGGCCTCGTTTTCCAAGATACGTTCAACCTGTCAGTCACATCGTAAGTCTCACCCACGGCGTAAGGGACTCATGGCTGCCTGTCGCTGCACTGCATGCGACAACAGGGGCGTACAATGATCCTCCTCCCAGCTGCCTCTCTCCTCTGGGCACCACACTCACAGCACAAGGAGGAGTGTGATGGATGGATGGATGGATGGATGCCCGATCTGCCCCTTGATTCAGTCAAATGTGCACGATGTGAAGTCTGTGGTCCGGACTCAGGGCAAAAGACTTGCATCGTAGATCTAAGCTCATCAGGAGCAAAAGCCGGGGACGATGAGAAGGCACGAAGAATGAGAAGACGATAAGGATCTTGGTTTACTGCAGGGGATGCTCCTGTAGGTGCCTCGGGAAGACACAAAGAGTGTCGTTCGTCCTTCGAGCTTGAGGTCTCTGCAACGGTCTGCTGCAATCGGCAGACTCTTAGATTTGAAGTTCTTGCAAGCAGTGACGGACTCCATGTCGTCGGCCATGGATGGATGACACTAGTGCACACCTTCAGACTGCACAAGTGCAACAACCCAAGAAGCTCAGACCGTCGTTACAGAACTCGATCGTTAAAGTTCTCGGTGCTGGTCACATCTTGATCAACATTTTCATTTATTTATATGCACTCCCGGATCGCATGCCGAGCGTTACTCAAAAAATTCGAAGCTCCCTTGGTCAAACACCATCCACATTCACTCCACTGGTTTCAAATGTCTGTCACTCGCAACTTTATGCCAGAGTGAGCAAAACACGTTGACTATCCATCACTCGCGTGGATGACTCTATATAAGCGAGCTTCTCGTCTGCGTCGCTTACTGCATTGAGTGTTCGATTTGATTATTATGTTTTAGCCGCAAGGGCACGGGATGCTGCAAACTACGCGCTCTGATGCTCGAAAAAGATCTCCTCTCTCGAAGCGGCTGGCTTTCCTCAACCGCTGTTTCATCACAAAAGTCCACGTTTGGATGGACTCATATTTTTCACTGTCCGGAGTCTCGGCTATTTTGTAGCCATCCTCGTTCCCTGGTACCGTGGAAGTCATTCGTACATGCAAAGAAAAAGGAACTTGTCTGCTGTACATGAATTTTGGAGTGGAAGGCTGAGAATTCGCAATTCGACTACCGCTGATCTCTGTCACAAAGTCACGGCATCAACTGAACACGGACGGATGATGTGATGTAAACTTCTGGAGTCTTTACTCAATTAGCTGCTTTGCGGATTTCGCATGGCTCTACCATCGAGCCCCTTGTGATCGGGTTGCTCAAGGTAGACCCAATCTCCAGTGACAGTCCTGGAACTCAAAATATTAGACTTAGTTCAAGTGAAAGTGATGCAGGTTTGGAAGTGCAAGCCGGAGCTGGCCCGAGCCCATGCCTGACGGTGCTGAGATGACGATATATATATATTTGGAGGGTATGACGATAGGGATTCCGATTTGTCGTAAGAGAGCTCATTTGGGAGTGGTTCCGTATGGTACAAATCTCGAGATGAGTATATGACGAGTGTGTTCCGATGATGTTCTGCTCGGGCGCCTTGAAACGACTAAACCTCTAACTAATCACGCAGCCTCGGAGCAGCCCAGGCCAAAATCCTTCAAACTACACTCACGTCTGGACGGCTAATCATCGAGCTGCTGCAAAATGCACGGCGAACTCTCTCGAGTCCTCGTGCCAGTGTCTGGGTGTGGAATTCGTCTGATATGTACGTGTTCAATTAGGAGGAAGGAAAATCGAAATCTGATGTTGGTCGAGCTCCTCGATCGAGAGAGCACGGGGGTGGCTCAGGGGGATCATTTGGCGGGGCAGATTGCGTTGAGGAGAACGTGGGTGAGCATGATGTCGACGAAGTAGCGATGGCCGCCGGGGACCCACGAGGACGAGCTCGGGCTGCGGCCGTAGTGGGGGCCGTCGCTGCACAGGTGGTCGTAGTGCCAGGGGAAGGTCATGTCGTACGAGTCGACGATGCGCAGGTTGTCGCGGCCGAACTGCGCGACGAAGGTGTCGACCATGACGGCGTTGAAAACCTCGTGCTTCTGCACGTTGGACTTGGTGTTCCGGGCCGGCAGCCGGTCGTTGAAACCGGCCGGTGCCACCGTGGTCCGGTACACCATCGTCGGCTTGGCCGCCACGCTGGCCCACAAACCCTTCCAGAACTCGCTGGCGTTCCGCGCCGCGCGCTCGAAGCGCGCCACGTCGGGCCAGTTGTTGCCGTCGTGCAGGCCCGAGTTCATGATCACGGCGTCGGGCGGCGCGGCGCGCACCGTCCCGTTGAAGTACGCCGTCACGTTCTCGCGATGCTCCGAGTGGTCCAGAGACTCGAGCCCCAGGTTGTTCCCGGTCGAGACGTAGTGGCCGTTGAAGGAGTTCGTGACCGTCACGGACTGCGAGGCGTTCCGCGGGTTCGTGTGCGTGCTGTGGCCGTTGCGGTAGGGCGAGCCGGTGTAGAGTCCCAGGGGGAAGTTGAGCAGGTTGCGGATGGTGTCCTGGTGGTTCGAGTCGCCCCAGAAGAAGAGCCACTTGCCGCTCACGCAGTCCCAGGCCTCGTCGCGGCTGAAGATCCGGAAGGCGCAGTGCGCCGAGTAGACCCAGCCGTTACTCTCCAGCCGGCCCACCTCGCCGTCGCACCTTCCGTCGTCGCAGGTCTGGTTCCGGTCCAAGCACAGGAACCGGCCCTTCTCGTTCGCCCGGCACGTCTCGTTGAACTTCGACCGGGTCCACCGGCCCTCCCAGTTCTTCCGCTTGTAGTCCTCCGCCGGGTCGCATCTCCTGAGCTCCTCCTCCGGGACCGGGACCGGCGCCGAGCCCTCGGGCTTGGCGAACTCCAGCTCCAGGTACACGATGTCCCTGGCCAGGACCCACTCCTCCGCCGTCAGCTCCATGCCATGCCAGTTCGGGAACAGGAGGATCACCCGGAACCCGTACACTCCCGCGAACGCGCCGTCCACCCGCAGGTTGACGACGTACGTCCCGTCTCCCAGATCCTTGATCGGCGGCCGCGACTTCCACTGCGTGCCTGTCATGACGTCACAAGCCAGTCAGTACGGTCGCAGCCTTCTCCCAGATGCTTCGACATCATCGACATTGTCTACGAGAAAAACGACCTTTTTTGGACATTGTGATTCTGACGAGCTCACGAGCTTCGTCAGATTCCACAAAGGTCCAGTCACGTTCTAGTATTCATTCTACTGCGAAAGGGAAACCTGTCATGGCTATGGCTCAGCGCTCGACCAAATGTGTGTTACTCAGAGGAGAGGTCTGGGAACATTATGGATGCGAATCTCACCGTTGAGGTCGATCTCGAAGAAGTCTCCGCCGCTGCATCTGCGAGACCCATTCGAGCTGTACGAGACGATCACCACTTCGTAGTCTCGGTCTGTTTGCAGCTTCAGATCTCCGGTCGGGAGGACCAAATCGGGCCCGAAAAACACCTGAGCTGACGCCGTCGCAATCTCGTGACACGCTCGAGTTCCGTTCTCGGTCAGCTGCTCCAAGTACCACGCCTTGTCCCGCACTGGAACGTCGCGGTAATGCTCGGCCTGCACCACCATAATAAACATTGAGTCATAACGCAGCAGCAGAGGACCAGACACGAACGCAAAGTGAATTCCCCCTCGTCCTAACCCAATGATGGTTCGATTATGAATGGCTCTCGAGAAGTATGTACCTCGGTCCCGAAGATCGTTTCGTCTCGTGCGTCGGAGAGGCTAGTGTTGAGTGCGTCAATTATGGGCGAGCTGGCGTCCAAGGTGCTGGAGCTGCTGAGGTTCGCGGTCCCGCTGAAGAGCTTCGTGGAGATTTCCGAGAAGCAAGAGTTCTGCAGATGTCTGAGATCCAGCGTTTGGAACAAGATGATCGTGGTGCTGAGAAGAGCTAAGCTAATGGCGAGCAAAACGATTTGGCACACGCCAGGATTGCAGGTCTGCAAAGGCTGCACATTGCTGACGGGAATCGGGGTGAATATTTCACTCTTCTTGCGCGATATATTGCTCCAATTCGACACCATCGTCCTCCCGGGCCTCCCCGAGTCCGAGTCCGAGTCCGCCTCCGACTCCTGTCACCTCCAGCACCAAATCCGGCACTAAAACCACCACTGAAGAAACTCAGACACGAGATCCCCTTGACATTTAACTACCAGAAATCACCATCAAACTCAGCATGCCCAGCACCTCGTGCACAAATCTGAGTCCACGGTCCAGCCTTCCAAAACTACCAAATCACGATGACAGAAGACGATTCTATTTCCTACTTCCACTTCCCTCTATCTGAACATACGCCTCTGCTTCATTCAGTCTTCACTCCTCGAAGGCTATAACGGCATCAACTCAGAGGCCAGCACCAGCACCAGCAGCTGCTGCTTCTCAGGGGTAAAAAGATAAAAGCTCGATGCAGCTGTAGGCGAGAGCTTTGGCTTGCTGTAAAGGATCTAAAAGTCCACCTATTATTTACCAAAACTTCGCGCTGTTGGCTTATCCGTGGTCCACAAAGTGAGAGGGAGGGAGAGAGAGAGAGAGAGAGAGAGAGGTATGACGCTTGTGAGATGCTGAGAGCACCTCGTCTGTATTGCGATCCGATAGTTGGAGGGAGAGAGAGAGAGAGAGGAAGAGAGAGTGAGAAAGATAGAAATAGTTTGATAGCACACACTCCTCCCGTCGTACATAACGTCAGGGGCAGTCGAAGCCTGCCTATCAGAGGTCCGTGCGCACGGAAAGTACTGATCTGGTACCCCGACGATGACGACCTTTAAAAATCATGACGCTCATGCCAAGTACGGGCAGGTGAGCGGGAGGGTGGCGAATGGGAATCGAGCGGCTGCTAGCCTAACGTAAGAGCTGAAGCCCTCGAAGCAAGATCTGGGAGCCGATCGATGGTGAATGATCATGAACTGGGGATGTTTATTATATTAGAGCTCTTGATATGGCATTCTCTTGGAATGGCGGTATGCGGCGAAGCGGGCGGCGTCAGTGGATGGACTGATGCTAAAATAATGATTTATTAAGTGCCTGAAGGTTAGTAAGGAGTATTACCGACTCATAAAAGTGAATTATGAGTTTTTCCCATTTACAGTTGCCATGGATGGAGGCCATGACGGAGCTCCCTTTCTGCAGCGAGATTTGCTGTCGTGTGTGCCCCGGAAATATGCATACCCCTTGTCGAGTTCTGACTGCCCAGGAGATTTCCATCTGTCGTTTGCAGGAGTATTAAAGAGTGGCAGTTTGTGACCCTATTATAAGATCCGCCCGGGATCGGCCGCCGAGTGAGTTGGGCTTGAGGATGGAAATTCCCACGTGCATTTTCCTTGACTAGCCAAGCACTTTCCCTAGTGGGAACAGGCCCAGTCAGAGACCAGGCCTTCAAAAGACCTCGGTCCACATGCCCAGAGCGAAAATATGGAGCTATCATATATGTCCACGCGTACTCTTGAAGCCAAAAATTTTTCCAATTAAATCATGGAATGGAATCGTGAAACTACTGTCTGACTGTCATTGAAAGCATTATCTTCAGAATCTCCAACTCGGACAGGAGCTGCAGTTGTAGTAGCTCCGGCAGTACCCTTCGAGGTCCTTCTTTATTCAACTGTATTCTAATTTTTGGGCTGGCGTTAATTCTGTGGCCAGTCACCTCCGTAAGTTCGTTGGGGTTGGAACTGCATGCCTCGAACGAGGAGCGTGATGTGATTGACGTCGGCTCAGAAACCCAAACTCATGGTGATTGAATTCCAGGCCTTTGGAATTCGTCATTGCACTGGGCACATCCCTCGAGGCAGAAGCACCCTTGATACAGGACGCTCAGTTTCCGGGCAGGCTGTGCACGTGCCCCCTGGGCTATGGCAGTCAGGCTCAGCCTTTGAAGATGCGGAGCCGTAAGTCTGTACTGTACTTCCAGTTTTACTCTTGGAATGCTGTGCTGAGTGACGACAATGTGCATTCAAGCCCGTCCATCTGATTATACCATACCGTCAGCATTCACCGATTCTGACCACCTCAGACCCGATCAGACAAGGTGATCCTTCTTGATCGGGCGCAGGCTTCTTGCTGTCCTATCAGGTACAAGAGTCCTCGGTACCTCCTCGGTACATCGGGCTCGGTGCATTCAATCACCGAAGTCAAAGGACCAGAGGTAAAAACTTGAAGGGACAAAATGTTTGACTTTTCCCCCTTTCCCAAATACTATCGGCAGCCCTGACCGGGTAGATCTTCTAGTAAGCATTCAGCGGGCGGAGGATGCTCCCACATTTCTCATTTATGACCTCAATTTGAATGCTGAAATTACAGGTTGACGAATAAATTTCCCAGCAAGCTGTCAAAGTGTGACGACCTCGCATACTAGACAGCGTAGTGAGAGCGTTGAAAGCGTCATTCTTGCGCCTCAGAGGCCTGCAGTCAGCGCTCAGATCTCAAATCTGCCACTGCACATGTTTGTCAACCCTCAGTGCCCCAAAGGATCCGGCACTTCCGTAGATTGCTCATGATGGAGACGAGGTGCGTCTGAATGCCGACCTATCACTGTTAACATTTCGAAGTTTCCTTCCATATCAACCTTCACACTGTCAATATCCTGGGTTGTTACCCACAGTACCGCACAGCCATGGCGACTCAGCACCGTATGATTGCTGCAGTCATGACTGCTACCTGAAGTTCTTGATAAATCACGATAAATCTGGGCTTTTGTAATAATGGAGTTTCAGTTTTCCAATCACATTTGGATCTCCAAACATCGATTTTGGTTATCTCAAAACTAAAATAAAAAAGGTAGGAGCTTGCCAGATTCCAAATGCTGGCTTTCTGATGCTCCGGGCGAGCCTCGAGGTAAAGCATATTCACCTGTTTCCGGGCCGATAATTTGTGTTTTCACCGAAGGAAGTGGACCTGTCCTGCAGAGGTCACGTTCTCCCTCGGAGTCTCTATCTCTCGTGGTCCCCACCTCAGAGGTCCATGTCCTCCTATCGGTATCTATGGCCAAGGTCATGGCATGGCCTCGAGGACTAACTGGTGGAGTCGCTTTCCAGCTTGTCTGAAGTGTCCGCTGGATCTGTCTTTGCTCTCAAGACCAAGATTTTGCAATGCTCCAAACAGTCATGATGGAACGAATGTCTCACTCCCAGGACTGCAGTCGGGGCGGGATCTTCCGCCGTGCTGATTTTCTTCGAGGCTTTCCATCGGGAGCAGGTCGGACGACTTCCTTGTCACTTCTCCTTCCTTGAAAAATGTTCCTGGTGTCCAAGTCCATGACATCGTTCTGTTATCGTCGAGAATTTATTGGTCGCCCCAATTCCGACCAGAACCTCGGAGGCTTCAGTTAGGAGGAGACTTGAACAGACTCTGGATTCTTGAAAGTGCTCTAGATCGCTCGAAGGATCGCACGGACGTGTCCAGGACTACGAGCTGCCAACGAATCCTTAATTACATTAACTGGATTAGCTCTAATCCACTTCCAATCGTCGTTGACCATTCAGTCCATTCCATCTGCAACAAACGACTGCAAAGCACAATCCAGCTACTTACTTCTCTCTGCGTGCTCTTGATTCCTTTATTTTGAATGCTGTCGCTCTTCCCTATGATATTGAAATATATGGCGGCTTTCGTCAAGTGCAGATTTCTTACGAGTCCCTGGCTAGTATGACGGGTGATAACGCTGCTTCCGATTCTATGTCGCTGATTATATGAGTCCATTCTCCATATTATGGAGTCTGATGTCTTCGTTGACTTCAATGTAGGTGGCATTATGTGTGAAAGTGTGATGAGTTTTGCCCGAAGAGCAAAAGTCAGTAACTATCTTCTCCCTTCGTGCAGTTAATTCCATTATACTGAATGCTCCAACGAACGAACTTCTGATCTTACATCAGCTTTAGCAAGTACATATCCTTTCTCTCAGTACAATGCCTCAAAAGCATACAACACTTGTGTACTTGATTCGGTTCCCCCGAGTATAGCAAGCCTCCTTCGGCATTTACGACCACACACCCATTCAAGAGGATTTCGTAAGAACGACACAAATGCTCATCTGCAGCGAATTCTGCAGTCAGCAGGGATTTCAAAGACGGACGATTCCTGATTGAAGCAGAGTATCTCTTTCTGACTGAGCTACTTGAAAGTGACTTTCGTGGTGGTAGGAATTTGTACCCTCAGATCAGAAACAAAGGCACCAGTGGACTTGCTAAGGTTGGAGCAAATTTCTTGATGTAGATTCTTCAGACAAAAGAAATGACTCAGCACGATCTTCAAAAGACGGATTCTTCTGCTGGAGCCAGAAAAGAAATTTGCTATTGCCCTTTACCAAATGGGATGTGCACTCCTCACTGTAAAGACACGTCCCAGTGGGCTTTGCACGCCCGTCACGGTAGCCCATAGTAGTGCGATTTCTGTGCTACAAACTAAAGAACAGCAAGAAGGAAAGGCTCTTTGTGCTTAGTGCTGGTGTAGTTCGGCGTTTTCTGGTCACAGGGACCGATCATGGTCGACGTCTCGGTCTCTCAAACTCTCCAAGCAAATCATGCAGCGAGGAGCTTTTTCTTAACCCTTTTGCTTGTCCTGCCGAAACATTTTGTGATCATAGAATGCAAAATTATTATCTGAGATGTGGACTTTCTCACTGTAAAACGGCAATTATAGCAGAGGTTGTTTTGGACAGAAGCCTCACTTAATTCATGTGCCCACATCGAGCGCAAAGATTCATCCGTTAATTTCCTACTTTCCGCTGTCTTTCACTTGTATACGGTTGATGTGCGATTCCAAAAGTCTGCCTACCATCTTTTGATGGTGTCGAGGCTTGACATTCATGGAGACTAATATTTCTGGAGTTTACTTTAAATCTCACCTTGTTGTCTTTGAAGTATCATTTGCACAGTCTGTTTTTGGGACTAATATCTTTGTACTTCACCTTAAAGCTCACGTTGATGATCTTGAAGAGTCTTTTGGTTAGTCTGCTTTGGATCCGAATATCTCTGGTCTTCACCTTAAATCTCACCTTGCTGCCTTTAAAGCATCCTTTTGTTAGTCTGCTTTTGATCCCGCGTACCTCTCTCAGTTGCATGTTTTATGGAGGCTCTTCCAAACTTCAAAGAGGATCGTAGATACGTAAAGCTCAAATAACTACCCTGAGGCCCTCCGTTGCAAGACGATCCTACTAATATCGATCTGAGAGGCCGAGCTAGCAGGAAGCAAATGCTTGAATCTTGCAGGAAATCGGAGTGACAGTCGTACATGCGTCCATCGTACATGTTTTGTCTTCTTCTTCTTCTTCTTTTCCTCCTCTGTAACCATGGATGTGCACAAGGATGTCCGAAAGAGATTTCGGACATGCTTTTGGCTCAGGGTAGATACAGGTCTGAAGAGGTGATTCAACTGGAAAAGGTCGAAAGGAGACAGTTGAAGTGCTTAATGGAGAAGTCCTCGTACATATGACCGATGTGAGTTCCGTCTCAAATTGATCGTTTGGTTGACTTCTGCATCAAGCTCTGATATACGGATCCGTGATTGCTGCTGCCCTCGTTGTGCTCGATGAAGAGAGTCTGACGTGTGAATGATTTTAGCCCCTTGCCTCTGCATATCGAAGAAGTGAGTGTACCCAAGGCTCCAGCTTCAAGAAATTACATGAAGTTGTCAGCCGAAGGTCGTCGGAGTTAATATCGAAGAATGTTCCTCCCCACAGCAGAAACGAAAGATTTTTTTGACGGTCATGATATCAACCTACGTTTCCAAAACACTTGGCATCGCAAATGTTTGGACATGTCGAAATCATTCAATTCCTGCTGTAGAGAGACTCTGTTTTTTTTGCTTTCGTTGAAATTTGCATC